TGTCTCAGATCACCTACAGCAGCGACTACTTTCAGGAGCTGTACGACTTAGCAGTGCAGCTCATCAAGTCCGGCCACGCATACGTGGACCATCAGACAGCGGAAGAGATCAAGCAGTACCGCGAGAAGCACCTGAAAATCCCCTGGCGCACTTCTTTCCTCTTCCTCTCCGCCCCTCTGCCCTGTGCCCCTATGTCTCAGATCACCTACAGCAGCGACTACTTTCAGGAGCTGTACGACTTAGCAGTGCAGCTCATCAAGTCCGGCCACGCATACGTGGACCATCAGACAGCGGAAGAGATCAAGCAGTACCGCGAGAAGCACCTGAAAATCCCCTGGCGCACTTCTTTCCTCTTCCTCTCCGCCCCTCTGCCCTGTGCCCCTATGTCTCAGATCACCTACAGCAGCGACTACTTTCAGGAGCTGTACGACTTAGCAGTGCAGCTCATCAAGTCCGGCCACGCATACGTGGACCATCAGACAGCGGAAGAGATCAAGCAGTACCGCGAGAAGCACCTGAAAATCCCCTGGCGCACTTCTTTCCTCTTCCTCTCCGCCCCTCTGCCCTGTGCCCCTATGTCTCAGATCACCTACAGCAGCGACTACTTTCAGGAGCTGTACGACTTAGCAGTGCAGCTCATCAAGTCCGGCCACGCATACGTGGACCATCAGACAGCGGAAGAGATCAAGCAGTACCGCGAGAAGCACCTGAAAATCCCCTGGCGCACTTCTTTCCTCTTCCTCTCCGCCCCTCTGCCCTGTGCCCCTATGTCTCAGATCACCTACAGCAGCGACTACTTTCAGGAGCTGTACGACTTAGCAGTGCAGCTCATCAAGTCCGGCCACGCATACGTGGACCATCAGACAGCGGAAGAGATCAAGCAGTACCGCGAGAAGCACCTGAAAATCCCCTGGCGCACTTCTTTCCTCTTCCTCTCCGCCCCTCTGCCCTGTGCCCCTATGTCTCAGATCACCTACAGCAGCGACTACTTTCAGGAGCTGTACGACTTAGCAGTGCAGCTCATCAAGTCCGGCCACGCATACGTGGACCATCAGACAGCGGAAGAGATCAAGCTGTACCGCAAGAAGCACCTGAAAATCCCCTGGCGCACTTCTTTCCTCTTCCTCTCCGCCCCTCTGCCCTGTGCCCCTATGTCTCAGATCACCTACAGCAGCGACTACTTTCAGGAGCTGTACGACTTAGCAGTGCAGCTCATCAAGTCCGGCCACGCATACGTGGACCATCAGACAGCGGAAGAGATCAAGCTGTACCGCAAGAAGCACCTGAAAATCCCCTGGCGCACTTCTTTCCTCTTCCTCTCCGCCCCTCTGCCCTGTGCCCCTATGTCTCAGATCACCTACAGCAGCGACTACTTTCAGGAGCTGTACGACTTAGCAGTGCAGCTCATCAAGTCCGGCCACGCATACGTGGACCATCAGACAGCGGAAGAGATCAAGCAGTACCGCGAGAAGCACCTGAAAATCCCCTGGCGCACTTCTTTCCTCTTCCTCTCCGCCCCTCTGCCCTGTGCCCCTATGTCTCAGATCACCTACAGCAGCGACTACTTTCAGGAGCTGTACGACTTAGCAGTGCAGCTCATCAAGTCCGGCCACGCATACGTGGACCATCAGACAGCGGAAGAGATCAAGCTGTACCGCAAGAAGCACCTGAAAATCCCCTGGCGCACTTCTTTCCTCTTCCTCTCCGCCCCTCTGCCCTGTGCCCCTATGTCTCAGATCACCTACAGCAGCGACTACTTTCAGGAGCTGTACGACTTAGCAGTGCAGCTCATCAAGTCCGGCCACGCATACGTGGACCATCAGACAGCGGAAGAGATCAAGCTGTACCGCAAGAAGCACCTGAAAATCCCCTGGCGCACTTCTTTCCTCTTCCTCTCCGCCCCTCTGCCCTGTGCCCCTATGTCTCAGATCACCTACAGCAGCGACTACTTTCAGGAGCTGTACGACTTAGCAGTGCAGCTCATCAAGTCCGGCCACGCATACGTGGACCATCAGACAGCGGAAGAGATCAAGCAGTACCGCGAGAAGCACCTGAAAATCCCCTGGCGCACTTCTTTCCTCTTCCTCTCCGCCCCTCTGCCCTGTGCCCCTATGTCTCAGATCACCTACAGCAGCGACTACTTTCAGGAGCTGTACGACTTAGCAGTGCAGCTCATCAAGTCCGGCCATGCATACGTGGACCATCAGACAGCGGAAGAGATCAAGCAGTACCGCGAGAAGCACCTGAAAATCCCCTGGCGCACTTCTTTCCTCTTCCTCTCCGCCCCTCTGCCCTGTGCCCCTATGTCTCAGATCACCTACAGCAGCGACTACTTTCAGGAGCTGTACGACTTAGCAGTGCAGCTCATCAAGTCCGGCCATGCATACGTGGACCATCAGACAGCGGAAGAGATCAAGCAGTACCGCGAGAAGCACCTGAAAATCCCCTGGCGCACTTCTTTCCTCTTCCTCTCCGCCCCTCTGCCCTGTGCCCCTATGTCTCAGATCACCTACAGCAGCGACTACTTTCAGGAGCTGTACGACTTAGCAGTGCAGCTCATCAAGTCCGGCCACGCATACGTGGACCATCAGACAGCGGAAGAGATCAAGCAGTACCGCGAGAAGCACCTGAAAATCCCCTGGCGCACTTCTTTCCTCTTCCTCTCCGCCCCTCTGCCCTGTGCCCCTATGTCTCAGATCACCTACAGCAGCGACTACTTTCAGGAGCTGTACGACTTAGCAGTGCAGCTCATCAAGTCCGGCCATGCATACGTGGACCATCAGACAGCGGAAGAGATCAAGCAGTACCGCGAGAAGCACCTGAAAATCCCCTGGCGCACTTCTTTCCTCTTCCTCTCCGCCCCTCTGCCCTGTGCCCCTATGTCTCAGATCACCTACAGCAGCGACTACTTTCAGGAGCTGTACGACTTAGCAGTGCAGCTCATCAAGTCCGGCCATGCATACGTGGACCATCAGACAGCGGAAGAGATCAAGCAGTACCGCGAGAAGCACCTGAAAATCCCCTGGCGCACTTCTTTCCTCTTCCTCTCCGCCCCTCTGCCCTGTGCCCCTATGTCTCAGATCACCTACAGCAGCGACTACTTTCAGGAGCTGTACGACTTAGCAGTGCAGCTCATCAAGTCCGGCCACGCATACGTGGACCATCAGACAGCGGAAGAGATCAAGCTGTACCGCAAGAAGCACCTGAAAATCCCCTGGCGCACTTCTTTCCTCTTCCTCTCCGCCCCTCTGCCCTGTGCCCCTATGTCTCAGATCACCTACAGCAGCGACTACTTTCAGGAGCTGTACGACTTAGCAGTGCAGCTCATCAAGTCCGGCCATGCATACGTGGACCATCAGACAGCGGAAGAGATCAAGCTGTACCGCAAGAAGCACCTGAAAATCCCCTGGCGCACTTCTTTCCTCTTCCTCTCCGCCCCTCTGCCCTGTGCCCCTATGTCTCAGATCACCTACAGCAGCGACTACTTTCAGGAGCTGTACGACTTAGCAGTGCAGCTCATCAAGTCCGGCCACGCATACGTGGACCATCAGACAGCGGAAGAGATCAAGCTGTACCGCAAGAAGCACCTGAAAATCCCCTGGCGCACTTCTTTCCTCTTCCTCTCCGCCCCTCTGCCCTGTGCCCCTATGTCTCAGATCACCTACAGCAGCGACTACTTTCAGGAGCTGTACGACTTAGCAGTGCAGCTCATCAAGTCCGGCCACGCATACGTGGACCATCAGACAGCGGAAGAGATCAAGCAGTACCGCGAGAAGCACCTGAAAATCCCCTGGCGCACTTCTTTCCTCTTCCTCTCCGCCCCTCTGCCCTGTGCCCCTATGTCTCAGATCACCTACAGCAGCGACTACTTTCAGGAGCTGTACGACTTAGCAGTGCAGCTCATCAAGTCCGGCCATGCATACGTGGACCATCAGACAGCGGAAGAGATCAAGCTGTACCGCAAGAAGCACCTGAAAATCCCCTGGCGCACTTCTTTCCTCTTCCTCTCCGCCCCTCTGCCCTGTGCCCCTATGTCTCAGATCACCTACAGCAGCGACTACTTTCAGGAGCTGTACGACTTAGCAGTGCAGCTCATCAAGTCCGGCCACGCATACGTGGACCATCAGACAGCGGAAGAGATCAAGCTGTACCGCAAGAAGCACCTGAAAATCCCCTGGCGCACTTCTTTCCTCTTCCTCTCCGCCCCTCTGCCCTGTGCCCCTATGTCTCAGATCACCTACAGCAGCGACTACTTTCAGGAGCTGTACGACTTAGCAGTGCAGCTCATCAAGTCCGGCCACGCATACGTGGACCATCAGACAGCGGAAGAGATCAAGCAGTACCGCGAGAAGCACCTGAAAATCCCCTGGCGCACTTCTTTCCTCTTCCTCTCCGCCCCTCTGCCCTGTGCCCCTATGTCTCAGATCACCTACAGCAGCGACTACTTTCAGGAGCTGTACGACTTAGCAGTGCAGCTCATCAAGTCCGGCCACGCATACGTGGACCATCAGACAGCGGAAGAGATCAAGCTGTACCGCAAGAAGCACCTGAAAATCCCCTGGCGCACTTCTTTCCTCTTCCTCTCCGCCCCTCTGCCCTGTGCCCCTATGTCTCAGATCACCTACAGCAGCGACTACTTTCAGGAGCTGTACGACTTAGCAGTGCAGCTCATCAAGTCCGGCCACGCATACGTGGACCATCAGACAGCGGAAGAGATCAAGCAGTACCGCGAGAAGCACCTGAAAATCCCCTGGCGCACTTCTTTCCTCTTCCTCTCCGCCCCTCTGCCCTGTGCCCCTATGTCTCAGATCACCTACAGCAGCGACTACTTTCAGGAGCTGTACGACTTAGCAGTGCAGCTCATCAAGTCCGGCCATGCATACGTGGACCATCAGACAGCGGAAGAGATCAAGCAGTACCGCGAGAAGCACCTGAAAATCCCCTGGCGCACTTCTTTCCTCTTCCTCTCCGCCCCTCTGCCCTGTGCCCCTATGTCTCAGATCACCTACAGCAGCGACTACTTTCAGGAGCTGTACGACTTAGCAGTGCAGCTCATCAAGTCCGGCCATGCATACGTGGACCACCAGACAGCGGAAGAGATCAAGCACTACCGTGAGAAGCACCTGGAGAGCCCGTGGAGAAACAGGCCAGTGGAGGAGTCACTTAAGCTGTTTGAGGACATGCGGAGAGGTCTGGTGGAGGAGGGGGCTGCCACGCTGAGGATGAAGCAGGACATGAGAAACGAGAACCCCAACATGTGGGATTTGATTGCGTATCGTATCAAGGTGAGTCAGCGGATGTGCTTGTGAAGGGTACAACGAGCACCCCGGCACACACCCTCACACCCCCCCAGCTCACTGCACACCCCTGTATTGTCGAGCCTCTGAAACGCCTCAACTTGCCCCATCCATCTTACTCCCATGCCTTTTGCCCCTGCAGTTCACCCTGCACCCGCATGTGGGAGACAAGTGGTGCGTCTACCCCAGCTATGACTACAAACACTGCATCATCAACTCAACCCCATACCCCATGCCCTTATCCTCATTCCCCATTCCCTTCTCCTCACACCCATGCCAGTTCACGCCTCACCCTCATGTGGGCGACAAGTGGTGCATCTACCCCAGCTACGACTACACGCACTGCATCATCGACTCCCTCGAGAACATCACACACTCTGTGAGACACGAGCCCACCGTGCGGGCTCTTGATAGCATGTTGCCTTGCCTGTACCCACATGTAGTGGTGTCACATTGCATGCACACACGCACCCAACCTCCATCTACCCCAGCTACGACTACACGCACTGCATCATCGACTCCCTCGAGAACATCACACACTCTGTGAGACACGAGCCCACCGTGCGGGCTCTTGATAGCATGTTGCCTTGCCTGTACCCACATGTAGTGGTGTCACATTGCATGCACACACGCACCCAACCTCCATCTACCCCAGCTACGACTACACGCACTGCATCATCGACTCCCTCGAGAACATCACACACTCTGTGAGACACGAGCCCACCGTGCGGGCTCTTGATAGCATGTTGCCTTGCCTGTACCCACATGTAGTGGTGTCACATTGCATGCACACACGCACCCAACCTCCATCTACCCCAGCTACGACTACACGCACTGCATCATCGACTCCCTCGAGAACATCACACACTCTGTGAGACACGAGCCCACCGTGCGGGCTCTTGATAGCATGTTGCCTTGCCTGTACCCACATGTAGTGGTGTCACATTGCATGCACACACGCACCCAACCTCCATCTACCCCAGCTACGACTACACGCACTGCATCATCGACTCCCTCGAGAACATCACACACTCTGTGAGCGCACTGTGCCTGTGGAGAAACAGGCACAGTGCGGACATGCGGAGTCACTTAAGCTGTTTGAGGACATGCGGAGAACATCCCTCGAGAACATTACCCACTCTGTGAGCGCACTGCACCACTCTGTGAGCGCACTGCACCACTCTGTGAGCGCACTGCACCACTCTGTGAGCGCACTGCATCACTCTGTGAGCGCACTGTGCCTGTGTTTCTGTCGTGCAACTGTCCTTCTTCTGGCTGCTGCAGCAAGTGCGACTGCTGCTGTGTTGCGCATACGCAGTATCTTGATCTTCTCATTTGTGTCGTGCCCTGCGGTGTGTGGCTGCATGTCCCTTTGTGTCACACGTGTGCCCACTGCTCCCCATGCAGCCGTGGAGTTCGAGACGCGGGGGGCGTCCTACTACTGGCTGCAGGAGGCAGGGAGCTGCGTGTGGGATGGCTGCTAATTCTCATTCATCCTCTGTGCTTACGCATGCGCCATGCTCCCCATGCAGCTGTGCACGTTGGAGTTTGAAACACGGAGGGCGTCCTACTACCAGTTGCTGGAGGCAGGAAACTGCGTGTGGGGTGGCTGCTGTGTCTCACCCATCCTGTGTGCCTGTGTCTAATCTGACCTGATCTGATCTGATCTGATCTGATGTGCAATGCTCCCCATGCAGCTGTGCACGCCGGAGTTTGAGACGCGCAGAGCGTCCTACTACTGGCTGCGTGTGGGGTGGCTGCTTTGTCTCAAACTTATCCCTTGTACTTAACCTACGCACGTGTTCTCACCTGCGCCCCATGCAGCTGTGCACGTTGGAGTTTGAGACGCGGAGGGCGTCCTACTACTGGCTGCTGCTGGAGGCGTTGGGGCTGTGTGTGTCCGCTCCTGCTGTGTCTCTCACTCATCCTTGGTGCCGTCCTCTTCCCGTGTGTCACTCACCCGCGCTTAACTCATCTACCCCCCGTGCAGCTGTGCACGCTGGAGTTTGAGACGCGGAGGGCGTCCAACTACTGGCTACTGGAGGCACTGGGGCTGTGTGTGTATTTTTGAGGCGCCTCAAAAATCGCTGGGGCTGTGTGTGTGCTAGCTGCTGTGTCTCTCACTCATCCTTTGGGCCTCGTTCTTTGCTCGTGTGTGCTGCATGCAGCTGTGCACGTTGGAGTTTGAGACACGAAGGGCGTCCTACTACTGGCTGCTGGAGGCGTTGGGGCTGTACCATCCGTACGTGTGGGAGTATGCGCGGCTCAACATCACCCATACCATGCTGTCAAAGCGCAAGGTGGGTGCTGTGTAAGGAAATATGTGCCTCTAATGCCACTATGGGTGTACCATCCGTACGTGAGGGAGTATGCGCAGCTCAACATCACCCACACCATGCTCTCCAAGCACATGTAGGTGTTAAGCATGGGAGTGCGTGATTCTATGGAACTATGTGGGGGAGGGGGCATCTGCTCGCCTCACATGGGTGCTGGCTGCTGGAGGTGTTGGGGTGGGGGCATACGTTTGCCTCACAAGGGTGCTGTGTACCGTCCATACGTGTTGGTTGTCCGAGCGCAAGGTCCGTGGAGTGTACGGGAGCAGTATGCGTTTTTGAGACGTCTCTAGAATCATTCTCTACACGTGGCTGTACCGTCCATACGTGTTGGTTGTCCGAGCGCAAGGCGCGTGGAGTGTATGGGAGTAGTATGTGCCGCACATGCCACTGGTTGATTTTTGAGCGACTCAAAAATCGTGGAGTGTATAGGAGTAGTATGTGCCGCACATGCCACTGGTTGTCGGAATACGCGCCTTTTCACTCTGTCAGGGCTGGGACGAAAACTAACCGCCTTCATTCCTGCGCCTTTCATGCATCCCCTTCCCATTCCCACCCCCCTTCACCCCCCTCCTCTTTCCCTCTTCATCCTCTTTTCTCGCATCACTCCTCTTCTTCAGCTGAACCGGCTGGTGAGAGAGAATCATGTGAACGGGTGGGATGACCCGCGCCTCATTAAACATGTGTCTCCTTGACCTTCATATACCCCCCCTCTGTTCCGTTCCTCCCTTCCCCATCTTCCCCTCCAACTAAACCGGCTGGTGACGGATCATCACGTGAACAGGTGGGACGACCCGCGGCTCATGACACTTTCAGGACTGAGGAGGAGGGGCACCCACCCCCCTCTGCTGCCTTCATTCCCCCACGCCTCCCCCCCCCCTGTCCCCTCCTTTTTCAGCTGAACCGGCTGGTGACGGATCATCACGTGAACGGGTGGGACGACCCGCGTCTCATGACCCTCTCAGGGCTGAGGAGGAGGGGCGCCCACCCCGCTGCCATCAACGCGTTCTGCCGAGCCGTGGGCATCACGAGGAAGTGAGTCGGCAGTGCTCGGTGAATAGCATATCTATTTTCACTGTTCCGTACCGCTCCGCACTGTTTGGAGGGGCGCTCACCCCGCTGCCATCAACGCCTTCTGCCGAGCCGTGGGCATCACGAGGAAGTGAGTTGGCAGTGTTAGGTGTGTCCACATATCCATTCTCACAGTCCAAGATCTCTCTGTACCGTTCTGTACCGCGTGGCTGTATTGGATGGTAGTGACGAACTGATCCTATGGGAGCAGCAGTTTATGAGAGAATATCTTGATGTTCCCTTCCTAACCTTCCTGACAACCTCTGTACTCCTGTGTACCCCTCTGCACCCTTCTGTTCCGTGCCTCAGCGAGAATGTGATCCGAGTGGAGCTGCTAGAGCACTTCATGCGCGACCATCTGAACCGCACTGCACCGCGCTCGCTCGTGGTGCTGAAGCCACTGAAGGTGGTGATAACAAACGTGGGGGAGGAGGAGGTGGAGATGGTTGAAGGCAAGCGATGGCCCGATGCTAAGGAGGGCGACCCAGAGGCAACATACAAGGTGAGGGATGCATTCTGTGGTATGGAAGCAGTGTGCGTGGGGTTTCAGTTTCAGTGGCTCAGCAGAGAAACCAGTCTCACTCACCAACGTGGGGGAGGTGGAGGTGGAGATGGTGGTAGGCAAGTGATGGCCCGATGCTAAGGAGGGGACCCGGAGGCCACTTACAAGGTGAGGAATATGCAGTGTGGCAGTCTGCAGCAGGATGGAATGCAGAGTGCGAGGATTCACCTTGAGGTGAGCGACGCAGACAGCGAAGCTTCTCGAACGTGGGGGAGGAGGAGGTGGAGATGGTGGAGGGCAAGCGATGGCCCGATGCTAAGAAGGGCGACCCAGAAGCAACGTACAAGGTGAGAAGTGTTGAAACAAGTTGAAGCCAACTTGTCCCGCTCTCCATCCCAACCCCATCCCACTGTCTCCGACTTCCCTTCTACCCCATCCTACCGCTCTCCGACTAGCCCAATCCTTCATTGTCCCATCTATCACCCTTCACCCTTCCTGTCCCCCCTCTCCCTCTTCTTGGCCCCCCTCTTCCTACCTCCACAGCTGCCCTTCTCCCGAGTGGTCTATAGCACAGAACAGTGTGTTTCCGGGGGAAAACACAGCAAGGACTAGTATGGCCTCGCACCCACACCCCTACCCTTTCCGCCAATGCCTTTTCCCCATTCACATCCCACCTGTCTCTTCAGCTGCCCTTCTCCCGAATGGTGTACATTGAGCAGTCAGACTTCCGAGTGAAGGACAGCAAAGACTACTATGGGCTTGCGCCCAACAAATCTGTCATGCTCAGGTGAGGTTCTGCTGATAGCTGTGCGTGTGAAAACAGGAGTAACATGCTCTTCTGAGTGAAGGACAGCAAGGACTACTATGGGCTTGCACCCAACAAGTCTGTTATGCTCAGGTGACTACAAATTCTTGGTTGCCCCAAGTCTTCACATGCCACAGGCTCTTCTCTCTGTGCTGCACAATGTGAACTGTACTGAGCATTACTTATCCTCGTTCATGTGTCTGGCAGGTACGCGTACCCTATAAAGTGTACCGAGGTGATCTATGAAGAGGATGGCACGACAGTCAAGGAGCTGAGGGCCGAGTGTGACCGCGCCAAGAGCACCAAGCCCAAGGTGAGTTTTGAGGCGCCTCAAAAGGCGCCAAGAGCACCAAACCCAAGGTGAGTTTTGAGGCGCCTCAAAAGGCGCCAAGAGCACCAAACCCAAGGTGAGTTTTGAGGCGCCTCAAAAGGCGCCAAGAGCACCAAACCCAAGGTGAGTTGTGAAGCGCCTCAAAAGGCGCCAAGAGCACCAAACCCAAGGTGAGTTTTGAGGCGCCTCAAAAAGCGCCAAGAGCACCAAACCCAAGGTGAGTTTTGAGGCGCCTCAAAAGGCGCCAAGAGCACCAAACCCAAGGTGAGAGCGCAATGGATGGAACACCAGTGACTTTTGAGTCGATCCAAAACACACGTCAGGTCGCCTTTGAGGTTCGGGCCGAATGTCCGATTCTGAGTGGCTCAACTCAGGCCGAGTGTGACCGGGGCAGGAGCAGCAAGCTCACAGCAAGGACTCGGGGGACAGCTGCTGTGTGCTGCTGCTCAGAAGGTGCCAGAAGCCATTGTGTGTTGCACAGAGGCTGTAAGTTCGAGACTTCTGCTTCTGCTCTCTTCTCTCCCCTTCTCATTTCTCATCTACATTTCCCTTCCTTCCCCTCCCCTTCTCCCCCAATTCTCATCTCTCTGCCTCACACAGGGTGTGACCCCTTTGGGTGCCGCCATGTTAAACCTCTTTCTCCCCTCCTTATTTCCGATCCACTTCTCCTCGCTCTTCTCCCCTCCATCTCCCATCGCCCTTTCACGCACACAGGGTGTGACCTCTTTGGGTGCCGCCATGTTAAACCTCTTTCTCCCCTCCTTACTTCCGATCCACTTCTCCTCGCTCCTCTCCCCTCCATCTCCCATCGCCCTTTCACGCACACAGGGTGTGATTCATTGGGTGGCAGAGCCCAAGCCCGGCCAGGCCCCCCTTACAGTCACAATCCGCCTAATCAACAAGCTCTTCCTCTCCGAGGTATGCTGGCCTGGAAGTCTCCCCAACTTCAGATTATGCTGTTGCCCCGAGGTATGCCTTTCTCATAGCTTCGCCGTTCTCCGAGTTATCAAGGAAGCGATTTCTTTCTCCACTTGCGTCAGTGCCAAAGGGAGTTCTTGCCATTCTGGCACTTTGCCATTCTGGCACTTTGCCATTCTGGCACTTTGGACTCGCCACTCTCTCTCTGTTCACTGCCCTCGCTCTGCAGAACCCCAACGAGCTGGAGGACTGGCTGGGGGACCTGAACCCGCAGTCAATGGAGGAGATAGAAGGAGCGCTGGCAGAGCCGTCCCTTGCTGGGAAGCCTGCCGGCAGCACCTTCCAGTTCGAGAGGCTCGGTACGTCATGGGAATGGGAGGGGGCGGTACGTTTATGGGGGCATATAGAAGGGAGGAGATAGAGGGAGCGCTGGCAGAGCCATTCCTTGCAGGGAAGCCTGCTGGCATCACCTTCCAGTTTGAGAGGCTCGGTACGTCATGCGTGTTGAGTGATGGAGTGGGGAGAGAAAATGGGGAAAGAAGGGAGGGGGGGGGAGGGGAGGGGGATGGAGAGGGAGGAACCGAGAGGGGGTGAAGGGGAGGGAAGGAGGACGTGCAAGGATGTACCATATGTGGCGCATCGAATACAGCTGTTTGTGGTTGATGGTTGGCATGACATGGCAACGTGTAGTTTCCAATTTGCGCTCCTTTGATGATTGTCTACACTTTATCGTGTTCCCTCACCTCTCACAGGATATTTCTGCGTCGACACTGATTCCACAGACGCTCGCATGGTCTTCAATCGCACTGTTACACTGAAGGAGTCGTACCCTAAGTTTGGGGCAAAATAAAGCTGGCTATACGGAAGGTTTAATGTCATGAGGATAGGAATGGTTTCACAGAATAGCTGTAGGCTGCTCATTAAGTCAAAGATTTTAGGCTTGTGACAGCGACGATATCTCTTGGATTATGTTTAAAGGGTTGGGTGGAGGCAATTGGGGAAGATGAGCCTAAGTGTGCTCATTGAGCATTTTTTAAATTCTGTACATTAGCATCAGTGGTTTAACTCGTCTGGATTCGCGAATTACTGACTCGGCAAATGCGAAAATTCGCCGAGCTTCTCCCCAAATCGCCATCGCAGCATTTGTCAGCATCTCTTCTACGCACGAAAACCCTGAAACCAGCGAGCGAAGCCCACGTAACCAAAGGGATCTCCGCAGAGCTTCCCGCCAAACCTCTTTGGTGTATAGCTGATTCTCTCCGCGCGAACCACAGAAAGATACTCTTCCCCGAACTCTCCCCCGCATTACCTGCTTCCTCGTTACCTCTTCGCTTCTGTTTTCCTGATTCCCTTTCCGCGGCTCTCCGCCAGCCTATTTCGACCCACGCGCTTCCGCAACCTCCCACCATTTTCCGCCAACTTTCCCCCTATCGCTCACCTAGCTCCGCCTGCTTCCGCTGTTTCTTCCCCTTCCGCCTAACCCCTTCTCCCCTACTTACCTCCCAGCTTTCTCTGGGCTCTTCCCTTTCTTTTGAATCCCTCTCAGCAGGGACTGATTAGTGACCTCTTCTTAGCGTCCCTTCCTGATCACGCATTCTGCAAGGCTTGTCAGCCTTTGCGTTGGTTTCCTTGGATTCGCAGTCTCGTGCTGTGACTCTTTCCAATGGCCCCTCTCGTACGTAACTGGACTTCGAGCCTCATATTGTTCTTCCTGTGATCAGCATTCTCACTTGATTAGATCAGGCTGTTGTCTCAGCCATTTCCGTTAGTTCGTCATCCTGTAGTTAAATCTACATCCCCGAGTGTCATCGTGGTCTTGTTAGCTGATCGTTTCGTTGTGCTTCCGTCGCTCCGCAACCCACTTACCCTCGTTCCTGTCTGGTCTTTTTCTGTTTTGTTTGTACACTACAGAAGCTGTATACGTTCTCGCACAACAGAAATGCCTACAAGGCGTTGATCGCAGCCGAGTATACCGGGGCCAAGATCGAGATTCCCGCATTCGAGTTCGGCAAGACCAACAAGACCAAGGAATTCCTCGCCTGGAATCCCATCGGCAAGGTGTGTTGTTTGGCTTTTAAGGAGCACAGATCCGTGTATGGCAAGACTAACCAGAAGAAGGAATTCTTTGTCATGGAACCCCATCGTCGAAATATGAATAAATTCGCGAACCCATTCCGTTTTTTCCGTTTCTTCGTTAGCATTAGTGTCAACGTCTGCTCTCAAATCATTTGATTATTTCGCAGTCGACTTGGTAAATGAAGTCCAGCGTTTTTATATCTTATCTCCGATCTTATCCGATCTCTCCCAACCTTGTCCGATCTGGTTTCGGACTTACTGTAAAGCTTCTCTTACATTCATCGCTTCCATTCTCCTGTCCGTCCCGCATACAGGTGCCAGTTCTGCAGACCCCCGACGGTCCCATCTTTGAGAGCAACGCCATCGCCAAATACGGTACAGAATCCTAGTTCTTGATCTACTTAGAGCTCTTTAATCTTCTGTCCGATATGCTAGATCGCCATTTTATGAGTAGGTTTACACTATCGGTGATATTTTTGTGTTGTATGCCGTTCAAGAGGCATTTATTAAAGACCCTTTTCCTTGTTTCTGGGTGCAGTCGCCAAGTCGTCAGATAAAGGCGGCCTCACGGGCACCTCGGTCTATGAAACTGTGAGAGCTTGCCTATTTGTAGCATTTCAGCGTACACCCTTTATTTTTTTTCTTTTCTTTTCTTTCTTTTCTTTTCCATCAACTTATTTTTTTCTCGTCTACGCGTTTCTCCTTCCCACCCTCCCATCATCGTTCAATTCGCCCCGTTTCATTTTTGCAAAGTTTTGCATTCTCTCTGCCTTTATGTTTATCATGTGGTTCGTTTCCGACTATTTTTTTTCTTTCTTTTTACGTTTCCATCACGATCAGGCGTTGATCGACCAATGGATCGACTTCACAACCAACGAGATCGACGCGCCCCTCTGGAGGTGGTTCACCCCCTTCTACGGCTACGGCACCAAGATCCAAGAGGTACTGTTTTGACACGCCTTGGGAACCTTGAGAACCTGTTTCTGCCGCTATTTCGGCTAGACACCAAGATTTAGGAGTTATTTTCATCCTTCCGCCTTTCCTCCTCCCGCTTCTCTCCTCTCTTCTATCTCCTATGACACTTTTCTCGATCCCCTTCCCTCCTTTTTTTCGCTAAAAAATTTGGGTTCGACTGTTCTCATCATTTTTTCTCCTGACTTCTGCTTTTCCCTATCGAGCCGCCGCCTCTTCCGTGCTTCTTCCGCTCATCTCCCTTGCTTTGTCCCCATCCCATTCTCCCCCCGGCTTTCTCTCTCTTCTCTTCTCCTTCCTATCCCCCTTTCCCCAGCCCCACGATTAACTCTTATCCGTTTTTTTCCTTCCTCCCTCGCCCTGTTATGCTCCCTCGCCGCCACTCCCCCTTCCCTTCGTTTCCTTGCTCCGCACCCCACCCCCCTCGCGGTTCCCCCCCTCCCCCCTCCCTTCCCCCTTCCGCCCCCCTCCCCCCCTCTTTCCCCTGGTCCCCTTCAGGTGGAGGACAAGGCGAAGGAGGCGTGCAAACGCGGCCTCGCGTCGTTCAACTCGTATTTGGAGTCGCACACCTTCCTTGTTGGTGACCGGGTTACCCTCGCTGACATCGTCGCCGTTTCGCAGCTGTGGACCGGGTACATCACAATGTTTACCCCCGAATTCATGAAGGAATTTCCCCACGTGGACCGGTACTGGAACACGCTGATCAACCAGCCCAAGGTGAAAAAGGTCATCGGCGATGTGCAGCAGGCGCAGGCGCAGCCCACGGGGGTGACCACGTGGTTCGAGGGGCCAATCGGAAAGCTCCAGGCCGCCGCTGCTCCCAAGCCCGCCCCTGCGGCTGCCGCCAAGGTGGGATGTCTGATTGGGGTGGAGTGGGGGGTGGAAGGGGGGTGGAGTGGGGTGGAGGGGATTGGAAGAGGTTTGGGGGGGGATGGAGGGGGGTGGGAGGGGGGTTGGGGGGGGGGGAGGAGGGGGGTTGGGGGGGGGGGGGGGGGGTTGAGGGGGGGGTGGAGGGGGTTGGGAGGGGGGTGGAGGGGGGTGGGAGGGGGGTGGAGGGGGTTGGAAGGGTTTGTAGTGGTGTGAATTGGGGTTGAGTGGGTAATTTGGCAGGGGGAGAATACTGTCGGTGCTGGAAGGAAGTAGACTGGATGGAAGTGGCTTTTGGGTGGGTATGGTCGTGCAGGAGGCGGAGGCGGAGGCGGAGGCGGAGGTGGAGGCGTCGAAGCTCAAGGTGGAGAACCCGCTCGACCTGCTGCCGCCCCTCCCAGCTCCCTCCTTCCTGTTTCTCATTCCCTGTTCCCTGTCTCGCCTCTCCCTTCTCCTTCCCCCGCACAGCCCGCAGCAGCGGCTGCCGCTGACGGCGAGGAAGCGGAGGCGCCGAAGCCCAAGGCGAAGAACCCGCTGGACCCGCTGTCTGTGCCCCGGCTCATCCCTTGTTTGTGACTCCCCCCTCTACTCTACCACCCACCCCACCGCACCCCCTCCCCATATAGCCCGCGGCGGCGGCGGCGGCGGCTGCTGACGGCGAGGAGGCGGAGGCGCCGAAGCCCAAGGCGAAGAACCCGCTGGACCTGCTGCCGCCCAGCCCCATGGTGATGGACGCGTGGAAGCGGCTCTACTCCAACACCAAGGCCAAGGACTTCCGTGAAGTCGCCATCAAGGGTGAGACTAAAGGTTTTGGGAGGGGTGTGGATGGGTGAGGGGTACGCCGAACGTGGGGGAGGGGTGGGAGCCCAACCCCATGGTGCCGGACGCGTGGAAGCGGCTCTACGCCAACACCAAGGCCAAGGACAGGACGTGAAGTCGCCATCAAGGTTGAGACCAGAGGATGAGGGGCTGGATGTGGGGGGCAGGGGATGAGGTGTGCTGATGGGATAGGAACACTGTGTGTCGACAGGGGAGAGGACTGGGTTGGAGGAGAAGGGTAGCTATCTTCTCTGCCACACCATGGCCAGGTACGTGGTGAAATATTAGAATAAAAATCTCAAGTAATTTCTAGGAGTTACATTTACTCCATCACGGAAGCTGAGGGCTTATAACAAAATCGTAACTATGAGTGGGAGGGGCCATGTTGACAAGCTCACTCACCCGTAACCCCCCATCCCACGCACTTCCTCTTCCTTCTTCCCCCTCGCTGTTCCCCTTTCCCCCCTCCACCCCCAAACCCCATTCTCTTCAACAATCCTCCCCTCCCTCCCTTCTCCTCCAGGCTTTTGGGACAAGTACGACCCGGAGGGCTATTCTCTCTTGTTGTGCGACTACAAGTACAACGAGAACACGGTCAAGTTCGTGACGCTCAACAAGGTGTTGGGCTTCCTGCAGCGCATGGACCTCGCCCGCATGTTCGCCTTCGCCAAGATGTGCATTCTGGTCTGGGCCCCGTCTCCTCACCCACCTCCGCCCTCCCTCGCTCCTGCTCCCGCCCCTTCCCCTGCTTTCTCCCCCGTTTTCCCCGTTTGCCTCACCTTCTCTCCACCAGGCTTCTGGGACATGTACGACCCTGAGGGCTATTCTCTCTGGTTCTGCGACTACAAGTACAACGAGGAGAACACGGTCAAGTTTGTCACGCTCAACAAGGTCTCGGGCTTCCTGCAGCGCATGGACCTCGCGCGCAAGTACGCCTTCGCCAAGATGTGCATCCTGGGCCCTGATGCAGGCCCGTTTGTGATCAAGGGCGTGTGGCTCTTCCGTGGAAGCGAGGTGCCCAAGTTTGTACTCGACGAGTGCTACGACTGCGAGCTCTATGAGTGGACCAAGGTGAGGTTTTGGAACGGTGGGAGAGAGCAAGGAAGGAGTGGTGGGACGGTCCGGTTAGGGTGTGATCGGGGCATTGGGGCAGGTGGAATGGGTTGAGGGAAGTAGGGGTCGCATGATCCAAGTACGCCTTCGCCAAGATGTGCATCCTGGGCCCTGACGCGGGCCCGTTTGTGATCAAGGGCGTGTGGCTCTTCCGCGGGCCTGACGTCCCCCAGTTTGTGTTGGACGAGTGCTACGACTGCGAGCTCTATGAGTGGACCAAGGTGAGGATATGTTAGGAAGTCGGAATTCAGGCTTAAAGTGAGCGGTCGAGGTGCCCAAGTTAGTCCTGGACGAGTGCTACGACTGCGAGCTCTATGATTGGACCAAGGTGAGACTTTGATGATGTTATGAAGGACTTGGGCTTGAATTTGAGTAGCAAACATGTCCCAGTTTGTGATGGGCGAGTGCTACTACTGCGAGCTTTACGAGTGGACCAAGGTGAGATCAGGGTGTAGGTAAGCAAGGGTCGTGAGGCAATCTGGGCAAGGGAGATTAGGGTTTGTCGCGAAAATGTGCGCGTCTTGGGAGTTTATTCTGGTGACCAACAACATGTTTTAACGGATTTTTTTTGTTTGTTACTCCCTTCTGCTGTTTTCCCTTTGCAGGTCGACCTTTCTGACGCTGCACAGAAGGAGCGCGTGAGCCAATACTTTGAGGAGCCCGATGAAATTGACGGGCTTGTGCTGCAGGAGGCCAAGTGCTTCAAATGAGAGGGTCCAGAGAAGCAGAGGTTACCCGCTGAGTTACTTAGCTGGTTGATTTTCTGCATCGCAATATAGCAATTTTTGGTAGCGGTTAGGGAATTGCTGTAGCAAAAAAGGTCAATCAGAGTGTACTGAACCGTTTGCAGTGCATATTGAATGACAGTCTGAACACTATAAAGGAACTTCAGAAATCAAAGTGATAATCAGCTGTTCTTCGTTACAGCGCAGAATTCTGCCTTTCGTTCACCAATCAGGCACGGTCAACTTCAGGGTTACGCGCTGAAAAAGAGAGGCGAACATTTTTGAAAATGCTAGCAACGGCTAGTTTTGTGTTCTTCCGCCAATCATGCGGAGTTATATCGAGCGTGCTGGTAGTTTGAGTCTGCATTGATCTCGCGTTGACTAGTCTCCTCCTTTTTGGTAGTATAACATAGAGCGACATCGAGCGACAGCCATGGCGACGTCGTCGCCAGGTGTTCGCCGAAGATCGTCATTCCCCAGCGCCTTGTCGCAGCCATTGCTCCGCGGATCCCCGTCGCCCGCGCGACCTGTTCCGCCTTCCGCGTGGGAACACCCGCCGTCCTCCGCGGAAGCGCGGGAAAGCCCGGCGGGAGGCGGAGAGATCAGCGGAAGCGGTCGACCGCGGTGGCGCCGGCGCCGCGAATCCGCTGGCGCTAGTGCTGGCGCCGCCGCGATTGGCGCGTTTCAGACGTATCGCCATCCGTTAATTGATCGGATGCTCGAAGCGCAGCGCGGCATGCCGACGCTGACGGACGCGACTGTTGCCGCGGGAATCGCGGTGACCGCTGGGCTCCTATTGGCTGCCACGCGACCGAGGTAATAGCTTGTTCTGAATCGACGCTACACGAGGAAAGGCGACAGGCTGCGTCAGACTGTTGACTGAAAATTGACAGACAACTGACGGACAACTGACGCATTGTGTTTTTCCCACTCGCTTTTGAAACACTGAGGTGCTTCAATATCAGCAGCAGGAGCATCGAAAAAAAACTTCCAACGTCTCAACTCTCTCCGCACCTGCCTCTCAGGCTCCATTGTAATCTGTTGGCCTTCTATCCCCACTTCTAAACTTTTCCCATGCAAATCCCCCTCTCTCTCAGTCTCCTCCTCCGTTGTCTTCTGTTGGCTTCGCCCTTGGATGACAAACATTGGTGTTGCTTTTGAGAATTCTCAAAAGCTCCTCCATTGTCTTCTGTTGGCCGTCAACCTTGGATGACGACCATTGGCTGGATTCCACTCTGCCTCACTTGCCTGCCTTGTACCCGCGTGTGCAAAAAGCAGCAGGTGCGAGACTGGCTATTGATGCAGGCATGGGTGGTAATGGAAGTGCCTTTCTCAGTCCTGCTGCATCTCTCTCTCCCTCCTTCCCTCGCTCTAATCATACTCCACTTGTACTCCCCTGTGCAGGGAGCAGCAGGTGTGGGACTGGCTGGTGGACGCAGGCATGAGTGGTGACGCAGCAGGAATCCTCCTCCTCCTCTCCTCTTTGCATTCAACCTTGGGTAGCAAACACTCACACGATTAAACTCCACTTATCTGCCTTGAACACGCGTGTGTGCAGGGAGCAGCAGGTTTGGGACTGGCTGGTGGATACAGGCATGAGTGGTGACGCAGCAGGGATTCTCCTTTCCGCCTTGCAAGTCTGCCTCTCAGTCTTGCTCCTTCTCTCCACTGCTCAATCCATACTTCACTTGTACTCCCCTGTGCAGGGAGCAGCAGGTGTGGGACTGGCTGGTTGATGCAGGCATGAGTGGTGACGTGGCAGGAATTCTCCTCTCCTCCTTTCAAGTCTCCCTCTCAGTCCTTCTCCTCCTCTCCCTCCTCTCCCTCGCTCAAATCATCTTCGCACGAGTCACCAACCCGACAAAGCCTCCCTTCTCCTCCTCCTCGTTTCCCCTCCCTGCTTCCCCCTTCACCTCCTCTCCGTATGGTTTGAACTACAACCACCAGCAGCAGCAGCACCCGCAGCAGCAGCAGAACCAGCAGACTTCATTTGCTGCTCCCCTTGTTCCACAACGATTGGCCAATAACCCTGTGACACCTGGCACATCCCTTCACACTCCCACGCCGTCCTCACCTCTCCCCTCCCCGTCACCCTCCCAGGGACCAGCCTCCTCCTCCCCTTTCCCCACTCTCCCTCTGTACCCCCAGAGACAACGGCCATTAGCAAACATTTACGGTACTCTCTATAAGCAGCCTCAGACCCAGCATCATAAGCAGCAGCAGCAGCAGCAGCAGCAGCAGTATCAGCAGCAGCAGTATCAACTACAGCAGCAGCTGCTGCTGCAGGAGCAAAATCGAGCCTACTCGCTTCCCAGCCAGCCCTCACTCGCTCCCACCCCTTCTACTCTCCACCACCCTTCCCACTCCCCCCTTTCTCACTCTTCTCTCTCACACCCTCCTTTCTCCCACCAATCCACACCAGAGGCAACAACGGCCGCTGCCACACCCATCGCTCCTTCCTCCCTCCCAGCCCTCCCCCTCCACTCCCACTCCCTCCTCTCCTCCTCCTCACTTTCTCACTCACTCCACCCATCCGTGCCTCCCCCCCACGCTCCCTCTCTCGCGCACTCGCTTCCCTTGCCCTTGGGAGGTCGGAGAAAGCAGGTGGAAACAAAGGAAGAGCTGCAGCAGCTGCTAATGAACCTAGATGGTAAACTGGCAGCAGCAGCTGCTGCTGCTGCTGCTGCTGGTGGTGGTTCTGCAGTTGGGGAGGGCAAGGGTGGGGGAGCAGGAGCAGAGGGGGGAGATGGAAGTGGCGTTGTGGGCAGAAGCGGTAGAGCAGCCGAAGGAGCAGCAGCAGCGAGAGCAAGAGGAGGAGGAGGAGCAGCAGGAGAAAGAGGAGAAGGGGATTACTCTGCTGCTTATCCGACAAGCTATCATCAGTTTCCGCCAGAATATTTTGACAAGATTGACAAGATTCCTTCCATCTCCCCGCGTTCCCTTGCAGATTCTCTCATCCCCACCACTCCCACTCTCCCCAAATCATCCTCCCTTGGAGCCTCTACTTCTCCTCTCCCCCTCTCCTCCTTTTCCCCCACTTCCCCCCGCCGGTCCTCCCCACCACCATTCTCCACCCCTTCCCACCAGCACACACACGCCAACGCCATTGCACCGTTCGTAACCACCCCTCACCGTTACACCCTCCCTTCTCTCTCCACACCTACTCCCTCTATAAGCCACCCTGACCTCTATCATCCCTCCTTCACCTTTCCTCGTTCCTCCCTTCCCTTTGATACAGTCACATCAGACACAGTCACGCCTCTCATCGCCCCATCCTCGCCCCTTTTCGTCCACCCTAGGTTAACCCCTAGTCCGTCTCGAGCCGCCGTAGTGGGGAAAAAAGGCGAGGTGGAGAGATTAAAGCCCATGTTGCCTGAAGAGGAGGAGGAGGGCTTTAAGCGGCTGGGGGTGCTGCAGTGGAGGGACACGTGGCGCGACGGGATTCGCCAGTGGTTCTCGCAGCACCTGCTGAAGGCTCTGGTGAAGAAGATCGAGGCGGCACCAAGCAAGGTGCTGTGCGGTGGAAATGGGTGAGGGTGCTTGAACGTTGGTGTGGATAGGTAAGGGTAGGTGGGTTGAGTATGAGGGTGGGGGTTTCCAGGATGTTGAGTGAGGGTGGGTGTGCAGGAGGATGGGTGATGAGAATGGGTTGGGAATGGGGCATGGAGCAATGGGGTGGGATAGGCCCGGTAGGAAGGGATTCGCCAGTGGTTCTCACAGCTCCTGCTGAATGCCCTGGTGAAGAAGTTTGAGGCGGCGCCAAGCAAGGTGCTCTGCGGTAGGGATGGGTGAGGGTGGGTGGTGTTGGGTGAGCATGGGTGGGTGGAGGGGGGTTGCTTGCATGCATGAAGTGAGGCGACTTCTGAGTCGACTTAAAAAAGGGGGGGGGGGGGGGGGGGGGGGGGGGGGGGGGGTGGGGTGCATGCATGTGTGTATACGGCCAGATTTTTAAACGGCACTGTATGAAACGTCTCAAAGCTGCAAGTTCCACAATTCTCCTTTCTGTGCTGCAAGTCACAATTCTCCTTTCTGTGCTGCCTTTCTGTGCTGCCTTTCTTTGCTTTAGCTCCCCATAATTCCATCCCCAATCCCAATCCCAGTCCCAATCCATTTTCCCAATCCTACTTCGCAATCTATTCTTCTCAATCCCCTACAATCCCTCATTCCTCCTCCCCACCTCAATCCCCCCCCCCTCTTCCCATCCGCATGTCCCCACCCCCCTCTCTTCCCCCCTACTCTTCCTGATACACACAGCTGTCAGCAGCAGCTACCCCTCTCAGCCTTCCCCTCTAGTTCAAACCTTTCCACAGCCTTTAAAACTCCATCTCTAACCCCCCCACCCAACCCTGCTTCCCCCCACTTCCCGTCCTTTCCCCTACCCTTCGCCTACCACACAGCTGTCAGCAGCAGCAGCCCCTCTCGGCCTATCCCTCTCCCTCGAACCTCTCCACAGCCTCGGAAACTCCACCGCACCTCCACCCTCAGGCTCGGCAGCTCTCGGCCAGACCTCCACCCCTGGCTCGGCAGGAGTGGCAACAGGAGGCAGCACTGGTTTGGGAGTGGGAGTGTTGGGAGGAGTGGAAGGAGGGGGGGTGGAGGAGGTGGGGGGAGGGGGGAGAGTGGTGGTGGTGCAGGGGAGTGTGATGGGAGAGAGGGAGGGGCTGCAGCAAGTGAAGGGGGTGCTGCTACAGCTGCTACAGTCGGCCAGTCAAGCAGGTGGGATAGGAGCAGGTGGGATAGGAGCAGGTGGGATAGGAGCAGGTGGGATAGGAGCAGGTGGGATAGGAGCAGGGGGAAACGGAAATGCTAAGTGTTAAGGGTCAAGACGTCTCAACTCAAACCTTATGCTCACAAGTCGCCTTTTCCCAACTGAAACATCTAGTACTGGATGATATTCGCGATTTGAGTCGACCCAAAACACTAGTGATATTGCACTAGTATTTCAAGAGCTGTGTGGGTTTGATCGCAGTGCCGGACCCGTAATTGGGCAGCTCAACTGTTTTTTGCTTTTCTACTTCCCTTCTTCTTCCCTTTCTTCCCTTTCTTTCCTTTCTTCCCTTTCTTTCCTTTCTTCCCTTTCTTTCCTTTCTTCCCTTTTTTTCCTTTCTTCCCTTTGCTTCCCGTCTTTCCTTTTCTTCAACAGCCCCCCTGCTGGGTCCATATTTGGCTTGCACCAGCCACGTTCAACGCAGCTCAAGCATGTGGGGAGGTTATTTTTGAGGCGCCTAAAAAACAGCCCCCATGCTCAGTCCATATTCAGCCTGCACCAGCCACGTTCAAGGCAGCTCAAGCAATTTCCATACCCCTACTGAGGGGCTTTTGCTTCTCCGTTGCTCCTCTCCTTCCCAATTTTCCCTCCATTCCTCACCAGCCCCCCCTGCAGGGTCCATATTTGGCTTGCACCAGCCTCAGCAGCAGCAGCAACAGCAGCAGCTGGCGGCACAGAAAGAAGCTGCGAGGAACCTTCTGGCAGCTATAGCGGACTATGAGCATCTTAGGGACGTCCTTAGGGGGCACTGGGCCAAGGGGCTGCTGCCACGTGGCAGCATGCCATTGGAGTACAGCACGCAACGAATCAAAGGTAGGGTGACAGTGGCGGGCCAGGTGACTCTCCTTGTTCTTGTTCGTTAGACTTTCCAAAGTGATTCAAGTATAGCTCCTTTGCTACCCTTTGCTACCTTTTGCAACCGTTAGCTACCGTTTGCTACCGTTTGCCACCCTTTGCCACCCTTCGCTGCCTGTCACTACCCTTTGATACCCTTCCCTCCATTCATCCGCCCACTCTCATACCTACACTCATCCTTCTTACCTGCTCTTGTTGGTTTCTTCACTCTTCTCATCCCTCCCCCACCCCTGGAAGTAGGGAAACATCTGTGCTGCTTCCAATGGGCACCACCTGGGTGGGAGTTCTCTCATTTTCCCTCTTCGTTCCATCACCCTTTGCGTCCTCACCCCTTCTTTGTGCCTCTTGCTCCTCCCACTCTCCTTCCCCTCCGTTCCCCCCAGCCCTGGCAGAAGGTTCCTGTCTGCGCTGCTTCCAGTGGTCAGCAGGAGGAAGCTTCCTCACACGAGATTCCAGCCGCGTCCTCACCTCCGCAACCACACCTGCCTCCGCCACTGCTCCAGCCACCCCGACCCACAATTCCCTCCACTCCTCCTTTCCCTCTGAAGCTCCCTCCTCCTCCCTCCCCTCCTCTGTCCTCCCACTTTCCCCTTCCCCTGCCCCAATCTCCCCTTCTCCCTCCACCCGTTCCTCCCTCTCCGCCTCTCAACCTGCCTCTATTTCATACTCGTTACAAGCTGCTCCAGAAGGAGTGTTCCTCGTGCCGTGGTCCCCTGACCTGCCCACTGATGCCCATCTACTGCTCTATCTCTTCGCTGCACACCTGTCGCATCCCCATTGGCTGGATGAATACCTGCAATCGCCACTGCCACAGCAGCAGCAGCAGCAGCAGCAGCAGCAGCAGCAGCAGCAACAACAGCAGGTTTCTGCAGCTGCTGCTACAGTGCCAGCCACAGCTGCTAGCTTCGCCGCCCAAAACCCCCTCGTCGTGGGCGGTTCTCTTCCCCGTGACCGCCTCTTGCCTCTTTTGTCTTCTTCCTCCTCTCCGTCGGCCTCTGCCCTCCTGGGCGGCAGGTTCACGGCCATTGTGGGGTCGATCCCACCAGCCACTGCCAGGCTGCCACCTGGCGCAGACGTGCTTGTGATAACACGGGGTGTACCTCCTGTTTTGGTCCTTTTCTGGGAAGGCCAGCCGTCCTTCTGTCTACAGGTGTGTTCTACTCTTCATCAATATGTTTTGCCATTCCCAAACGTGGTACACAGTACACTGCCTTTCAACACACGTTTTCACCTTTCCTTCTGTCCTTACAATTTAATTCAGTGCCTTGTTCTCCACCCTTCTCTTCCGTTGTCCTTTGTGCCCACCAAACAGGGAAGGTTTGCATTGTGGGATGCTGTTTTGCTGCTGTGCCTTGGGGTGCATTTGCACCAAGGTGGCGTAATTGGTGATATTAGCCTGTCTTCACCATCTCTGTCCCTTTCCGCTGTGATGGAGCCTGTGATACGTGCAATTAGCTCCTGAACATAGATTAAGATATGAGATAACAGTCAACCTTAACTCATAAGGGAAACTTGTTTCTATCTTTTAATGCTTGCCTAATCGGTGATAACAGTTTCACATACGAAGGATGCACCTTGCTTCGTCACGTGATTGACGTCATGGAAGCATCCATGGGTGGCTCGCTGCTGCGTCAGGGGTTACAATCACGTCTGGGACGGTTTCCACCAATGGCACCACAGCGAAATCAACGTGTCTGCGCTCCGCGCGGTGAGCCTGTGTTGTCTTGCGAACCAGCACTGTGACCAGCAAATGCATATGAGCATTTCACGTGCTCACTTGGGATTACATCTGTCCTACGTGGATTTTGTGGCTCACGCTCCGCTCCTGCACCTCAAGGGCGATTGTTCTTCTTGCCCGGAACCATGATTTCCACGGCTCGATATTTTTGTTTAGAGTGCCGCCTTCCCATTGCACCTCTGGTGACAACGATTGCCAGCTGCTTGAGCATGTGATTTAGTTGTGAGTGCGAGCTGTTCTCCGCATGTGATGTGTGAATGAATGAAGCTTCCAATTCCACTCCGTGATTTGCGGTCCAGCACAAGCACAACGGCATGAGGACAAGCCAGTGTGCACACTGTACTACGCACAGCATCAGGCTGCGACAGCAAAAGGAAGACTCGATGCCGTGTGGAGTCAACAAAGTCGAGACGACCTAGGGCATCTGACAGGAGGATGACGCGACTCTAACACACTGTACTGTGTACTAGATCATCATCAATAACAGATGTGAACAAAAGACAGTGCCAACAAATGCCGCGAAAGATACGGAATCAAACCGCTTGTGACTCTGTTCAATTGCGACTGAAAGGCCATAGGAACAAGCGTTTTCGACGGCGAGCGCTGTGCGAACCAGCCTGTGGAGGTGAGGAGGCTGCGAGTCATAGATTCCAATCATCGCAGCGCGTCTCTGTTGAACCGTCCGAGTGCAGGCATTTGCTCGTTGCATCTGCTTCATGCATTGCACATCATGTGGTTCTAACGATCGTCAAGCCTCCACACAACATCATTGACAATTTGTGGTCGTTCGCAAAAGAATCTGTTAGCCACGACTCTGATTCCCAGGCCAGTTCGTTCTCTCCAGTCGAGACTCTCTTACTGTATTTCTCCATTTCAAACGTCTCCGTCAATTCCGTAACGAACCCAGCTCTTCGTCTTAGCCTTCTCTTGACAGACCTCGGAAGTGCTTTCATTCGCCTTAGCTCTGGTTTCCACGCTATGGCGGCACAAGTAGCCAGTAGGCGAGGGACTACAGGGCATCAACCGGCTCAACAAGCTATCCAGACTTATTCTAGCAGCAATAACCTCCTCAACTCCTCGCAGCAGCGCAATCTGATGGGTCATCCTCAGCAGCAAATTCAGCAGGACAGAATTATACCAGCAGCCAGCCCTCGTTACAATCCCGTCCGCAACAGCAACCACAAAACACAGATTGATAACCCATTTATTGACAACCCTGAATACCGTCGTCCCCAGCCGCAGCCGCAAGAGCGTCAACAGCGCCGTCACAGACGCTCCTGCTCCATGACGGACTTTGTCCCCGATTTAATCATCCCCGACACGTACGCCCAGGCGCCATTCCCAAATCAAGCTCCCTCTGTTACGAACGGCGCTAGTGGTTCCATACCCTACACTTTTTCCCCCGAGTATTCCCCAGGGCCGGTCTCCGCACCTTCTGCTTTGCCTTTCTCTCCGACAGAGACTGTCCCGGAGATTAGAACCAAGGCATCCACGCCCCCTCCCGTTACGAGTAGTAAAGCGGCTCCTCCGCGCCGCGGCCGCCACGTCAGACGCAGTTCCTGGTCGGGCAATCGACCAATCAACTTCGACGGCGCAGCTGAGGTGGAGACATTCGAGCTGGTAACCCCGGGCGACGGCGAGATTCAAGGGGCGCAAAGCAACGCGGCGGCGTTTCCTCGAAGCAGGAAATCCATCGACTCCGAACCGCCGTTCCTCGTCGCACCATCGCCCCGATCGCGCGGCGACGTCGTCGGGAGAAGGGTCCCAATCGGCCTCCCAACCCCCTCGCTCCCTTCCATCCCTAAAGACGCTAGCTACAGCCGCAAATCATCTGGAAGTTCGACACCGCAAATCACACCTACTAACGCGGATGCCGATGCTGACTCAGACGACGAGTTTGTCGAGCTGTACGGGAACGCCAGGCGGCATCACGCGGAGGCCGCGCGCGCGTTGAACGCGCTGGAGAGGCTCGTCACTAGCTCTGCCAATGGAGTGCCTCGTAGTAGCAGTGGGACAAAAATTGGATCGCCTGTCGCTCTGTCGCCCATCGCTCTGTCGCCCACGTCTTCGCCAACAGCTTCGTCAGCGGCGGGCGATAAGAAACGGTTTTCACAAGATCGTTATCCGCCGGCCCGTTCTCCAATGTCATCCCGCATATGCCGCTCGATCTTCGGACAAGGCTCGGCGCGCAACACTCAAGTTACCGAAGCTGCAGCACCGGTGCCGTCAAGATCTACGTCGATGCAATCTGCACCGTCGATGAAGAGCCATAGCCTCCTGCCCAACAGAGGGAGTACCGTGCCTACCCGCGTGCCTAGCAAGGCGCCTCAGAACAACCAATCAGCCGCCATGAACAAAGCGCCCCTGGCGCTGACTCCTACTGGTGTGACTGGAAGGTCGGAGAAAGGTGCCCCAAGCTCCGACTTTCTTTCGAACGTGAATGTAACCTGCAGTTCGCCAAAGTTAGCTCAAGGAGGGTCGCTGACCGCAGGTGGCGATCGCCTCCTGCGCCGGCGATCTCACGATGACGGAATCAGGTCTTCGCCAATGGCGTGTGGAACACGGGTGTTACGGCGCGTGAGCTTCAGTTCAGATGTGGAATTTATTTCAGAGAGGGAATGACTAATTTTAGAATCTCCCAGATGTACATCTCATATACGAAGTTAATAAGTACAGAATAAGTACTCTAGTCCAGAATGCACAGGCAGCACAAAAAAAAAGAGTAGGCAAGGAATGAAGTTACACCTATATGTTATTTGCCTTGTAGAAGGTTATGGTTTTTTAAATGGTGGTGAATCATTACAGTATTTGGTATCACCAGATTGAACACATATTTTTTGTTTGGTATTAGGGCGCATTCCGCTCTGGACACTGTCCCAATCGAAAGTGTCTGAATCGATTCCACCGCACTGAATCTTATTAAACCGAATTTCACCCTAGTTATTAAATTTTCGCGCCTCTGGTTTAGTTCGGTTTGGAGCGGTATACTCAATTGGGACACTGCGATTAGGACAGTGTCCAGAGCGGAATGCACCCTTAGTGTCGATGAAGCCACTGTCGATCCGGATCGTCTGATTGACGGCTGTCGTCGCTCCGTCGCTCCAAAATGCCCACAAGAGCGACGACAGCTGGCTAATCCCCTGGTACACCTTGTTCTCGATAATTGCACGCCCCCTACCCTCTGTTTTATAGATACCCCAAACCTATTCTGGCTCGAGACGACGGACATCCAGAACTTCAGGGACTACGAATCGACACCACCAAGGTGCAGTCTCTGAAAACTTGTTCAATGTGTTTCGAGTGAGGAGGGAGGGGGGGTAGCTGCCCTGAAGTTCTTATTGCTTTCCGCAATTCGCGACAGGGGTGCGGGAAAGTCCCCCAGATAATTCGACATACGCCGCAAACTACCCTGCGAAAATGTTGTACTCAGGGTATGTACCCCTAGGGTATCGTTTAAGACGTCTGCAATTATCGAGAACAAGGTGTACATTATTGTTCTGTTTTCAACCGTTTCCCAAACCTAAAGGTCCAATTATCTTCCACAAAAAGGTGAGTCACCTTACCGAACTTCACCAGTTAGACCAGTTACACCCGATCTCTGATAATTCCCTTTATCTTAACAACGTGGGGTACTAACCCTCGAGAAATCTGATTTCAAAGGTAGGTTGGAATGTGCGTAGAATGATCAGTGATAAGGTGACACAATCTCAACGCGAGCTTACGGAAACAAACAAAAATAGCTCTAGTCATCTTCCAATATTCTCAGTCTAAGATCGCCTTCCTGGGCTGTCCAAAATTCAAACTCAGGACACCGAAAAAGTGCACTTGGCACGTGCAAGAGATTGGGCAGGATGATGAGGTGGAGGGGGAACGAATCTAGACGTCGCAATTGTTCAGAGGCCCCGAGCGTGCGAACACCCCACATGATCGGACCGTTGGGATTGACCAACTAGAATTGAGATGCGATCACAGATCGTAGATGGAGTCGTACAAGCAGTTTTGATCGCACACGAGAATATGTAAGAACGTGAAAGCAACGTGAAAACAATGTTAAAGCCGCCAGGCTGGACCGAGACATTTGTACTTTTGAAGGCTGTCCTGTCCCAAGTTTGCAGGAAGGCGATCTAAAAAGAGTGAGTTTTGGGAGCCTAGACCTGCCGGTTCCAGATTGACAGACAGGGTGTGCGTCTATCCGGACTGAACACCCTAAAAGGGTGTCTGGAAAGAAGGCGTTCAGGGCGTGAAATTATCAAAGTTTCGGTGTAGCACTGTCGTCTGTTGTTGACTTCTGTCGTTTCATGGAATGTTGATTGATGCTGCATGCGCCTGTGGGCCAAGAGGACTTGTTTTTTTTTTTGTGTTTTTTTTTTGTTCAGGCTTTGGGGTCCCACTAGGATCGTGGGTTCAGTGTTCCCACTTTCTTGCTCACCATGAGGGTCATGCTCGTTTCAGCTTTTGCGGGAACAACCGTTTGAAGCTGGATAATGCTTCACTAAGTGTCGCTTCACAAAGTTCTACTAGATTACTCTTAGGCAAGCCAGTTGTGCAGTACGCTAAGCGCAATATTTGATGTGGACAAATCGGATATGGTTCTGCGTAGCTTTGTGACACTGCGGTTCTCGTGGATTGTTGGCCGTGACATTGCATTCACTCCCGAGTACTTGACGCCTGCGCTCGAAAGCTCTCTGAAATAGGGGCTAAAGGGAAACATTAATTTATTTCCGCAAGGCCAGCATTTGTTTTAACCGCTGTTGTCGCACGTAACGGTTGGCTCGGACAGAAGACGCTTTTCCCCACAGTCGTGTTGTCGTTACTCACGACTCGGTGGATGAATCCGCAAACAGTACTGTACTGTAAAGCTCGTTTTTAGAACTTGTTCGTGGGGTGTGTGTGTACAGTTGAAGCGCGTTACAGTCACACTTGGTAGCTGGGCGGGATGTTCTTGAAACGATCAGGCTATTTCGCTTGGTGTTCGCGCACGTCGCCACTGGCATAAGGTGATTGTAGGGTTGCGTGGTTGTAACATGTTTAACTTTTCCCAGGTACTGTGGACCAGCGTCCGTTGTTGTTTGTGCATGTTCTCAGTTACCATGAAAGCCATCAGTGGCTTCGCGCTGCATTTCGGGTCCCTGTACGAGGAGACAAATACCACTAGCGAAATAAGCGAAATCTTCGCTCTAAATCGGTAAGAAACTCGCAGCATTTGCTGTAGTGCTTGTCTTGTGTGCCAATGCCGAAGCGCCCTGCACAACTGCCCGACAAAAACCACATTCCACCAAAATTTTGAGTGACTGTACCCCTTGTGACATCACCCGGTAAAACATGCAATTGTGAGTAAATTTCTGATTGTAAGGAGCAAATGTTTTGTGATAAGGTGAGCATCGACTGTACACGTACTGTACATGCTTCGCCTTATCTAAGCACATGAGAAATTACCATGCTGGACCTCGGTCTTGAACGGGTTTGGATGTTTCTGGCAGCATTGGAAAAAAGCACCTTTTCTGGCCGCATAGAAAATAGTAACCCCTAGCGACAGTGACCCCCCATAAAAATAGCAACCCCATAAGGGCGCTTCACCTCTCAGTTCGAACAGCACGCTCGTTCGAACAGGCGAGATGTTACTTTTTTCGTCACTCATCGTTTGGGTATTCGCGACGTCGCAAGTAGGAAATTTCGCGAATCAGAACAGAGCTGTCACATGGGGCACGAAGCTCTTCATTTCGCACGTTCGAAAAGAGTAGTTCGAACAAGTTGGGCTCGGTGACAGGGATTCCGCACGGACGACTGATTTGATTGGTCAGCAGGCTTCGGGTCGAATACGAATGTTTGCGACCATTGCAAGTGTCGCTGGGCAGGAGAAAGTGCATCGAAAATGACATTGTTGCTGGGAAACATCAAGGTGAGCAGTAGTAAAAGAGCACGAAGAGACATTTTGACTGGGTGGGCGAAAAATGGGTCAAACTGGAATGGCAGACGACTGAAATTTTTTCTTGCGACGTTTCACGACGTCGTCCAACACTTGGCGACGTCGCATGTTCGAACAGGCTGTCACCTCTAGTCACGAGCTGTCACATTCACCAGGGTGTTCAAATTTGTGTTGGGATCTTGTCAGGAAACTGTTCGTACAGTGAATTCGTTACGTATGTTCGGATTTGGCCCTTCCAGCCCCGAGGTGATGCGCCCTAAAAGTACGTTGGTCCTGTATCGCTCGTGTTGATGCTTATTTTTTCGTCTAGACCGAAAGAGAACTGGTGTAAAAATGGCCTTATCGCAGCAACTCGGCAGCATTTCACGAAATCTTTCGCCTACGGACTGTTTTTGTCCTGGATGCGGGAGCACGATAACACGCGGCATTCGCTTTTGTGGTGACTGGGCTCTGTCGTTCAAGGTCATGCGATGCGAGTTGCCCTTCAGCTTCCTTCCTTCTGGCTACGCGCTTTCTACGTGTACAACTTCATTTTGATCAGTTGGTTGTGATTGTGTTGTGAAGTAATGTTGAACCTCCCCACCCCACCCAGTCCTTGCTAAAATCGTCATATCCAACTTACACTGTCACTTTCTCTGATTCCTTCCACCAAACATGACTACTGATTGCATGCTTCGAGGAGATAGCAATTATCCGCCATACCTCTCGCAGTTTCAGCCACAGCAATTCCCAGGATCTGGAGGGGAAGCACTCTTCTCAAATAACGGCATGCAGTGGATGCCAGCTGTCGTAACATCGCCAGCAACTCAGGGTCAGTTTCTGCAAAATCGCGATTCCGTCGTTCGTCCCGCAGAAATGTATCGTCAGCAGCGGATGCATCGGCGTTCCCCATCCCTGTCCGTCGTCGAATCGTCGCAAAAGGTCACATACGATTCCAGCGACTTACGAGCGCCGCCAACTGCTGTCGTCGCCGCGACGGGTACTACAGCCAACGGTGCTATTCGCCGGGTCGTGATTACCTCTCCTGACGTCTCCGCAGCCGCTCAACCACCACACGTGGCAAACGCAACGCACGCCACGTGGAAAAAAACAGGGATGACGCTTCCCCCGCTCGTACGTCGATGCACAGTCGGATCCGACGGCGACTATTTGAACTACAAGGACCATATAGAGGATACCTGGTGCCCTAGTCCAAGCCCAAGTCCCCGTGATTTACGCTTCGATTTCTCCGGGGAAAGGTGGGCGGATGTTCCCTCATCACCACTCCCGCCCAAGTCGCCCGTTCGCGGAAACTTTCCGCCTCGCGCAGTCTCGACTTCCGCCAGAATGGGGCGATCTGGCTCGGTTGGAAGCGTCGTTAGCGTTAGCGTCGCCGACGACGATGTCGATTCGGACGACGACGAGGCGTTTATTCAGCAATACGTTGCGAAAATAATCACCCCTGCCGCAGCAGCAGCAGCCGCCGCCGCCGCCGCAGCAGCAGCCGCGTCCGCCACTGCCGCTGCAGCAGCTGTACCCGCACCGGAAGTCACTTCCGCAACTTTTGCGCGAAACGGTGGAGCGGCGCCGAAAGAGCAAGGGTTTTACCCGCCGAATCGAGGGTCGCGGGGGGCGCGGACTCACCGGCGCTGGCAAAGCTTCTCCGAGTGTCACGTCCCCGCAGGGAAATTTTCCCCAGTGGAACGTTCCCCGCAATACGCTTTCGCAAGTGCTTCGCGAAAACCTAATGTGGATACTGCGAGTTATATCGACGATTTCGTTCCGCTTCGCGATACTTCAACCCAAACGAAGTACACGAGATCACCAGAGTTCGGTTACCGGGTTCCTGCTGCTGCTTCTTTGCCCCCGCAGCATCGTCGTCGGAACAGCGTCGTTTCGAGCTCTGGCATTCCGCGACGTCGCTCAGGCGAGGAAGATTGGGCGATGCTTTCGCCAGGCGAACTTCAGAAGCTCCAAGTTTCTAGCCCCAGGATGACGAATCGTTCAGTCGCGAGTTCAAATCTCGCAGGGACCGAATATGCTTGGTCCCCTCATTACACCAGGCACCAACCGGCCATCCATGTAGGCCCTTCTGACACACCTGTTGCATCCAGGGCTCCACCTCCACGTCAGCAGCAGAAGCCTAGGTCATTGGTTCACCAGAGGTCCAAGAGCCATGGTGCTAAGGAGCTCTCTTTTACCATGGGATCCCATGGCAACTCTCCTGTTGACGTGGTGGCAGCAAGCATGAGACTGGACAGATCCGGCTACGGCTGTTTAGTTTTTGCTAACGAGAGAAGATAGGGCACGGGGTAGGATCCAATTTACTGAACTTGAAAATCTAGCTTCGTTAATCCCTTTTTTATGCTTAAGCATATTATTATGTTATTTCTGTATGATCACGTGCCCTAGGAGTGATTACTCATAACTTGAACCCTTATTGAGTCTTCGCCCAGGCAAAACATACAGAATTGCTCGACTTCAGATCAGAACCACCTTGACAACCAAGCAATCAAATCCCACTCATAATCGTCTTCATATCGAGTATCCAGCAATCCCCCTCGCGTCTCGTTCTCGTACTTGCCGCAATGAACCGGACAATCGTTCTCATTGCTTGACGAAAAGCTTTTGAATGCCCAGCACCTACTTTAACCGCAGCCAAGTCAGTTCATTCTGCTGTGAACTTGGGACTCCCTTGGTTTTTCAGTTCAAGTTTTATTCTTTCCAAGTGGAGCGTACGGGCAAGTCGCGTGACGCAGAGTTTGGCTCTGCACCCGTTATAGCCTGCTTGATGCTCATGCGCTGTGCCTGAGCGCCACGGCCCAGCATACCGTGTGTACGACGAGCACGCGATCCGATGTGTGCAGACTAGTTTAAGTGGCTCCGGCGACCTTCCCAACTCGCTTTGCGGGGAAACAGAGTTACGACTAGAGGATCCGTGACTACAGAACTATTCATATTGCGCTCCTTCAGAGGCTTATGGAACGGTGTTGAGTATTGCGTCTCACTGATTCTCCTGCATTTGTCACGACGTTACCTGCGGTTTTACGTGGAATTTGCGATGTTGCAAATTGGGTAGTAAGACTCAGGACGGCCCGCACAATACGGTCGAAAGTACAGTTGATTATTACTCTGTAGATCTCGTGACTATTTCGAGCGGCGAAGTCTTCTCTGTCGTGCTGGAAGAGCCAGCCAGGCAGGTGACTGTATTGTTTGCGGCAGTAACGGAGGGGTGGCAAGATGATGCGAACAGGGAGGGACAGTGAAGTGCGGACGCAGAAGAAGGTTGAGGAAGGTAAGTTGTACGGGATCATGGATTTGTGATACGACGTAGAAGGTAAGGAATCTGAGAAAATAAGCAGGATTTAGCACATGGAAGCAGTTAAGAACGTCCTGGTCAAATTGGTTTCGTGACTTACTTGTCAATTCAAATGTTACCCCACGCCGTCTCGCATCACCTCCCTTGTTCTCTGGCCCATCGGAGCAAGATGAAGGAGCGAGCGCCCAAGGAGTGTGCGCGGGAAATTGAGGCATATGCTGACGCTTGAGTCGAGTCACAACTCATCTATACCCTTATCCCCCTCCCTCAATCTCACCTGTTCCCTGCAGCCCTGCGGAGCAAGATGAAGGAGCGAGCACTCAAGGAGTGTGCGAGGGAGATAGGGCGTACGCTGACCTCCCTTGTTCACGTCGAGTCAAGAGTTGCACGCTTAACTCCCTCCCTAGCATGTTTTTGTTTGTTTGTTTGTTTGTTTGTTTTTTTGGATTCTCTGCAGCCCTACGAAGCAAGATGAAGGAGCGAGCACTCAAAGAGTGTGCGCGAGAGATAGAGGCATATGCTGACTGTGTGCGCGGGCGTGTGTTCTCCATCGTGTGGGCGTGCCGGGCACACGCCACCGAATTGAACGAGTGCCTTCATCAGTAGTAAGTAAGAAGGGTGTATGCTGACTGGGTGTGTGCACGAGGGCGAGGGCGTGTGCTCTCCATCGTGTGGGCGTGCCAGGCACATGCCACCAAACTCAATCAATGTCTGCACCAATAGTAAGAAAGCAGGGCGTGTGCTGACTGGGTGCGTGCAACAGGTGTTTGGGGAGGGCGTGTGTTCTCCATTGTGTGTGCGTGCCGGGCACACGCCACCGAACTCAACCAGTGCCTGCACCAATAGTAACTGTGCAACTGTGTAACCAAGGCATGTGCTAACTGTGTGCATGGGCATGTGTTCTCCATTTCGGGCATCTCCGGGCACATGCCAGTGGGCTCAAAGTTTGTCTGCATGAGTTTTCTTGGCGCTCCTCATCTGTGTGTGTGCTGCGGTGGATTGTTTTGCATGCCTCCTCGCCATGCCTCCTCCGCATGCCTCCTCTCTATGCCTCCTCCCCATGCCTCCTCCCCATGCCTCCTCCCCGTGTCTCCTTCCCGTGCCACCTCCCCATGCCTCCCCCCCATGCCCCCTTGTCTTGCAGCACCAACGATGCACTGTTCGATCAATATAAGCGGGACTATATGGTGCAGCAGCAGTAACTGCAGCAGAATACAGCATGTTACACAACTCTGTTTTTCACCATTTTGTTTCTCTGTCTTCGATCCATTCTTGTCTTGCAGCACCAACGATGCAGTGTTGGATCAATACAAGCAGGGCCACATGGCACAGCAGCAACTGCACTCATTGCACCTTAGGTCGTATCCCGGGCTGGTGGCAAGATACTGTTGGTGGCAAGCGGGAAATTCGCTTGCCACCAGCCCGGGATACGACCTTATTCTGTCCCATTGCTTTGTTGCTCTCTTCTTGTCCTTCCATTGCCCCCAACCCCCCTCCCCACACGTTTCTTGCAGCACCAACGATGCAGTGTTGGATCAGTACAAGCGGGACTACATGGCACAGCAGCAGCAACTGCAGCAGCAGCAGCAGCAGCAGCAGCAGAAGCAGAAGCAGCAGCCGGAGCGACAACAACAATAGCTGGAATGGTAGCTGCATTAGCAAGACCCATTGTTGATATTCTGCAGTTGAAACAAAATATAAGCATCAGCAGGAGCAGCAGCAGCAGCTGCATTTTACTCAGCCCATGCAGCTCGATTAGATAGCAGCAAATGCAGTTCTTTCAGGCAGCATATCTGAATCTTGGATATTGTGTTCCTCAGAGAATGACAATGGAATGTGTGTGGTATACCTAATGGTCATGGAAACTCAGCAGTCAGTCTTGTGCTTGTAACAATTCCAGGACCAGGAAGTTGGAAATTTGGAAGGTTTTGCAAGTTTGCACTCAAGCTCTTGGTCGTTTTAGCCTACCGTACGTAACTAGAATCACAACTGCAGTAGCTGGACGGGTAAGCATGTCCTACACATGTGATGGGAAGCACACCTAAACTTCAAAAAGCTACACCACGCACACACACAGAGCCTTTGTCGATGTCACATCAACCGCATCTAAACAGCAGCAGCAGGACTCGTCATGCAGACAGCGCCTCCTCCACCTTGGCCAGGAGGGGGGGAAGCCAAGTCCCCTCACTAAGCAGCAGCACCGTCTGCAGCAGGTGCGGCCTCCCCCGAGTGCTGGCGCAGCACCATAAGCGCCTCCTCCACCTTGGCCAGGAGGGCGTCTGGTGATTCCAGCAGCAGCAGCAGCTCGCTGTTGTCCATCTCAAGGAGCATGCCCGTGATCTTACCCGCCAGCTCCGGCTGTTTTGAGTTGGGAGAGGAGGGGACGCAAGGGGATGCAAGGGAGAGGGAAGGGGGGTGAAGGGTAAACGAATGTGGTGATCCCAGCAGCAGCAGCAGCTCGCTGTTGTCCATCTCAAGGAGCATGCCCGTGATCTCTTACCCGCCAGCTCCGGCTGTGATGGGGGGGAACCGTGGGGGGGATCGATGGGAAAGAGGATATCAAGGAGGTTAAGTCAGAGCAGAAAGGTGATTCCAGCAGCAGCAGCTGCTCGCTGTTGTCCATCTCAAGCAGCATGCCCGTGATCTTACCCGCCAGCTCCGGCTGGTATGCAGTGAAGAGACACAGGAGGTGAAAGGGCATGGAATGAGGAGGTGGGAAGCTGGGACAGGTACACAGGGGATAAGGTGAGGCATTGGAGCATCGTACTTTCAGCAGTCGTTTCAACAGGATGCCTGTAATCTTTCTCACCAGCTCACCCTTACCTGATCAAGCAAGCACCTGAGCTAGAAAACACCTGAAACAGAACGCACCTGAGCCAGGAGGCACCTGAGCAACCTGAATCAGAAAGCACCTCACCACCATGTACCAGAAAAACCCCTTCTCTTCCTGCTCCTCCAACTGATGCTGCTGGATGGGTGGGAAGAGGCGCTCTCCCAGCATCTGCTTCTGCGTCAACTCAACCGCACTTGACCTTACAGCACCCATTCCTTAGACCATCGCTCCCCCTCAGAACCGCTCATTACCCCTTTCAACCCACCTGATGCTGCTGGATGAGCGGGAAGAGGCGCTCTCCCAGCATCTGCTTCTGCTGGGCGGGCGGAGCTGCAGCGAGGGCCGTCGGATTGAGCGGATCGGACGGCAGAGGCATGGGCGCAGCAGGCGGGACGACACCAGGTGCCATGGGGACTGGCACCACTGGCACTGGCACTGCCCCCATGGGGAGCATCTGGAGGGATAGGGTTAGGGTTTCGGGCGAAGGAAGAGAGGGCAAGCATGGGTGGGCAGAGGCATGGGCGCACAGCAGTCGGGACCACGCCTGGTGCCATGGGGACTGGCACCACTGGCACTGGCACAGCAACCATGGGGAGCATCTGGATTGATGGGGGGTAGGGGAGGTAGCAAGGGAGAAGGGGGAGGGAGAGAGGGAGAAGGGGGAGGGAGAGAGGGAGAAGGGGGAGGGAGAGAGGGAGAAGGGGGAGGGAGAGAGGGAGAAGGGGGAGGGAGAGAGGGACCGGCACCACTAGCACCGGCACCACTAGAGAGAGAGGGGGTAGCTGTCGTTACGTTACCCACACCATGGGGACCGGCACCACTAGCACTGGCACTGCACCCATAGGGAGCATCTGAAGCAGTGGGTTCAGAAAGGAAACAGAGAGGAGGGGATAGCAAGAATGCAGTGTGAGAGTTGAGGTGCCGTGGGGACCGGCACCACTGGCACTGGCACTGCCCCCATGGGGAGCATCTGGGGTAAGGGGAACAGAATGGGCATCGGGAACAAAATCGGGCGTTGAAAACGGTTGGCAACGGTACAGAGCTGGGAGAAGATGCTTGGGTGGGTGATGAGAGACAGACGCCCGGTGCCATTAGGACTGGCACAACCGGCACTGGCACGGCTCCCATGAGGGCAGGAGGAACACTAAGGGCGTTGGGCATTTCAGCAGAGAGAGCAGGGAGATCAGCAGGAGCAGAGAGAGCAGACAGAGCAGTGGCAGCAGAGGGATTGGGAAAGCTTAGTCAAACAACACATACAATCCCACCCGTCCCATCCCTCACATCCCCCCACCCACTCCCTCCATCCCCCCCATGTCCCCCCATTTCACTCGTTCCCCCCCATGTCTCCCCCTTCTCCTTCATTCCCCCATCTCCCCGTTCCCCTCACCTGCTGTGGCTGCTGCCCCTGCTGTGGTCGCCCCCGCCCCTGGCGCTGGCGTGGACCAATGGACGCCTGGGGGATGGAGACGGGGAGGGGCGGAAGGGGAGGGGCAGGAAAAGGGGAAGCGGGGAAAACGGAAGAGGGAAAAAGGCGAAATGAGGCTGCTGCCCCTGCTGTGGTCGCCCCCGCCCCTGGCGCTGGCGCGGACCAATGGACGCCTGGGGGATGGAGACGGGGAGGGGCGGAAGGGGAGGGGCAGGAAAAGGGGAAGCGGGGAAAACGGAAGAGGGAAAAAGGCGAAATGAGGCTGCTGCCCCTGCTGTGGTCGCCCCCGCCCCTGGCGCTGGCGCGGACCAATGGACGCCTGGGGGATGGAGACGGGGAGGATGGAGACGGGGAGGATGGGCAAAGGGAAAGAAGGGAAAGAATAAGTTAGCCCAGGTAGAAATGGGGCAATCTCTGCCTCTGCCTCTGCTGCTGCCTCTGCCTCTGCCTCTGCCTCTGCCTCTGCTGCTGCCTCTGCCTCTGCCTCTGCCTCTGCCTCTGCCTCTGCCTCTGCTGCTGCCTCTGCTGCTGCCTCTGCCTCTGCCTCTGCTGCTGCCTCTGCTGCTGCCTCTGCCTCTGCCTCTGCCTCTGCCTCTGCCTCTGCCTCTGCCTCTGCCTCTGCCTCTGCCTCTGCCTCTGCCTCTGCCTCTGCCTCTGCCTCTGCCTCTGCCTCTGCTGCTGCCTCTGCCTCTGCCTCTGCCTCTGCCTCTGCTACTGCCTCTGCCTCTGCCTCTGCCTCTGCCTCTGCCTCTGCCTCTGCCTCTGCCTCTGCTGCTGCCTCTGCCTCTGCCTCTGCCTCTGCCTCTGCCTCTGCTACTGCCTCTGACTCGCCGATCCCGCTGCCCCTGCCCCTGCCCCTGCCCCTGCCCCTGCCCCTGCCCCTGCCCCTGCCCCTGCCCCTGCCCCTGCCCCTGCCCCTGCCCCTGCCCCTGCCCCTGCCCCTGCCCCTGCCCCTGCCCCTGCCCCTGCCCCTGCCCCTGCCCCTGCCCCTGCCCCTGCCCCTGCCCCTGCCCCTGCCCCTGCCCCTGCCCCTGCCCCTGGCCCTGGCCCTGGCCCTGGCCCTGCCCCTGCCCCTGCGCCCTGCGCCCTGCCCCTGCCCCTGCGCCCTGCGCCCTGCCCCTGTTCCGCCCCATACCCGTCCTCATGTAACACCGCCACTCACATTGTAGTTGGGCATGGGTTGGAACCCTCCTCTCGGCATGGGCCCCCTCCACGCGCCCCTCCCCATCATCTGCGGATAAACCACCCCCTGCCCCTGCCTCTGCGCCTGCCCCTGCGCGCCCGCGCCCCCCGCCAGCACCCCTGGGGGAGGTGCAGCATAGAAGATCGGCGCACCAGGGGGAAACATGGGCGCACCAGGCGGAATCCCCCCCGGCCCCCCTGCCACCCCAGGGATAGGTCCCCCAGCAGCAGCGGCAGCAGCGGCGGCGGCAGCAGCAGCAGCAGCGTTGGGGGGGAGAACTGCGCCTGGGGGGAGGGCTGCGCCTGGGGGGAGGACGCCCGGGGGGAGCGCGCCCCTGAGCGCGAACTGCTGCTGCAGCTGCGCCTGGCGCACCTCCTTGCGCTGCGCTAGCGCCACGTAGAGGGGACGCCCGTTCACCAGACGACCTGAATGGGAGAGGGAAAACGGAGGATGGGTGGATGCGAGGAGTGGGGAGCAGGTAGCAGATGAGCATACTTTTGAGGCGCCTCAAAAATGGGTGGATGTGAGGAGTGGGGAGCAGGTAGCAGATGAGCATGAGGTGTATGCAGTTGATGCTGCTGCTGCAGCTGGGCCTGGTGCACCTCCTTGCGAACCCAAACCCCCAACTCCGAACCCCTCAACTGACTCCTGACAAGCAAGCAACCCTTAACAACTCTCACCATTGGCCTCCATGATGGCGCGGCTGGCCTCATCAGTGTTGGAGAAGCACACGAACCCAAAGCCCCGGCTGGTGCCCTTGTCGTTCCGAGACTGGCAAACTCCGAAACCTCAAACCCCGAACCTTAGACCTGAACCCCCAAACCAAAACCCCTAGAAGCAACCTCATAGACACTCACCATTGGCCTCCATGATGGCGCGGCTGGCCTCATCAGTGTTGGAGAAGCACACGAACCCAAAGCCCCGGCTGGTGCCCTTGTCGTCGCGCATCACCTTAGCCGATGTGATCGTCCCAAACCCGGCAAACTCGGCCTTGAGCCTCTCGTCGTCCACTGCCTCCTCGAGGTTCTTCACATACAGATTGGTGGTCTGAGCAGAGAGGGCATGTACAGAGGAGGCGGGGTGGGAAAGGATAAATTACGTGGCCTCACACCCCCACCCTGTGCCGCTCATCGTCCACTGCCTTTTCAAGGTTCTTTACATACAGGTTGGTGGTCTGGATGGGGAGGGAAGATGCGGGTGTGGGGAAGGGGAGGAGTGGGGCTGGAAAGAGGAGGGGTGGGGAGGATGGGACATGCGCCCCCCGTTTTCTGCCCTGCATCTCATCGTTCACACTCACACCCCCAACGAGGTGACTTTAGAGTCAACTCAAAAGTCACCTATGGCACATGCGCCCCCCTTTTCCTGCCCTGCACCTCATTGTTCACACTCACACCCCCAACGAGACTAACCCTCAACCCATCAACCTGTAAGCGATACAGTCGCTCCAGGATTTTCTCCTCATACCACTCCACATCATCTGCTCCATAATCACTTCTACCCCTTATAAGGCGCCTCAAAAGTCAACCTGTAAGCGATACAGTCGCTCCAGGATTTTCTCCTCATACCACCTCCACATCATCTGCTCCATATTCACTTCTACCCCTTATAAGGCGCCTCAAAAGTCAACCTGTAAGCGATACAGTCGCTACAGGATTTTCTCCTCATACCACCTCCACATCATCTGCTCCATATTCACTTCTACCCCTTATAAGGCGCCTCAAAAGTCAACCTGTAAGCGATACAGTCGCTCCAGGATTTTCTCCTCATACCACCTCCACATCATCTGCTCCATATTCACTTCTACCCCTTATAAGGCGCCTCAAAAGTCAACCTGTAAGCGATACAGTCGCTCCAGGATTTTCTCCTCATACCGCCTCCACATCATCTGCTCCATATTCACTTCTACCCCTTATAAGGCGCCTCAAAAGTCAACCTGTAAGTGATACAGTCGCTCCAGGATTTTCTCCTCATACCACCTCCACATCATCTGCTCCATATTCACTTCTACCCCTTATAAGGCGCCTCAAAAGTCAACCTGTAAGTGATACAGTCGCTCCAGGATCTTCTCCTCATACCGCCTCCACAGCATCTGCTCCATAAATGCCTCCCTACCCCTTTACAGTCACAAATAGTGACCCAGTCCCCACTCTCCCCTTCTCCCCTCCCTCCATATAATCACCTGGAAGCGCTGCAGGCGCTCCATCTTCTTCTCCTCGTACTGGCTCCGCAGCATCTGCTCTCTCTCTGACTTCTTCTGTGCTCGTGCCACCAGAATCGCCTTCGAGCCTGGCAAAACAGAAGAGAAAAGCGGCGTGGGGTGGGGGGGAGGGTTGGGGGGATTCGGTGGGGACAAGGGAGGGGGGAGGGGAAGTCGAGGAGAAGAAAAAGAAAGGAAGCTGAGGCTCCGAACAACTCCTATACTGAACTCCAGGAATCAACAGAACTCAGAATAAAAAAGTGACGCAACAAAGTGCGCATCTCAAAACTTCTCAACCGCCCCTGAACGTTGAAAACCCCCGCGCCATCAATCACTATGACTCAAAGAGGCCAAAAAACGCACCGAACTGCGCGTTGCTGAGCTTCTCAACGGCCTCCTGGGCACTGGCCGAGTCATGGAAGTTGTTAAACCCAAAGCCTTTGGAAACCCCCGAATCATCGCACATCACCACCATTTGAGACGTCTCATTGACCCTAACAAGCCCTAGATTTCAAAAGGCACGCACCAAACTGCGCGTTGTTGAGCTTCTCGACTGCCTCCTGGGCGCTGGCCGGGTCCTGGAAGTTGGTCGTCGCGCATCACAAGGGCGTTGGTGATGGGGCCGATCTCGGAGAAGCGGGCAGCGAGCTGCTCCTCCGTGGAGTGACGGTTTCAACCCCAACCAGGGTGAAGAGACTAAAACGTTAAGGACTGGAAAGACGCACCGAATTGAGCGTTGTTGAGCTTTTCCACAGCCTCCTGCGCGCTGGCCGGGTCCTGGAAGTTGACAAACCCAAAGCCCTTGGAAACCCCCGCGTCATCGCGCATCACAACTGCATTGGTGATGGGGCCGATTTCAGAAAAGCGGGCAGCGAGCTGCTCCTCTGTGACGTCCGCAGGCAGGTTTCGGACAAACACGTTGGTGAAGCGCGCCTGCTGCCCCTCCGTGTCCCTCTCTCCGCGTTTCAGGAACTTGCCCACGAAGCTGGAACAGGAGGGGGGAGAGAGGACAGGGCCGGGAGGAGGGGAGGGAGAAAAGGGGGCGGAGGGGGGAAGGAAAGGGCGGAGGAGGGAAGAAAAGGGCGGAGGGGGGAAGGAAAGGGCGAACGGAAAGAGAGGAGCGTAGATGGTGAGAGCGAGGAGGCAGTAGGGTGTGTGACCTCGGAGAAGCAGGCAGCGAGCTGCTCTGCTCCTCCGTGACGTCGGGCGGGAAGTTTCTGACAAACAAGTTGGTGAACCGCACCTGCTGCCCCTCCGTGTCCCTCTCCGCGTTTCAGGAACTTGCCCACGAAGCTGTAAGGCGGGGGGGGAGGCGGAGGGGAGGCGGAGGGGGAGGGGAGAGACGGAAGAGGGCGGGGAAGGGGGGTGAGATGAGAAAGTGCGAAGGGGAGATGATAGAGAGAGTGAGGGAAGGGGAGGGAAAGGGGAAAGTGGGGGGTGGAAGGGGACTCGGGGAGGGGGCGGGGGCCATGGAGGCATGGAATCATCATAGCCATACCCCATGGTCTTGCTTCACTCACAGCCTTTTCCTTCTGCGCCTCCTGCTCTCCCCATGCCTCTCCCCGTGCCACTTCCCACGCCTTCCCCCATGCCTCTCCCCGTGCCACTTCCCACGCCTTCCCCCATGCCTCTCCCCATGCCACTTCCCACGCCTTCCCCCAAGCCTCTCCCCATGCCACTTCCCACGCTTTCCCCATGCCTCTCCCCGCGCCTCTTCCCATGACTTTCCCCATGCCTTTTCCCATGCCACCACCCCGCCTCTCCCCATGCCACCCCCCGCCTTTCCCCATGCCCCTTCCCAGCCCTCACTTCCCGCGTCTCTCCTTATGCCCCCCCCAATGCCTATCCCCTAATCCTTTTCTCAACTGAAGGATTTTTTTTAGGCGCCTGAAAAATCTAAAAAAATCTAACCATGCCTATCCCCTAGTCCTTTCTCAAGTAAAGGAGAGAACATCCATGACTTTTTTTGTAGCCACAAGGAAGCCAACTCATCCCCACCAATCCCACACAGCCGCAGACAACCGCAAACAGCACCAGTCAAACCCAGCCAACCTATGTCAACCGCGGTCAACTCCTGGGGCACTCACACTTTCTTGCCCTCCACGAGCATGCCGTTGACCTTCTCAGTCGCCAGGTTGGCCGCCTCCTCCGTCTCAAAGTGCACGAAGCCGTACCCCTTGCTCTTGCCCCTCGGGCGTGCCCCTTCCCCCGCCGCCTCCCCCCCTTACCCGTTGCCTCTTTCAACCCCTCTTTCGCCCTCTCTCCCCCCGCTTCCCAACGCCCCCCCAAGCCCCCCCCCCCCCCCCTCCCTTTTCCCTGTGCCTCTCCTGCCCTACTAAGAAAAAGTCAAACCCAGTCAACCGTAGTCAACGCCAGTCAACGGCACTCACACTTTCTTGCCCTCGACGAGCATGCCGTTGACCTTCTCAATCGCCAGGTTGGCCGCCTCCTCCGTCTCGAAGTGCACGAAGCCGTACCCCTTGCTCTTGCCCTCGGGCGTGACGGCGATCTTGCACGACCAGATGGGGCCGAACGCGCTGAACGTGTCGTGCAGCGCCTTGTGGTCAATCGACTCGTCCAGGTTCTGAGGGGTGGGGAGTGGTGGGGCCGAGGGGGGAGAGCAGGAAAAAGGCCGGCAGGGAGGGGGGGAGAGTGGGAAATAGGGAAGGAGAACGCGGGGAGAGAGGGAAGAAGGGAAGGGAGGGACAAGGGAGAGGGGAAAGGGGGTGTGAGACGTGTGGAAGTGCACGAAGCCGTACCCTTGAACGCGCTGAACGTGTCTTACAGCGCCTTGTGGTCGATCGACTCGTCCAGGTTCTGAGAGGTGAGGGGAGGGGAGGGGGAGAGACGGGAGGGGGAGAGAGAGGAACGGGCTGGAACGTGTCATGCAATGCCTTGTGATCGATCAACTCGTCCAGGTTCTGGGGGGGAGGGAGGGGAGGAGGGGGGTGGGGGGTGTGTGGTGGGGAGGGAGGAAGGAAAAAGAGGAAGCGGGAAAGAACGTTGGTTTGCCCCTTCAATAAACCAGATGGGGCCGAACGCACTGAACGTGTCGTGCAGCGCCTTGTGGTCGATGGACTCGTCCAGGTTCTGAGGAGGGGGGGGGAGGGGAAGAAATTAGGGAGGGAGAAATTGGGGAGAGAGCGGGACGGCGAGGTGGGAGGAAAGGGGAGGGGACGGGACGGGAGGGGAGGGGAGGGGAGGGGAGGGGAGGGGAGGAGAGGGGAGGAGAGGGGAGGAGAGGGGAGGAGAGGGGAAGGGAGGAGTGGGGACGGGAGGGGACGGGAGGGGTTGGGAGGGGAGGGGAGGGGAGGAGTGGGGAAGAGAGGGAAAGGGAGGGGTGGGGAGGGGAGGAGAGGGGAGGGGAGGGGTGGGAAGGGGAGGGGAGGGGAGGAGGGAGGGAGGGGAGGGGAGGGGAGGGGAGGGGAGGGGAGGGGAGGGGGGGGTGGGGGGGCAAGTGAGGGGTATCAATGGCACAGCGCCTTATGTTCGATCCACTAGTCCAGGTTCTAGGAGCGGGAGAGGCAGAAGGGAGAGGCAGAAGGGAGAGGCAGAAGGGAGAGGGGGCGAGGGGAAGGAGAGGAGAGGGAGAGAGGGAGAGGAAAAGAGGCAGGGACGAAGAAGGGAGGGTCACGATAAGATTCCGGGCTGTTGGCGAAACCGCTACCACGAATTCGCGAAGAAGAAACGGAACGCTTCGCACCTTGATGAAGATGTTCCCGACGCCGCTGCGGCGGTGGCTGGGGTCGCGGTGGGACCACATGATGCGGATGGGCCGCCCGTTCACCTCGCGGTAGTTCAGCGCCTCCATTGCGCGCTCCGCTGCGCGGGCGGGGAAGGGGGGAGGGGGGGGGGAGCGGGGAGAAGAGCGGGAGAGAGCGAGAGTGTGAACACGTAGGGAACAAGAAGGAAGTTAGTTCACCTTGCGGTGGTTGAACGCCCCCGTTGCGATGTTTCGATCGCGAAAGCGACAGGTAAATGGGGACTGATATGCAGAGAGGCGAGTGGATATATCAATTTCAGTCTGCACGGAGACCAGCCCTCAAGGGTTGACGAGCGACCCATGAGCCAATGTCGTTCTGAGGCTGGTTGTGCGATTTGCGAAACGGAATTCGCTGGAGCGCGACCCGCAGAAACAAACACGCCGATGGCGGGGCATTCCCGAGGCGATATACCAGCCGCGGTGAGATACAAGGAAGAGACGCGCGGGAAGGTACGGGCGGATGAAGGAGGAACGGAGGAAGTCTACAGTAGGGGAAAATAGGCCGAGACCTAGAGCGTGCTTGGAAGTTGGCGGAAGTCTGCAATAGGCGGAAGTCTACAATCGGAATAAGTTTACAATCACGGAAGACAACAATCGGCGGAAGACTACAATCGGCGGAAGTCTACAATCGGCTGAATCCTACAGTGCAGAGGTCAACAGTAGAACGAAGTCTTGATAGAGGAGATATTTAGCTGTAGTGACGCCTTACCTGCATGCTCTGTTGAAGCAACAATCCACACGGAAACGAAGCGGCAGTAACGAGGACGTGTTCCACGCGAATATGGAAGGGCACACAGGGGAGAGAGAGCGAGGCATAAGGGGTACGGGGGGGCAAAGATGGGAAAGAGGAGACGGAACGGAAGATTTGGAAAAAAAAAAAGCTGGGAATCGAATGCATTAGAATCGCACGTCATACAGAACAGCCTCATGGTTCTAATCAAACATGCCAGTAGGTTACGATATCCAATTCGCGATCAAGGAACACGAGAACGTGTCATACACTTGAAGAATTGCGTCCTGCCGCCAGCTATCATCTACCGATCCCATCACACGCAACTAGACAAGCAGGCCAGTTCAAGCTTAGAAAAGTCACTTCATGCAGCAAACAAGCATGTAGTCCTCTTAACTTGAGAATTCTTAGAATCTCTACCGGGGAACGTTGTCCGTGCAGGTGAACGACGCAACCAACTTTCTCAGCTTACCAACAACGCATCGCCAAATAAAGGGCAAGTGTACGAACGGCAATGACGAGCAATTCATTAAAATTAATGCCGAGGATTGAGGGAAGGGAGAACGAGATCTAACAGACAGCATTGTTGCAGGTAACGTGACGGTATTTTGAGACGCCGCAGAAATAGAGGCAAGGGCCGGAAACAGACTAGGTAGCGGGGAAAACGGAAAGGGAGAGAGCGAGAGATCTAACCGTCGACAGCGCTGTTGTAGTTGACGTAGGCGTAGCCGAGCGAGCGGCGCGTGACGGCATCGCGGCAGACGCGGATGGACGCGACAGGGCCGACCTGGCTGAAGAGCTCGTACAGCTGCGCCTCCGTCACCTCCTTGTCCAGATCGCCCACGTACAGTGACGCCGACGGCGCTGCGGCTCCCGCGGTAGCCATGGCTTCTCGAGAGGTTAAGAGAGAGATAAAGCGGTTGAGAACGGTTCGAAGAAAGAAGGAACTTCCGGAAACTGCCTGCTCCGGGTAATTAGTGCTGCGAAATGGTGATTCCAAAAGGTGTTGGCTCCGATGGAACTGATGCCTGATGACCCGACCTGCTCTGATGCAACGTCGATACTTAACTAGGGCTGGGGAGAATTAAGCCCTAACGTCCGATCTAAGATCGGAAGCCAAAAACCGCTACTGGAACCACACGCGTTTCTGGCCTAATTTTCTGGTTTTCTAGATTTTTTTGGGGTTTTCTAAGACGCGAAGCGAGACCTCGATGAGACTCCTTTTTTTTTGGCTTTTCTAGTTTAAATCCCCGAGGGGAGGGGGAGGAGAAAGTCAGAGACTCATAGGAGGCAACAGAAGCAACCTGCAGGCATAGCCCAGGCAGGATGACGTTCCTCGGTGATGCTAGGGTTTCTGGTCGGGGTTTCCAGAAGGAAGAGAGAAGAGAGTGACGAGGGGCACGTCGGAACTATCTAAAGAGAGGGTGGAAGGGAAAGCCAAATCTCCGTTTTGGGTCTCTCCGTTACGGAGATTTTTCATACTTTGGACAAAGACATTTCAGCAAAATAAATCGGATGCTGTGCGGTTATCGAGGGGGCTTGTTCCGTGTCAGAACCTTCGATGATTTCGAGGTTGCTCGCCCGCCCATGATTGGATGGTGGAGAAGGCAAGTGCTGCTGAATCTCCGTCTCAAACCTCTTCTTTATAGTCTTTCGGAAGCTCGTTTGAAGCCCACATAACAAATGTTTAGAGGTGTGAGCAGCAATGGTGTTGTTCAAAGTGGTTAGCCTACGAAACGTTCCAAAATGCACAGCATCGTACGGAAAAGTTTGACACTCCTTGGACGCAACACAAACCAGTTGCTACGCCGCCGAGTATGGTTTGTTTGTGGTCCCGCACACCAGATCCTCCTGTGCCTTCTGTCGCTGGTATCGCGACAGTCTCGATGTTTTCTGTGATGCTCCACATAGCCGTTAGAGCAGTATATTCACCTGAAGCAATCCTTGCGGCGACACGACCGGACACCACCGTACGCGTTTGATCGTCTCCGAGTCGTCCATGAAAAAATATCGTCGTTGTACCACCATTTGTCGTGATCAACAAGCCACAAGTCAGAATGCACCTCTTTTGATCATTCCTGACAACTCTCTTAGCAAGGTCTTCGTCTCTTTAGCTTCAACTGAGCCATCTTATCACCGTCCTTTATAAGAAAACGCTCGTGATAGCTTTCGACTCGACTCAGAAGCCCGCCGATGGTCGCCTGCCAACATCCGTCATGCTCGAAACAAGCGTTGTCCGTTCGTCTTGGCCCCACACAACCGATTCACATTTGCAGTCCCGAACGTTGAAACCACTTGTGAACAGCTTTAAACGTTTTGTTGCGTCAACCCGCAGGCTCTCCCAGTAGGAGTGTAGCCTCGTCGGTTCCTTATGAACGATGCTCGTTTGGCTCAGAATTTCCGCGTCCGCTGGCTGTGATCGAGTTATGATTTCCTGAATCAGCAGGAGGAAGTACCGGCTTGCAATGAACAAGGCTTTTCTTCTCGCGCTCGCTCGGATTCTCCATGGCGGCTCGCTTCCGCTGCACAACGCCGCGCGCAAACGGAAGGCGAAGGCTTCCGGACGCTTTTGCTCCCCGCTGCGCGTGCTGCTGCTGCTCCTGGCGCTGACGGTTGTCAGCGTGGCTCTGCTGTTGCGGTCGGTTCAGCTGCAGCAGAAGAATGCAGAGGAGGTGATGAGGGGTGTTACCTAAAAATATTGCATGAGTTTTTTTTTACTGTCAGTGTGGGTCAGAATGCAGTTGTTCTGTGCTGCTGAAAGCTGCCAGTTAGCATGGCTCCGCTCCTGCTGCGTTCAGTTCCGCTGCATCAGAGAGTACCGTTTTGAACTGTTCCTCCCATCATCCCCACTCCTTATTCCGTCTGCCTCCCTTTTTGATTCTTCCACGTACCACTGCCCCTTTTTGTTCCCCAAGCCCACCCCCCTCCCTCACCTATGCTGGGCCCAAAGGGTTCGCCTGCTACAGTGGTTACGTTTTTCAATGCAACTTTACACGTCTCTGGAATCCTCCTCACAAACCCTCCCTCCCCGTCTTCACCCAGGCCGGCCCCAAGGGCTTCATCCGCTACAGTGCGTACCGTCTGGGCGGCAGCTCCTTCGCTGTGATTGGTCTGGGGGTGCTGCGCTTCCGCGCTCGCACGCGCTTTCCCGGGTGCTCGTGGCACGACAACGGGCCCTCCCAGAGGGATGCAGGGATTCCGGGGAGTGTGGAGGCATGGAGATGTCCTATCGTGTACAGCCCCCCCCCCCCCTCCCCATTCATTCCCACTCTCCACCATCTCTCTGACCTCTCCGCCCCTCCCTCCCCCCTCCCTCCCCCCTCCCTTCCCTCTCCCAGGCCGGGCCCAAGGGGTTCATCCGCTACAGTGCGTACCGGCTGGGCGGCAGCTCCTTCGCTGTGATTGGTCTGGGGGCGCTGCGCCTCCGCGCTCGCACGCGCTTCCCGGGGTGCTCATGGCACGACAACGGGGCCGCCCCGGGGGATGCGGGGATTCCTGGGAGTGTGGAGGTGTTTTATCCGGGGGAGCACCACGACTTGGAGTATGAAACGGTGGTGCTCAAATGCTTTCTCAGAGTTGACACTCATGCCTCTCAAGGGGGCAAGCTGCTGCTGCAGGTGGGCTCGGTTGGGCTGGGTAGAGCTGGTTTGAGATGGTTTTTTTTCAGTTGACTCAGGCATAATGGGGAGCGTGGAGGTGTTTTATCCGGGGGAGCACAACGACTTGGAGTATGAAACGGTGGTGCTTAAATGCTTTCTCAGAGCTGACACTCATGCCTCGCAAGGGGGCAAGCTGCTGCTGCAGGTGGGTTCGGCTGGAGTGGGATGGGTTTGGTTGGCCTGGGTTGGGTTCGGTTAGGTTGGGGCAACATATTGCCGGTTTTCCTGGAGGCCTGGAGCCCCAGTTCCCCTTATAAGCATATCTGTGCCACTTGCAACAGCATCTCCCATACCACCGCCCTCCCCTGCAATCACACACAACACACACACAGCAGCTATTCACCTACTCCACTTGTCACAGTTTTACCTTCATTCTTTCTTGCACTCTCACCATCACACCAGGTGCAAGTGCAAGCCACGCATGGCTCACGGGTCATATCAGTCAACACACAGCAGCTAGTCGCCTGCCGTGAACCACCCAGCGTCTTCCTTGTCTTCCTGGAACCCCATCCCCCTTATAAGCATATCTGCACCACTTTTTTCAGCTACTCCTCTCTCCTGCCATGCCCGCAGGTCCAAGTGCAAGCCACCCATGGCTCACGGGTCATATCAGTCAACACACAGCAGTTAGTCGCCTACAGCTACTCCTCTCTCCCACCCTGCCTTCCCTGCAATCACACCAGGTCCAAGTGCAAGCCACCCATGGCTCACGGGTCATATCAGTCAACACACAGCAATTAGTCGCCTACAGCTACTCCTCTCTCCCACCCTGCCTTCCCTGCAATCGCCTACCAGGTCCAAGTGCAAGCCACCCATGGCTCACGGGTCATATCAGTCAACACACAGCAGTTAGTCGCCTACAGCTACTCCTCTCTCCCACCCTGCCTTCCCTGCAATCGCCTACCAGGTCCAAGTGCAAGCCACCCATGGCTCGCGGGTCATATCAGTCAACACACAGCAGCTAGTCGCCTACCACGAGCCGCCCAACGCCTTCCCAGTCTCCCTGGAACCGCATCCCCCTTATAAGCACCGCGTCGCGTTCTGCTCGCCGCCAGTACACTCGGAACTGGATGGAAAGAGGCTGTACGAGTGGTTGGAGTATCATAATCATCTGGGCGTGGACTATTCTATTATGTACGATGCAGGGGGCATTGACGACGAAGTCACTCAGGTGAGTGAGCCACATGTCTCCTTGGGTGGTTGAGAAGAGCAGTTATAAGAGGAGGCTGTACGAGTGGTTGGAGTATCATTATCATCTGGGCGTGGACTATTCTATTATGTACGATGCAGGGGGCATTGACGACGAAGTTGCTCAGGTGAGACTTATCTCTGTGAGAGTGGGTGGGAAAGGCATGGCAGTTCGCTTGGCATGGCAGGCAGGCAAATGAGCAATGGTAAGGCAAGGTGACTCAGAATTAGATGGAAGGGGGCTGTATGAGCGGCTGGAATTTTTAGATGTCTCAAGATGCAGAAAGATCATTGTGAAGTTGACAAAATAATCACCTTCCCTCCTCACTGTCCCCCTGGCAGGTGCTGATACCATACGAGCAGGAAGGGCTACTGGAAGTCAGAGACATAGGGGACTTCCTGGAGTACGAGACATGGCTCTATGCCCAGGTGCGTCTCCTTGAGTGAAAGGTTGGGGATGAGGGACGTTGCCTCAAAAAGGGTGCTGCTACCATACGAGCAGGAAGGGCTGCTGGAGGTCAGAGATATTGGGGACTTCCTTGATTGTGAAACGTGGCTCTGTGCCCAGGTGCGTGTGGAAGGTGTGGTGGGTGGTGGTGGTGAGGGTGAGGGTGAGGGTGAGGGTGAGGGTGAGGGTGAGGGTGAGGGTGAGGGTGAGGGTGAGGGCTCGTCGCACTGATGAAGGCTCGTTAGGGGATGCCCTTTCAGCCGAAACGTGTTAGCCCTGTTTTAGTTGTTGTTAACGAGAAGAGCTCCAGCTTCACAAACTCTCGGTGATTAGCTAGTGTTTAGTTTTTACACGCTGTAATTTCCTACTTGCTTAAACCTACGCCTACGCAAGTGCTGCTCACTGGAAGATGTCCAAAGAGGGTGAGGGTGAGGATGAGGGTGAGGATGAGGGTGAGGGTGAGGGCCCCATGAGCATGCATGCACGATTCTGCTCGTGTGTTTTTCTGGCATATACCACAGGTGATGGTGGTGAAAGACAGTGCCTACAGCACGTGAGCGCATGAGTTCATGAGCATGTGTGCATGTGTGTTTCCATGTCACGTCCCACAACAGGTGATGGTGGTGAACGACTGTGCATACAGCACGCGCTATTCAGCCAAGTGGACGCTCTTCTTCGATCTAGACGAGTTCTTCAACGCCGACGACCCGCCCCCACCCCAGAAGGTACCCACCCTCATTGCCCTTGCTGCCTCACCTTTACACGGATGACCCGCCCCCACCCCAGAAGGTACCCACCCTCATTGCCCTTGCTGCCTCACCTTTACACGGATGACCTGCCCCCACCCCGGAAGGTACCCACCCTCATTGCCCTTGCTGCCTCACCTTTACACGGATGACCCGCCTCCACCCCAGAAGGTACCCACCCTCAATGCCCTTGCTGCCTCACCTTTACACGGATGACCCGCCTCCACCCCAGAAGGTACCCACCCTCATTGCCCTTGCTGCCTCACCTTTACACGGATGACCCGCCTCCACCCCAGAAGGTACCCACCCTCATTGCCCTTGCTGCCTCACCTTTACACGGATGACCCGCCTCCACCCCAGAAGGTACCCACCCTCAATGCCCTTGCTGCCTCACCTTTACACGGATGACCCGCCTCCACCCCAGAAGGTACCCACCCTCATTGCCCTTGCTGCCTCACCTTTACACGGATGACCCGCCTCCACCCCAGAAGGTACCCACCCTCATTGCCCTTGCTGCCTCACCTTTACACGGATGACCCGCCTCCACCCCAGAAGGTACCCACCCTCATTGCCCTTGCTGCCTCACCTTTACACGGATGACCCGCCTCCACCCCAGAAGGTACCCACCCTCATTGCCCTTGCTGCCTCACCTTTACACGGATGACCCGCCTCCACCCCAGAAGGTACCCACCCTCATTGCCCTTGCTGCCTCACCTTTACACGGATGACCCGCCCCCACCCCAGAAGGTACGCCCATGTCACGTGCCTTAATCCCCACCTCACCACCCTCCAGTGGGCGGCGCTACTCAGCCAAGTAACTTTTAAGTCGACTCAAAAGTCACCTAGTGGACGCTCTTCTTCGACCTTGATGAGTTCTTCAACGCCGATGACCCGCCCCCGCCGCAAAAGGTACCTACCCGCCCCTTCCCTGCCCCCAAAAGGTACGCCCACGTGGCATGCTCCAGTGAAGGAACCTACGCCGCCAAGTGGACTCTCTTCTTCGACCTTGATGAATTCTTCAAGGCTGACGACCCGCCCCCACCACAAAAGGTACCCACACTTCTAATGGTACCCATTCTTGCCCCTAAAGGTTGATGCTACTCAGCCAAGTAAGCGCTCTTCTTCTACCTAGACGAGTTTTTCAACGCTGACGACCCGCCCCCGCCCCAAAAGGTAATCCGTCGAGCTTTCGAGGCCCAGATGATTCACCACATGGGTCCACGCGAGCGGTGGACCGGGACGCCCGAACGTTTTGTGTGCAACCCACTTGACATGCCTAGAGAGCCCCAACCCCAACTCCCTTCGTTACCTGTAATGCGGCCCGCCCCTCCCCCAGTGGGGCCGACTCCACTCAGACACTTGGCCGCTCTGCTTAGACCGACCTCCATGAGAATGACTCGAATGAGGGCATACAGTTGGGATATCTTTCTGCGGTTGGGCATACAGATGCTATAGCATAACCCAGGACAGCTCGACGCCATGGAGCACTGGCACCGGCAGCTGTGGTGTGAGCAGTGAAACCCAATGCATCCCCAACGCCGGTGCCTACTCACTCCCCTATGCCCTCCTTCTCGTACCCCAGGTTGAGGCACACACGCATGTCTTGGCCACTCAGCTCGACGCAATGGAGCACTGGCACCGGCAGCTATGGCGGCTGCACACAGCAATGGTGATGGTGTGTTCCCCCCATACCCTGTCGCACCCCAGGTGGAAGCCAACACTCACGTTCTCGCCACACAGCTCGACGCCATGGAGCACTGGCACAGACAGAGGTGACTTTTGAGTCGACTCAAAAGTCACCATGGAGCACTGGCATAGACTGCTGTCATGGCTGCTGTGACTCGTGATGCCCATACACATACTTGTATGTACTTGTACTTGGTGTGTTTTTCCCCATGCCATATCTCCCCCATACTCCAGGTGGAAGCCCACGCCCACGTGCTGGCGACACAATTAGACGCCATGGAGCACTGGCACCGGCAGCTGCAGCGGCTGCAGTGACATGCGATGCCCACACTCACCCAGTGCCTTATGCCCTCCTTTGATTACCCCAGGTTGAGAGGCCCACACCCACGTGCTGGCCACACAGCTAGATGCCATGGAGCACTGGCACAGACAGCTGCAGCGGCTGCAGTGACATGTGATGTCCATGCTCACTGAATGCCCTATGCCCTCCTTCTCGTACCCCAGGTTGAAGCTCACACCCACGTGCTGGCCACACAGCTAGATGCCATGGAGCACTGGCACAGACAGCTGCAGCGGCTGCAGTGACATGTGATGTCCATGCTCACTGAATGCCCTATGCCCTCCTTCTCGTACCCCAGGTGGAAGCCCACACCCACGTGCTGGCGACACAATTAGACGCCATGGAGCATTGGCACAGACAGCTGCAGCGGCTGCGAAAGCGGTTTGCGCGGGAGAGAAGGATGGAGCCGAGACGGCAGAGGGAGATGGAGGAGGAAGAGGAGGCCAAGTGGAAGGAGAAGGAGGGGAGAGGCAGGGACGGGGGGAGAGGAAAGGGAGCGGGGAGGGGTTGGGATGGGTATGTGGATGGGATGGATGCGAGGAGGTGGGTTGATGGAGAGGGGGAGGATGAGGGGGATGAGGAAGCGGAGCTTGAAGGAGGGGAGGTAGGAGGTGGAGGAGCAGGAGGAGGTTCAGGTGAAAACAACAGAGGAGGAGCAGCGGTGGAGACAGCAGGTGCAGGAGCATCAGCGGCAGAGGCAGCAAAGCAAGGACTTGCACATGGCACACGCATTTCCTTGGAGCAGAGACGAGCAGCAGAGCAGGCTGAGGAATCAAAGAACCGGCAAAACGGCACGAGAATCGGAAAAGAAACCGCCAAGGCACGGCAGCAGCGTGTTTCGCGGCAGATGCGAGAGCAATACAGGAAGCTGCGGGCGCGGAGAAAAGAGGATGAGGCGGAGGAAGAGAAGGAGAAGCTTCCTGGGGAGGAGGAGCAGCAGCGGCACCTGCAGCAGCAGGAGGCGGAGCAGCAGAGTCAGATGGAGGTGATTCGGGCGTACAGGGAGCATCTGAAGTGCACTGCAGGCGACCAACGGTTGATTCCGCTCGTGCTGGAGTCGTACGATGGGGCCTCGTACCTGTCGTTCGGCACCCTGTGGTGGGACACTGAGAGGTGGGTGGATTGTTCGTCCCCATATGCCTCCTCTCATTCCGCTCGTGCTGGAGTTGTAAGATGGCGCCTCATACCTGTCCCTTGGCACCCTATGGTGGGACATTGAGAGGTGAGTAGTAAGATGCCTTTTGGGGAAAATTGTTTGCATTATTTGAGTTGAAGATCAGTCATTGAGCTGGCGAATGGTGCTACAACTGATCTTCAACTCAAAGACCCATGCCCCCTGCTCCCCCCTCCCCCACCGCGTGCATAGACTCGTCACAGGCGAAGGGTGCACTCAGCGCATGCTCTAATGTACCGCTGGCCACACCATTATTGGCCCTTCCCATGCCCCCTCCCAATCTCCCCCCCATGCTTCCCCCCGTGCCCCTTCCTGTGCACTCTCACATGCACTCTTCCATACCATGTGTCATGGCAGAACATGCCACGCCCTTCTCACATGCCTATCCATCCATCTTAATCCCCCTCCCATACCCTTCACTCCTCCCTCTCACCAGGTGCATAGACCCATCAGAGGCCAAGGGCACGTGGGGCGTTCAGCGCATGTTCTACCACTGGCCGCACATCTACTGTCTCAAGCCAGAGCTCTTCCCCAGGTGTGACTGCGGTACAGATGGGTGTGGCCATGATACAGGTGGGTGGGGTATGATACAGGTGTGCCGGTGAAGCACATCTATGGTGCAGGGGAGCAGCAGAGACCAAGGGCATATGGGGCGTTCAGCGCATGTTCTACCACTGGCCGCACATCTACTGTCTCAAGCCAGAGCTCTTCCCCAGGTGTGACTGCGGTACAGATGGGTGTGACCATGGTGCAGATGGGTGTGACCATGGTACAGATGGGTGTGACCATGGTGCAGGTGGGTGTGACCATGGTACAAATGGGTGGGGTCTGATACAAGTGTGCCGGTGAAGCACATCTATGGTGCAGGGGAGCAGCAGAGGCCAACTTCACATGGGGCATTCAGCACGTGCAACCCATCAGGATCAGGGCTGAGTTGTGGCGCACTTGTGGTGCCCATCAGGATTACTATGGGAACCACAAGTGCGCCATCAACCCTCCTAAGTGTGTTTGTTCCTTTCTCACCCTTCTCCACCCCTCTCAACTCCCAACACTCCCCCATCTACCAGAGCTGAGATGTGTCTGGGTTTCTATCGCAAGTATGCCATCAACCCGCGGAAGATCACAGCGCTGCAAATGCATGCTTGGACTGCTACCTACCCCATCTAAGGTCGCGTTTGAAAACTCGTGCTCTCTGTTTGACTCCCTTCTGTAACCCCCCACCAGGGCTGAAATGTGTCTGGATTATTTCGGGCATCGCAAGTACGCCATCAACCCGCGGAAGATCACAGCGCTGCAGATCCACCGGCCAGTGCTCAACGACTCGTACGGATTTGATCTCGATACCACTGTAGCAAAACTCAACCATTTTCAGGGCTACGTGCAGCGAGTGAAACCTCTAAATGCGACTATAGAGGGTGGGGATGGTAATGAGACAGCTAGTGTAGCGCATGAACAGCAGCCGCCGGCATTTTGCTCGCAGATTATCCACATTGATGAGCCGATTATTTGGTGGGCGAGGGGGCAAGAGATAGGGGAAATTGCTGCTGAGGCCCAGAAGAATCCTCGCGTGCCTTTGGATCGCATTGAGCGGGCCGAAATGGAAAGTGAGATGGCTAGAGTAGAGGTTGGAGGTACAGAATCATGAAATTTAATGTTCTCTAGTATCAATTGATATAGTTAACTGAAGTAACTACTTTGCCTGCACAAACCATGGTCAAGTGCATGCAGGATATGTATACCCAGATGTGAGAGCTGTTGACGTCTGGCTGCAACATTCAACAATACGGTACATGACCAGTGACCACCGGCACCTCTTACAGAGGCATGCAAACACGCCCACAAACAACCTAGTGTTCTTGTAAAATCAACTTCAATTCAAAGGATACAGTACTCATGCCTGACCCCACCACTGGTGAGTGACCAGATAGATAGTTCCCGAGAGCAGCTGGAGGCAACTGGTACCAGTATGCAAGACAAGGTACAAGCACATAATGATAGAACTAGGCCTAGAGGTTGCCCAGCAAGCAACCCTTGATGTACTAAATACGTCCTCCCATGCATATCAAGTATGAGATGTCTCAAAACTACATGCATATCACAACCAACATACCTCCTGGGCACTACCGTATGTATCGGATCATCGGCAACCAATGATACGGTACTAGCTTATCTACCTCACTCTCTACATCTTGCTGCACTATAGCACGTCACAGCTTACTGCGCTACAAAGACGTCCCGACTCACAACTTCCTTTCTTACAAGCACATCACACCTTGGTGCCAAACGGGATCAATACTTTGCTCACGCCATGTGCGATAAAATACGGCCCAGCATAAATCCTTGGAGTCAAAATCGTAGTCCATGCAGCTGCCGGCGCAGTTCTCGCCCTCCCAAATGACACTCTTGCTCCGTTTAACGGGTTCATCTTATAAAGAGCCTGCTTTAATTGAGTACCCACGGCCTGCCCTGGCTTCAGCGCTTTGAACTGCGGCATGAAACGTTTTATACGTAAGATGTGGAAGGCTGTGATGTTGTAGATTTTGGGGATGTTGGCTGCCTTAAAGGGGAGCTTCTTAAGGAGGGCTTCGGCCTCGGTGTTAGTGGGGATGAGGATGGTTGCGTTGGCGAGCGCTGATAGGTCATACTTGGAATTCACTGGGAAATGGTGAGGGGGATCGGGGGAGGGGGGGGTGAGTGTAGGGGGAGAAGTTAGAGTGGAGTGGGGGGTGTTGGCTGCGGTGCGATAAGAGCAAATCGATTCAGGGGAGACAAAAGGGCTACTCTTTCAATGTGCTGTAAGAAAGTTTATTACACTCGCACTCGAGGCTCTTCTGATTTTTTAACCGCCGCGTTTCCAGGGCCCCGCTTCGATATAAGAGCAGCAGGTTGCTCTAGGACACTTACACGCGAGGCCAATATTATTATTGACCGTCTTCGTGTATCTCGGGTACTGCGGTCAGTTTTGCGCCAATCCGATAGCGCTGCGTCAGTTTTGCGTCGATATTAGCGCAGCGCGCTACTCTGATAGATAGAAAACCTTCACACTTACGCACAAGGCCGATAGACTTGTGTACCGTCTTCGTGTAACTCAGATACTGCGGGTATTTCAAGCTCGCTCTGATAAAAGAAGTACACTCACACGCGAGGCCAATATATTTCTTGACGGTGTTTGTGTAACTCGAGTACTGCGGGTATTTCTTCGCCACGCTGTCCGCCAGCTTCCCCAGCTCCACCTTCAGCTGCGCCTTCGTCGGAGGCGCGACTGCCGCATCCGCAGCACGCGGCGCGAATCGCGCTAGGCATAAGAGCGCTGCGAGAGCCGCAACGATAAAAGCCCGTTGTTCCATCAACGCGAAACGGAATTTGTTGTGTGGACGGTGCGGAATACTTATATTTTCTCCAACAGCTGCGAACTATGGCTGCCGCTTACAGCAAGTAATCGACTCGACGGTGAGAGTAGGCAGAGGTCCGAACGGACGGTGAGAGTAGTCTCGAGAAATAAGGACGGAGCAAAGGTCCGAAGGCAGTAAGGGTTGAAAGCTCGTTCCGTCTACGGACGAACTTCCCGGGCTGTCTCGTTTACGGTGGAAAGCAAGAACAATGTTCAGCGCGCCGCGGCACTTCGAGGGCTCTGCGCTGCGCGGTTGCGCTGCTGACTAGCAAGACTTTCGTCGCTCCCAGCGCCGAGCACCACCAGCAGTCAGCGACGCTCGCGTCGCGTCGCACGAGAGAGAGGAACTCCCTGGTTCGAGTCGCCATTCTACAGTACGCGACGTTGCAGGCGGCCAACAAGGGACGGGCGGGCAGCGCCGCAGAACATCAGTTGGAGAGGAACAGAATTATCTGATTCAGCTGTTGTTCGAGCTCAACCTTCCTTGCTGCTCTTGTGAAGCTGGGGAGGGAGGTTGATGGGTTGGGGGGGAGGCATGGCAAGGCGCCCTGCCCTTCACTTGTTGGAAATGGTTGATGCAGCTAGTCGGTCAGCGGAGCCCCTTGTGCTCCGGCCGACATGGCGGCAGAAGGGGGAGTATTGACGGCTGTACTGCCACTGCGAGGGGCCTGTTTTCGGTCCATCGATGAACAATTTTACTAAAAAATGCGTTAGGACGCGGCACCTGTTTCCCAGGAGGCACGATCGATCCTGGTTGGGGATCGATGTGCCGTGTGTACAGTGTACTGGCGACATCGCGCATACCTGGTTTCCTGCTTTCGCTAAATCGCCAATATATACAGTAAACACAAGTGATGAAGTGGTGGCACCCGCAGCTCGCACGATCGATGTGCCTGTGGGCACACATCGATCTTGGTCTGAGCAGGCGGGATAGTACATCGCGCCACAGGTGACAACCAAGATCGATCGGCGTCGCCCTGAGTCGCAGGCTGAAACTGAATGAGTCGCTGCGACTACCAACGAACATTCTTTGGCCTTGTTCGGCTGCACAAGAAAGCGGCCACAACCAAACAACAACCAGCCACTAATCGAAATAACCAAACAGTAATCTAGGTTCGGCACGCCGGCTGACTCATGGTGACGTGTAATTCTCTCCTACGATTGGTTGCATTGCCGAACTTCTTTCATAACCAGTTTCGTATTGAGTTCAGGTTTGTTGCTGGTTCCATGACAACCCAACAGTGCCAATCAACCAGAAGTGCACAGTAATTCACGGGAAAATTTTTGTGCATTGCTGGTTGGTTTTTGGTTGGGTGCTGACCCTGCTTTCAACGTGGGTGGGGATGGTTGTCAGTTCATTGTGAGCTTAATGCAGAGAGCTGATTGGCTTGTTCATATAATGTGCGCTTTCCAGGAATTTAGAATGTGGTTCCTCGAAGCCACGTACAGGTGGTTGTGTTTGTTGGGTTAGAAATGTGCTGCCATGGTTTTTGACTTTTGCAGGCAACATGCGAGAACAGGCCCACGTTTGCATGTCTGGTTGCACAGCTGGAAGGGTAGCACAGTGAACCACGTTGGTTTTGTTTTTTAGTTGGCCGAGCTTCGGGCCGAGGCTGTCTTGTCGTTCCGGCACAATGAGTGCTGGTCAGAAGTTCTTGGCAGCCAAAGTGCTGCCGAACAGGGCCTTTGTGCTAGGGAATATGGGCGTGCTTGCACATCGGGAAGGTGGTTTGATTTGATTGGGGCCCAAGTCGCCCCAGGCCGTGCTGTGCGACGACCAAGGTGTTCTGTGATTGGATGGATTTTCAGTGTGTTGTAAATTACAGCAACGCACTTGCTAGGCCAAACCTGCATTGTCGAACCTGGCACTTGAGGCTCGAAGTGTGTATCACACTTCAATTTTGCAGTGTGGGCACATCGATGTGCCAATCGGTGTGACTGCCCGAACCTTCCCCGAACCTGGAAAAACACAAACAGGTGCCGCGTCCTTATTCAACCCTCAAAATAGGGCCCTGCATCTGTTGGCTTCTGGCATTTTCGACAAGCTGCCCGCCGACAAATGTGCGGCGCCGGTTGAGGTGCTGGCCTTGCCAAACGACGGGGACAATATGCCAAACGGTGGCGAAGCCTGACGAGAGAGCAATGGACGAAATTCGTGTAACAGCAAGGAGCATAATAAGCTGGATGGATCTGCTTTAGGAGAACACGTACACTTAAAACTGAAGAAACTGGAGAAACTGTACGGTAGGAGCAGGGCCTAGCTGGTGGGTAGGATCATGGGCGTACTCTAGAAATATTGCAAGCACATCTCGTGTTGCAATACAAGCATATCACTCTTTGTTGTGCTCAAGAATATTCACACCTTGGTGCCAACTGGAATCAATACTCTGCTCACACCATGCGCAACGAAGTACGGCCCAGCGTACATCCTTGGAGTAATAATAGTAGTCCATGTAACTGCCCGCACAGTTACTGAGCTTGCAAATGACACCCTTGGAACATTCACTGGAGTCCTCTTATAGAGAGCCTGATTCAATTGAGTACCCACGGCCTGTCCTGGCTTCATCTCTTTAAGCTCCGGCATATAGAGTTTCTTGCGTAAGATGTGGAATGCCGTGATTCTGTAGAACTTGGGGATATTGGATCCTCTCAGGGGGAGCTTCTTAAGGAGGGCTTCTGACTCGGTATTAATGGGGATGAGGATGGTCGCGTTGGCGAGAGCAGATAGGTCATACTTCAATCTCGCTGTAGGGAGGGGGGATGGGGAAAGAGGGAAAGAGAGGGATTAGAGTGGGATTAAAGCTGACTGGGGTGGGAGTAATTTGTTCTTTTCGGGAATCAATTTTGCATTTCCGAACAAAAGTCATGCAGAAATTCAACTTGTTTCAAGTGTTCTCTCGCAAGAGCTGTTACTACACTCAAACGCGAACCCTTCATATTTGATGATGCTGCTCGTGTAATTTGCGAACCAGACCACTGGGGATATATCTTAGGCACATCCTATACAATAGCAACGCGTTTCTCAGTACACCGACAGAACCAAAGCCACTTACATGCGAGGCCAAAATACTTGTTGACGGTGCTCGTAAAATTTGAGTATCGTCGGTGTCTCTTCGCCACGCTCTCCGCCAGCTTCCCCAGCTCCGCCTTCAGTCGCGTCTCCGTCGGACGCGCGATTGCCGCTTCCGCCACACGCGGCGCGAAGCTCGCTAGACAGAGGAGAGCTGTGAGAACCGCGACGGTAAGACCCCGTCTTTCCATGAACGCAAGACGAAGTTAATTATCTAGACGGTGCGGAATACTTAATTTTCTTCCTCCAGTTTCGAGCTGCGGGTTTTGGACTCCCTCTTCTACTGAAAGTAGCCCGGTCAACCGTCGGAGTGGGCTGAATGTCTCGAGAACCCAGGAACTTCCTGAAATCAAAGCGAAGTGTTGACCTCTTATTTCTAAAATCTGGTGGCGTAGGTCGAAAACTGGTTCCGACTACGTACGATCATCGCAGGCTGGCGCGTTATAGCGGAGGGCAAGACCAACTTTCAGCGCGCCGCACCGGTGCTACTGTGCGCTGCTCGGATGCTCTGCGCTGCGCGGCGGTTGCGCTGCTGTCCAAGTCCAAGTGTCGTCTCTAGTGGCACCAAGTAGGAATTTCGTCGCTTCTGAGACATCAAGTCCAAGCGACTCTGGGGACAGCTAGCAGGGTTTTCATCGCTCCCAGTGCCGCCGACCCGAGTACCACCTGCATTGAGCAACGTTCGCGTCACAGGAGAGAGGAGAGGACTGCGTGGTTCGAGTTGCCATTCTACAGAGACGCTACATGCGGTCGGCAAGGGTTGCGCGGGCAGCGCTGCGGAGAGGGAAAGAATCATTCCGCGCGGTTGACAGACCACTGGGCAACAAACAGGTATACAAATCAGAGCAAAATGGACCCTAACAGCTTCGCTGCTTTTGGCCTCCCTTTTGCTTGGTGTTTCTACCCTAAAACATACCTGGTGGAGGGGTAGAGGCTGGTGGTGGTGGGGATGGGGCATTTCCTTCCAATCCATCGTTTCCGTTGGGATGCGGCTGGTCGGTCAGGGGTTTCTTTCTGCCCTGGCCGACATGGCGGCAGAAGGGGGGAGCACGAGCGAGGGCGGAGGTGAAATGAAGGGGCTCTTGTGTTCACGAAGAAATGCGTCAATTCGCCCTCGAGAATACTGGACCACCCAGGCCTTCAAGCAACTGGTTTTGCCAAACGGGCATTTCCGACAAACTGCCCGCCGACAAATGTAGGGTGCCCGTCGAAGTGCTGTTCTGGCTGGAACGACAGTTGAACACCTACACTACACTGTTGAGAACAGAAGCCTCACTATATAACCTTACTATAAATAACTCCAGTGAGCATGACTACAGCTGTTTTTTTTTAGAAGATTTAGGACAGCAGCTAGCACACTATCCTGGAAGCTAATTGAAAAAATCTTCCATAATCATCAACTCCAAGCTCTCGGGTGTATGCATGTAGTGTTTGGATGTGATTAAATCATCCCTGTGAAATGAAAGAAAGGGAGAATAGGTTTATTAGTTCTTCACAAATCACAATGGCCTTCCACTGATGCAAGTAAACTCACCTATTGCATAAAAAAGGATGAAAGATACAGACGAGTAAACACCCTGCTCGCAGTACCATTAACCGCGGATAAAACCAGCAGTACCAGCGTTGTTGCAGCAGCTTGTACTATTGGTCCTCGAGGCAAGCAGCCCAGGCAGTACATACAGACGCACACTCACTAATAGCACACGTACCCCAGGGCAGCAGTGGATTGGGGTAACTGCAAAAGAGAGCACATACCAGCGTGGCTGCAGCAGCTTGCGGTATCGGTCCTTGAGGCAAGCCGCCCAGGCGGTGCAGACGCGCAGTCGCAGTGCAGCATCGGGGATGGCCCACCGCTTCTGTGCCTCCACCAGCTCCTCCATCGCCCTGTTGAACGCCCTTAGCCTGCCATGCATAGCGGCGTGGAATGGTGTGGCACGGCATGGAAATGGGTAAACAGCGGTGAAGAGTGATGAGATGTGATAAGACAATCCACTGAGCTCTGTGCCTTCACCAGCTCCTCCATCGTCCGGTTGAACTCCCTCAGCCTGCCATGAGTTGTGGCATGGCATGGCATGGCATGGCATGGCATGGTAGACATGAGCAATGGGTGAACACCAAACATGTTCGGTTTGCCCTGCACAGACATGTGAAGGCACCAAGCATGTTTGGTTCGCCCTGCACAGACATGTGAAGGCACCAAACATGTTTGGTTCGCCCTGCACGAACATGCGAAGGGGCGAACCGAACCGGATTGCCCTAACATTTTTTGGGGATTTAGGGTGTTCGAGGTTCGTGAGAGGGTGCGAACATCTGCATGTTCGGGGCAAACCCTAACATGTTCGAGGTTCGAGAGTGTGTTTTCAGTGGGCCTGCTCCTCACCGTTCCCACTCCCCCCCCCCCCCCCTTCTCCTTCCGAACATCGAACATGTTCGGCCAAACATTTTCGGCAAAAAACACGTTCGGTTCGGTTTGGTCACAAACATGTTCGGATGAACTGAACAGGTGTTCGAAAATTTGCCCATGTCTATGGCATGGTATGGCATTACGATGGGTAAGCAGTGGAGCAGAGGGATGAAACGTGGTGAGATCCTATGGCCCATCCACTTAACCATGATGGACCATGAGCCTCCGCCAGCTCCTCCATTTCCCTGTTGAACGCCTTGAGAATTCTCAAAAGTGACTTTTGAGAATTCTATATGGAAATATTTTACTTTTGAGAATTCTCAAAAGTGACTCTGAGCCTCCGCCAGCTCCTCCATTTCCCTGTTGAACGCCTTGCATGGGGGCATGCCATGGCATGCCATGACAGACATGGGAAAAAGCCTTGTGCAACACTTATGAGTCGACTTAAAAGCATGCCATAACAGACAGACATAGGAAAAAGCCTTGCGGGACGAGAAACCTGAGGCAAATCATGACCTGAAGCAATCCCTCACCTGAGCAGCTCGCTCATAGCTAGCACCTCGTGATCACCCCCGTCTGAGTGGGAGAAGGGCCAGAGAGAAACGAGCAGGGACTAGTGCCTTGGAATAGAAGATGCCTGAGCAAATCCACCTGTATACCATTAACTCACCTGAGCAGCTCGCTCATTGCCAGCACCTCGTGATCACCCCCGTCTGAGTGGGAGAAGGGCCAGAGAGAAACGAGCAGGGACTAGTGCCTTGGAATAGAAGATGCCTGAGCAAATCCACCTGTATACCATTAACTCACCTGAGCAGCTCGCTCATTGCCAGCACCTCGTGATCACCCCCGTCTGAGTGGGAGAAGGGCCAGAGAGAAACGAGCAGGGACTAGTGCCTTGGAATAGAAGATGCCTGAGCAAATCCACCTGTATACCATTAACTCACCTGAGCAGCTCGCTCATTGCCAGCACCTCGTGATCACCTCCGTCTGAGTGGGAGAAGGGCCAGAGGGACGACGCAGGCTTGGTGCACTCTGGGACGAAGTCAAGAGGGCGAGGGCGGTCGGACATGGCTGCTATCACCTGGAGAAGAGATGGTTAGAGAGAGAACGGGGGAGGAAGGGAGAGAATAGGAGAGGAAAGGGGGATGCAGGCTTGGTGCATGCAGGGGCGAAGTCAAGGGGCCGAGGGCGGTCGGACATGGCTGCTATTGCCTATAGAACGGAGAGGATGGGGGTTAAGGGAGTGAGGGAGCAGGTTTAGGGAGTGCGCAAGGGAGTGAGGGAATGTGCTTGGTGGGGCGAAGTCAAGTCAAGGGGACGAGGGTGGTCTGACATGGCTGCTATTGCCTGGAGAACAGATAGGAGGGCGGGAAATTCTATATTTCTTTCTCTACATTCATAAAAACCATCAGAACAAAAAACCAGGGTGCGGTACATACAAACCCTTCTAAGAGAGGGAGGGAAATAAACATAGCGAACCTAACAATACAAAGCGTGTAAAAAAACCCTTTAGCAAATAACTTCACAATACAATAAGGGGTCTCTGTCACCCACCTTGCTGAGGGCGCAGGTCTGGAAGGCAGCTACGTGCTTCTGAAGGATGCTCCCATCGATGAACGTGGAGAGGGCTAGAGCCAGATCCAACCTGCCGTTCCTGCGGTGGGGGCACAGTCATGCTTCATACATGTTAAGGAGCAATACACGCAGCAAGGAGCTCTTCAAAAAAGACTTCAGTTGGCAGTGAGAGAGTTCACGAGCCACATGCACAAAAAAATATTGATCGCTTGGCATGAGGTGTGAGGTATGAGGTATGAGGCATGAGGTATGCGGCATGAGGTATGCGGCATGAGGTATGAGGCATGAGGTATGAGGCATGAGGTATGCGGCATGAGGTATGCGGCATGAGGTATGTGGCATGAGGTATGAGGCATGAGGTATGATGCATGAGGTATGAGGAATGAGGCATGAGGCATGAGGTATGAGGTATGAGGCATGAGGCATGAGGTATGAGGCATGAGGTATGCGGCATTACCCCTTGGCATCAGCAAATGCGGTCGTTTTTGAGGCGCCTCAAAAACGACCTCAATTTTGAGGCACCTCAAAAACGACCTCAGCATTACCCCTTGGCATCAGCAAAGGCCTGTTGAAGTCCCCCTTGCCTCCACCCTCCCCACGAGTTCCTGTGATTGGAAAGAAAGGAAAGGCACAGAGAAGGAGAAATTTGTCGAAACGAGAAATAGGGAAAAGGGGGAATTCTAGAAGAATATTCACATTACATGGACATGCAGAGAAATTGCAGATTCACTGTGAAATTAACTGCACAATGGTTGCAGAGCGACTTACATGGACTGCATAAGGTAGTGTAGATTGTTCATCTGGTACAGCTCTCTCATGGCTGCATCCTCGATAAAAGCTGCTTTTTTATCCACATACTCCCTCAACGAGACCACCAGCACACCCACCAGCAGCTCCACACTCACTCTCTCACTCCCTCCCCCCAGCATGCCCTCATACACCCCTTCCCCTCCTCTCTCTCCTGCTGTATTGCTATCTAGACTCAGCCTGGGAGGGGTTCTCCTACCACCTGTCCCCTTCCCACTCTCTACTCCTCCTCCTCCTCTCCTTGCCATTGCTGCTTCTCTTGTCTCGTGCAGGGCTTTCCGCGCTGCTGCCTCCGCTGCTACCTCGGCTGCTACCTCTGCTGCTGCCTCTGCTGCTGATGTGTGTTGATGGGAGGAGCGGTAGGGGGAGGAGGAGGAAGGGGAGGGGGGCATGGAGGTGCGGCTGCTGCGGTTGATGAGGGTACAGGCAGTCGCCAATGTAGCAGCATAGTTGCGACGACCCAAGCTGAAATAGGGGAGCATGTGGGATGGGAGGGAAGACTTGATTTTTGAGTTGGTCAGAAAGTGAGAGGCATGGAGCTGCAGCTGCTGCGGTTGACAAGGGCGCAGGCAGTTGCCAATGTAGCAGCATAGTTGAAAGGACCGAGCTGAAAAAGGGGGAATGGGCGGAGAGAGTGGTTATTGAGAATTCTCAAAAACCAACTCGGAATGGGTGGAGAGAGTGGTTATTAAAAAGCCTTCAAATTTGATTGATGAGTGTGCAATGCAGTCAGCACTCACGGGGAGAGGAAGCAGCACTCACAGGGAGAGGAAGCAGCACTCACGGGGAGAGGAAGCAGCACTCACGGGGAGAGGAAGCAGCACTCACGGGGAGAGGAAGCAGCACTCACGGGGAGAGGAAGCAGCACTCACGGGGAGAGGAAGCAGCACTCACGGGGAGAGGAAACAGCACTCACGGGGAGAGGAGGCAGCACTCACGGGGAGAGGAAGCAGCACTCACGGGGAGAGGAAGCAGCACTCACGGGGAGAGGAAGCAGCACTCACGGGGAGAGGAAGCTTCGTATGAAGTTACACACATAGCTTGTGATCGGGTCCACGCCCCCTCCAGCTGGTGCTGCTGAGCTCCCGCCACCTGGCGCGTCGCTATTGGCCAGCACTGACGCGTCGGAAGCCCTGCGAGTAAGCGCCCTGACTGCCCCACGCACTCTCGGGCTCACAAGAGCAGCAGCTGTAGCGCTGAACGCTGCTGTAGCGCCCAGGGCAGCTGCAGCACCCCATCTTGGGCTAGCAGGTGCACCACCCTGGGTGGCTGTAGCGCCTAGAGCGCCTGTAGCACCACCCCACCTTGGGCTGGAAGCTGTAGCGCCAGCGCCAACACGGGGGCTAGCGGCTGTAGCGCCGTGCGGAGGACTGGTGCTGCCAGGGAGTGCGACGCTGGGCCTGGGCTTGGGATTGGCGGCTGTAGCGCCGGACCTGGGACTGGCGGCTGTAGCACCGAACCTGGGGCTAGATGCCACAGGTCTTTCTCTTGGGCTGTGGGCTGTGGAGCTTGACGCCATAGCTGATTTACTCTTCCTGCCATCCCTAGGCGTGCCACCCCGCTCCCCATCTTCCCTGTTCCCTCCACTCTCTCCTCCTCCCCCTCCCGCACTCCCCTCCGGGGTGGGAAGACGACCGGCTCGAACGATGCTGCTGTGCATGGCCTGTAGTGACTGTAGCGAGGAGAGGGAGAGGGTGAGCGGGAGTGACTGTAACGAGCGCCACTCTGACTGCAGACCCCCACTGCAAAGGTCCTCCTCCAGCTGTGGAGGAGGGTGAAGTGGGGAAGCATGGGTAGGGAAGAGGGTGAGTGGGTGGGAGTGACTGAAGCGCCACTCTGACTGCAGACCTACACTGCCAAGGTCCTCCTCCAGCTGAGGAGGAAGGTGAAGGAGGGGAAGACGTGGAGCATGGGCAGAGGCAGGTGTGAGCTGGAGTGACCTGTAACGAGCGCCACTCTCTGACTGCAGACCCACACTGCAAAGCCTGTAGCATCTCAAGCGCTGCTACAAAACCTCTCTGGATAGTATGGCACTTCCCCGGATGAGCCTAATTCGGATAAGCCTACCCCGGATGCGCCTACCTCAGGCAGCACCTCCTGCAGCGCCTGCAGCATCTCCAACAGCGAGAACAGCTGCTGGGGCAACCCACGGCGACAGATGGCGGCAGCTGATTGGGCGAGAGAGTGCAGGGAGGTGATGATGTGGCCGTCGTGGAGGAGGGCGGGGAGGAGGGTGCGGAGGAGGGGAATATGGGCGGGGGTGGATGGGGGGAGGATTTCCTCCAAGCACTGCCGCTCCATGCCCCACACCACGCCCACCTGCGGTTGGAAGAGTTGTGAGAAGATAGGAGAGGGAGGGAAAGGACAGAGAGGGGAAGCTGAATGAGGAGGAGAGGAGGTGGATGGGGGGGGAAATATCTTCCAGGAACTACCACTCCATGCCCCACGCCACGCCCACCTGCAATGGGAGGGTTAGAAGCAGATAGAGACGGAAGGAGAGGAGAGGAGCAAAGGGAGTGGAGAGCAACTGGTAGCGAGGCTGGATCGGGGAGGATGCTCTCAAGCACTGCCGCTCAATGTCTCTCACTCCTCTCATGCTTCAAATGCCTCCCTCACCCCTCCCATGACTTTTGAGTCGACTCAAAAGTGACTTTTGAGTCGACTCAAAAGTCGCTCAATGTCTCTCACTCCTCTCATGCTTCAAATGCCTCCCTCACCCCTCCCATGCATCTCATGCATCTCACCAGCAGGTACATGTGCTGAGCCCACTGCTTGCTAGTGACCTCCAAGTCGCTCCATCCCATGCTGTCCAACGCTGCTGCCACCACGCCGTTCACCAGGTGGCTGTTCAGTGACTCAACTGCCTGCTTCAGGAAGTTGCTGCGTACTTTCCTGGAAGAAGGACGGAAGGGACAAGATACAGGTGTCGATACAGCATGCTTTGTTGGTATCAGGTCATCCAACTTGTATGCCATGCCATACCACCACCTGTATGCCATGCCATCCCACATGTACGAGATAAAACAAGACAATTTTACCATCCCATTAAGGCATCATAAGACAAGAAGCAGAGAGAACACACCATACCACCGCCCCACCTGTACGTCTCCACGAGCTGTGAGCCACCCCCTGCTGCCACCATCCTGCTGCAAATCTCCCCGGCTAACCGCAGTGCGTTATCCGGAAGAAGCTCAGGCATCAGCATGTCCACGTTGGTACCATGTTCCACGTCAGCAGCATGCTTGGGTGCCCCATTCCCACCAATCCCACTTCCAGAACCACCACTTGCCGTTTCTGCTGCTGCTGCTGCTGCTGCTGCTACTGCACCATCACCAGCTGCACCAGAATCAGCTGTACCATTTCCAGTCGCAAAAGCAGCAGCACCACCACCGTTATCACCAGTAGCAGCTGCAGAAGCAGCACCCTTGGCATCCACAGATTCAGAACCAGTTGCACTAGAAGGACGTGGCATGCCATTGCCAGCTGGACTGCCAGCTGGACAGCGAGCAGGGCTGGTGTGGGCTGGACTGGTGTGGCCTGGGCTACAGCCGGAGGAGCTGCGAGGGCTACAGCTGGGGTCGTCGGTATGTGAAGCAGAGGAAGGCTCCAGGAAGGCGATGCGGAATAGGACCTCGAGGCGCTCTGGAGTGAACCTTGCTGCGGCTCGTGTGCTGCGGGGGGGGAGGCAATGCGGAAATTTGGGGTGAGGGGGAGAGTGACGTGACGAGGAAGAGGAAGACGGGGTTCGGGAAGGAGAAAAGTTGACGAGGAGGGGCGAACGTATGATTCGGGAGAAAGCGCAAGCAGGAGGAGGAGGAGGAGGAGGAGGAGGAGGAGGAGGAGGAGGAGGAGGAGGAGGAGGAGGAGGAGGAGGAGGAGGAGGAGGAGGAGGAGGAGGAGGAGGAGGAGGCGGAATAAGGCATTGGGGAGAGGGGAGGGAAAGGTCCCAGGGGGTAATAGTGAACAACACACACACATGGAGTAAATGAGAAGGTAGTGGGATGGGAACATGCATCGCTGCAGCACACAGGTACGTGTAGCGAGGGTGTTTTTGAGACGTCTCAAAAACACCCTCGCTACATGCAGCACACAGGTATTATTAAATTTATCACCACATGAGACACACAGCACCTGTATCAAAGCACAGACCTGCATCATCAACATACTTCTCACCAAATAAGCCACACAGCATACAACTGCACCACAGCATCCACCTGTATTGCAGATCTATCTGGCGTGCTACAGAACACACCTGTATCGTGAGTGCCGCAGCACCCACCTGTACCGCATCACACACCTGTAGCGCTGCAGCAGGTTCTGGAGCTCGAAGGTCAATTCGTCCACCACCGTGCACTGCAGGGATTCCGCCTGCTGCTGCAGCTCCAGCCACTCCGAGGCACCCGAGACAGCCCCAGTCGCTGGATCAGTAGCAGAAGCAGTAGAAGAAGCAGGAGAGGCAGCAGCAGAGGAAGCAGCAGCAGGGGCGGCAAGGGCGTGGCTGACACGGGAGGCTACGTCATCCAGCAAGTCAGCTGATGCCAGATACTCCTGCAGCTCGTCGCCTGCTCCTGATGCAATGCCTGCTTCCGCCTGCACAGTAACCGGGAAAAAAAATATAGATTGATACATATATACATATATATAAATATACATATATAAATATATATATATACACACACATACATATATATATGTATGTATCTTTCGTTGTAACAATGCATAACACGTGAGAGTGTACAGAAAGGCGGCGTAGCAACCTACCCGAGTCTACGCTGCCAACATTGGAAAACCAAGTAGGTGCTGCCAGAGACATGGCGGAAATGGAATTTCGTGGAAAGGATGTCACGAATAAGTGACGTATCCTCTCATAAAACGAACACATTAGCCTGGAGTGCATTGTACCGGAGTAGATGCGCCTGACATCAATAGGCAAGCAACTTCTGGCGTTGTGATGGCTGCTTGCTGATCGTTTGCTGGCTAAAACACCTAATCTCGAGACGAGTTCTCGGAACTTACACTGGCGGCTAGTAAATGTGGGTGAACAGATAAGCACCGATAGATTTTCGCCGTTAGATTTCTTACTTGGCGTAGCATTCGCCGGCACAGCTCTGACGTCCAACCCACGGTTTCGCCTGCAGGGACTTGGCGAGAACCATTTTTGTCGCCACTGATGGCGCTGCGACTGGCAGTCGTAGTCGCAGTCGCACGTCCAAATCGCACGCCATGGTCAGCCATTGCAACTGGAATCAGGAAAAAAATTACTGAGTTAGCGTTTGCTCCTTCTGCTCGCTATTTTCGGAAGCACCAAGTGCACTCGGCGACTACATCAGAAGCACACGCAGGACCTTTACGCAAGAGCAAACGAGGAAAAACCTATGAAGATTTACCTTCATGTAAGTCATACAACGATTAATTCATGTCTTAATGCTTGGAAAGCCAGAACCAGCCTGATGAGGAAAGACAGCAGCCAGAAATGGTCGTCCAATTTCTTCAGCTAGTTCTTCAAATGGGCCGAGTCAAGTTGAGAAATGCCACAGCAGCACGGGTGAGGTGATGCAGATTCACAGCTCCCTGGAATTGCCGAGTTCTCCAGCTAGTGAGGGAGTTTCCAGTGTGTACGTTACACCTCATTCTTCGTGGCTTAGAACGTTTCCACACGGTGAAAAGCGGTTCTAGAGCTTTAACGTCTTGCACCGTGACGCAACACTGCACAGACGAAAACAAGAGATGTACACGTGGTGAACACGGCCTGACTTCGTTCGGCGGCACCATCAGAAACTTCAGCGCAAAAGCTGATTTGAGAATCCGACAATCCAGGTAACGATGAATCAAGTGTTATCTAAAGTAACTACAGATCTTATAAAATAAAGATATTCTAAGATAATCTCGCATGACCACTACCTACGTTACCATAAGGAGAGTCGAAAATATAACAAAAAAAATATTTTTATTCATACGTCTCCTAATGTTTCAGGCTTAGTGTCAAGTAATAGAAATCTGGTTGCTCGGATGTGAGCTGAGTAGGGGGGGGGGGGGAATTGGGGGGCTGTCTGGGGTGTCTCGGTTGGGTGTATGGATTGGGTGTTTTGATTGGGTGTCTTGATGGGGTTTTTATTATGTATGTGCTTTTAGGATCTGGGTGTCTTGATGGGGTTTTTTATTTGTGTGCATTTAACATCAGGGTGTCTTGATGAGTTTGGAGAAAAAAAAATCTGGTTGCTGAGATATGTATCCATTGTTGCAACTTTTGTAATTGTACAAACTTCGCCCGATTACGAGCGTATAGCGCAATTCGAGTCGTCAAGCCGACTCGTCAAACTCTCACAATTCCCGCCAAGATGACGACCATCATTCATGAGCGCATGGATGATGAGGATGATGAACAATCAACCTCCATTCCCGATAAACTGACACTCAGGGACTTGTTTCCAAAGAGGTTCATCTCGTGCTTCTTGAAATCACATGGGCTGCTCAGCAAATCTGGAAGGTGCCATCAAGGAGAGCAATAACACGAACCTTGAAAAGTGCCAGTCAAAAGGAGCCCATCAACGCGCTAGTTTCAGACAAAGATACGCATTCCGTACTGCACTCTGTTTTCCTCAACACGCCTGTCGTTCGTCGGACCACTAAGATTGCATTCCCCGTTCGGACACCATCCGAAGTTCGGACACTTTGAGCTGTTATTTTATTTGTTTCCGAATGTAGGTCTTAATCTAGAGTTACCTCGTAGTTTTAAAGGCTCATGGATAAGCGAACCCAACATCCCCAGAAGTAACCGAGTCTCGAAGTATTTGTTGGGTGGACGGGGTCCACTGTGTTCCCTCACACTCACTGACACATGTAGCGTAGAGTGTACTCACAGCGTGAAGAAGTTCGCACGGTATTTCTCAAAATTTTGTAGGCTGTTGTCTAGGTCAGATTAAAACAGGGGGAGTAGGCTTACAGCATTCAAAAACCGCTACAGATGTCCAAACTTCAGATGGTGTCCGAACGGGGAATGCGAACTAAGTTCAAAGTTGAGGTTTGCATAGCTCTAAGGGCGCGTGTGATTTTTTTACAGGTTCAGAAATTAGGTCGAGCTTAGCATGGCTACGAGTTTCGTGATTGTCGTGAGAAGAGTCTGGCGAAACTTTCCCATTTGAACACACGACAAGTGCGACCTGATTATATGAACTCGACTCGACTCATTAGATGAACATGCGCGCGCACGTTGAATCGAACGTGTGCACTTTTGGGCTCGCTGGATGGTTTGGCGAAATCACCCAGACGCACGAAAGCAAAGTCGCCCTGCCGAAAACGCAAAATGAGTCGCGATGTCAGAGAAAACCACGTGTCAGGAACCGGGTAACCTATAAGGTCGAATCTCGACATTCGACCAAAGTTGTGTCATTGTTATTGAATTGAAAAATAACGTGAGTTTTGAACCACGATAACAGCGAGACTCGACTACAGTTCGCCCTAAAATCAAGGGGGAAATTCGCCTAGAAAATGTAAACATTGCAGTTTTTGAAAATCATACACGCCCTAAGTGGACAACTGCGATTGCCTCTCCCCAGCCTGGGGTGCCATACTTTTTCTAACTCGTCCATACATTGTTAGACCGCGTCCGATTGCTCTAAGCATAATTTGATTAATTCATCGTCCTTCCACCTCCCAACCTGGACTTCATCGTAGATTACGAAACGCGACCTTATAGTTTGTGTAGTTTGCCGTACTTAATTCGCCGGTCCCTCCCATTATTCCCTAAGGTCGTAGCGCTAACAGAGCAACAAGGACACCGTTGTCAGGGGTAGTGAAAAGTCGTTTGGTTCGTCGCTAGCGTCGCCAGGTCTTCGCAACGCCGGAGCTGGCTGAATCCATTCATCCGCTTCCAGATTCTATCCGTTCCGTCAGGGTTGGTAAAAACAGAGCTGTCAAGAGTAGTGTTTCCAGTGCGTGAAAATCGGCTGATTCGTTACTCAGTGCGTCGTCAGGAATTCGATTACCAAACCTTGGTTCTTGTTGGATCCGTTCCCTTCCCTAACTCGGAGCTCGTGATTACAGGCTCCGCAGAGGTTAAGCCCACTCACGAGGGTATCTGAAGGCGTGCGGTGCGGTTGACGCCGTTCTACCACGTCTGTGAGGCGCTTCGCAATCATAGATTACGATTCCATCGCTTTTAGACGGTTTTGTACTATAATCTTCGGGGCCTCGAAGCCATAGGTTTCTAATACACACAGACTGATTGCGCAGCCTGAGTGATCGGAGCGACTGCTCAGACTGACTGATCGGAGCGACTGCTCAGACTGACTGTTCTGAGAACTAGTCGATTTTTGAGTCGACTAAAAAATCGACTAGTAGACACTATGGGGCCGTCAGCCATGCACGCGCATCTTCACGGCGTCTCGCTTCCGCGCGCGTCGTTACCCGCATCGGCGCGCTCGTTCGGTTCAGCCCAGGTCGACACCAGGGCCGGTCCAGCCCAGATCGATTCCAGGATCGGTTCGGCGTCAGCTTCGTCGGGTGCGACCCTGCGGTCTCCTGGCGACGGGGCGTCGGCGTCGCAACGTGCTTGCGAGATGCGAGAGCTGTTTCGAGAGTACTCCAGTAAGGTTTACCAGCTGCTACCAAAACCCTTGCGCGAAAATTACTTATTGTCTTCACATCCGCTTGCGTTTGGTTTGCTAGCTTGAGACAAAACCCTATTCTTCACGCCGAATATTTCATCCTTTCACTCGCCGACCCTGGCTATCAAACCTATCCACTGTCTGCATTCCCCCTTGTCTGGTCTAGTCTGATGGCTCTTTGTTTTGTGGTGACCTCGTTCTTCTCGTCCCCTCGTCCCCTCGCCCTCCGCTCAGGCGTGCTGGCGTCAAACGACACGGCAGCAGCCATCAAGACGAGGCTCGCAGCCGTCTCAACGTATCCAACCATTCTCTATGCCTCATAAGGAAGCCCGCTTCCGTCCCCTCGTCCCTTCGTTCCCTGTTCCGCCCATCCCCTCGTCCTCCGGTCAGGCGTGCTGGTGTCAAACGACACAGCAGCAGCCACGAAGGCGAGACTGGCAGCCATCTCGGCGTATGCAAGCTCGCAAGGCCTCACAGGGTGCGTTACGACCTGCCTGCGCTACAACCTGCCTGCGTTACCACCTGCCTGCGTTACCACCTGCCTGCGTTACCACCTGCCTGCGTTACCACCTGCCTGTGTTACCACTCGCCTGTGTTACCACTCGCCCGCGTTACCACTCGCCCGCGTTACCGCTCGTTCGCGTTACCACTCGCCCGCGTTGCCACTCGCCCGCGTTACCACTCGCCTGCGTTGCCACTCGCCCGCGTTACCACTCGCCCGCGTTAACGCTCGCCCGCGTTACCACTCGCCCGCGTTACCCCCTCGTCTGCGTTGCCACTCGCCTGCGATTTCTGAAACGGCCCAGACTTCACCTCGTTACCATCTGTCCGCCATTTCGGATCACTCAAGGTCGTGCATTTGTGAAGCGCCACTTGGAAAATAGTGCGATTTGACTGTCTTGAGACGTCTCACGATCCTGAGGCGTCTCAAAATACGGCACCTTTTGAGGCACCTCTTTGGACCGAGAGGCACGTCTGTGGAACGAGAGGCACCTCTGTGGAACGAGAGGCACCTCTTTGGAACGAGAGGCACCTCTTTGGAACGAGAGGCACATCTTTGGAACGAGAGCCATCTCTTGGCACCTCCTGAGGCGCCGATTGGGAGTTGAGTGTGATTTGGCTGTCCCTGGTGCTACGTCGTAGAGTGGAATTGTAGGAGGGCGAATTCGCTATGTGTCAACGTCCCACCTTCTGTTTCCTCCCCTCCTCTCCACTTTCGCTCCCCCCCTCTCTACCCTCCCCCTCTCTACCGTCCCCATCTCTATCGTCCCCTTCTCTATCGTCCCCATCTCTACCGTCCCCATCTCTATCGTCCCCGTCTCCTCTCTGCAGGGCCAATGCTCTTCCCAGTCTGCACAGATTGCGTCAGTCATTGAATGACCAGGTTGGTAAGCAGTGGCATGTACCATTATTAAGAGGTGACTTTCGAGTCGGATTAAGAGTCACAGATTGTGTCAGATGCTGACTGTCCCAGGTTTGTACGTATTTTAGGCTTCCCTGTTCCAAAGTGTCGTCAATGATGTGGGAGTGGAGCTTCTAGTCGATTTTAAGTCAGATTGAAAATACATATTGTTCTTACTCATTTACGTATTCTGGCGGTTGAGATTCTTTGTCCTGGGCTCTTCTTTTCAAAATTGCATTTCAAGCTTTCTTTTTTCAAGAACCTAGCTACTGCACATTCCTTCTTTTTTTCACTCCTCTCGTCTCTTCCTCAACCCTCGTTAACCCCCTTGCGCAACCCGAGTCACTCGCAGCTCCATCCCCGTTTGTATGCTTCAAGATTTACCTTTCTCCAGCGATCTGTTTATGTACGCCGTTTTCGGTGACTTCTCTTTTTCTCTCCTCTCCTCATCCCATCCCTCGCTTCTCTTGTTCTTTCCAGCTCAATCCCCTGGGCGGGCGGGCGTTCCGTGTGTTCTACAAGTTCGTTTTCTTCATGAGCCGAGAGCAGGGGCAGAAGGGCGTGGGTAAGTAGGTGACTTTTGAGTCGACTCAAAAGTCAGTGCATACTACAAGGTGACTTTTGAGTCGACTCAAAAGTCAGTGTGTTCTACAAGTTCGTTTTCTTCATGAGCCGGGAGCAGGGGCAGAAGGGCGTGGGTAAGTAAGTTGTAGTCGCTGTAACGAAGGGGAAAAAACGCACACCACCTCACGCATCACTGAGCACCTCTCACTCTTCCTCTGCCCCTATCAAAAGTTTAGCTCGCAGATGCATGCTGGCTGAAATCTTCCTATTCTTGGATTCCTGGTGCGATTGTGTGATTTTCTAGAACCCTCACTCACACTATGTATAATATATCCCCCCTTTGTGTTGTCCAGATGTGGAAACGGCTGTGGAGGCGTGGAGATTCGCCCTGGCAGGGGTTTTCCCGCTTGTGGATTCCTGGTGCGACTTTGTGCCGGTATGCTCTCTCCGCTTCACCTGACCCTTCACCTGCCCTTTCACCTGCCCCTTCACCTGCCCCTTCACCTGCCCCTTCAACTGCTCCTTCAACTGCCCCTTCACCCGGCCCTTCATTTGCCCCTTTCAGCTATCCCCGTCAGCCCTTCCCTCCAGCTGTCCCAATCCCGTCCTCTCACTTTTGAGGCGCCTCAGAAGTAGTCTCGCAAGTACTGGCCTTCACCTCTTCCCTCCAGTTGTTCCAAACCCGCCCTCTCACCCACTCGCGGTATGCAGTATCAGAGGAGACGTGGCAGCAGTTGCTGGACTTAAATCTCCCGTCCAGCTGTCCCAATTTTACCCCCCCCACCCTCTCCCCTTGGTCGTCTCTTTCCCCTCCCACTCTCCTGTCTCTTCCCACAGCTGCACCAGCAACGGTATGCAGTGTCAGAGGACACGTGGCAGCAGGTGCTGGACTAAGCGCTCCCCTCCAGCTGTCCCAACCCCGTCGTTTCACCCTCTCGATTTCGTCGTCTCTCTCCTTCCCTCGCCTTTTCCTCGCCGCCCTCTCTTCCCCCTCCCCCCTACAGCTGCACCAGCAGCGGTATGCAGTGTCAGAGGACACGTGGCAGCAGGTGCTGGACTAAGCGCTCCCCTCCAGCTGTCCCAACCCCGTCGTTTCACCCTCTCGATTTCGTCGTCCCTCTCCTGCCCTCGCCTTTCCCTCGCCGCCCTCTCTTCCCCCTCCCCCCTACAGCTGCACCAGCGGTATGCGGTATCAGAGGACACGTGGCAGCAGGTGCTGGACTTCAGCTGCACGATTGGAGCTGACCTCAGCATGTATGACTCGGATGGTAAGCTGATGTCAGCATGTATGACTCGGATGGTAAGCTGATGTCAGCATGTATGACTCGGATGGTAAGCTGATGTCAGCATGTTTGACTTGGATGGTAAGCTGATGTCAGCATGTTTGACTCGGATGGTAAGCTGATGTCAGCATGTCTGACTTAACCGTAAGCTGATGTCAGCATGATTGTCTTGTGTTGTAACTTGTGTGTCGGTGGTTTTGCCACAGCCTTTATTGCGCTACAGCTTTTAATGCGCTATAGCTTTTACTACGCTACTGTGTCACAGCTTGAACTGTGCTAAAGCTGCTGTTTCCAAGCCTTTAGTTTCTTGGTATTTTCTTGTTCCTTCCTCAGTATTAATCCCGCTCCTTCGCTCCCCAACTCCCTTCTTCTTCTCCGTTCTCTCACTCTCCCCCGTCATGGCAGGGGCGTGGCCTGTGCTGATCGATGAGTTTGTGGAATGCTACTCCAGGTATGGTGCGGTGGGGTATGGCGAGGTATGGTGGGTTATGGCGAGGTATGGTGAGGTATGTCAAGGTATGGTAAAGGTATGGCGAAATATGGTGGGGTATGGCCGGCTAGCTATGGTGATGATGAGACAGGGGGCCTGCATTGTTTATACCAATGCATTAATGTCTCAAGTGCCATTTTATCATGATATTAATCTCACAGGAGGGAGCACATACGTGTGTTTCTCCCCAGAGTGAGACCACGCTCCGGAAAGAAACTCGCATCCGTCACATTCTTGACCCTCTCTCTCTCACATGCCCTTCAACAGGAGGGAGCATCTGGGCTTGTCTTGCGACGTGTGTGGCCGCCGCCCCTCGGTGCTCCTGCGCTCGCCCTCGTCCCATGCATTCTGCCAGCACACCCTGGGCAGTAGCAACAGCAGCCTCAGGTACGGCTTATGCTCTCTCTCTGCCTCTGGTATTCTGTATGCAACCCCTCTTCCCATGTATCCTATCCCATGCGTGCCGCCACTCTCACTCACATACACCCGTTCCCCTACCCTTTCCCTTGCTCGCCCCTCCTCCCCGCCCCCACCTATCCCCCTCCTTCCTCCCATTTTCCCCCACACAGCCACAAATACGCCCTTTGAGGCGCCTCAAAACTCCTCCCCTCCTCCCCGCCCCCACCTATCCCCCTCCTTCCTCCCATCTTCCCCCACACAGCCACAAATACGCCCTCCTCGCTTTTCGAGTCGACTCAAAACTATTTGCTTTTCTCGCAGGCTTCTTCTTCCCCTGCCATTTTTACGAGCTCGTTTTTTAGAATTATCAAAAACCAGCTTTTGAATCGACTCTTGAGTCGCGTGTAATGAGTCGAGTTTTGAGTCGACTCAAAAATCAAGTCACCAGCTCAAATCTGCCCTCTTCGCTTTTCTCACAGGCTTCTTCTTCCCCTGCCATTTCCCTTTCCCGTCCTTTCCCTCACCTCCCTCCTCCTCCCATCAGCTCATTCAACGAGGCCCGGTGGTTAACCACCAATGGCGGTGCCACCACAGCCACCCCGGTCTCCACCACAGCCACCACTAATCTCACCGATGCAGATATGGCAGAGGAGCCCTTATCCTCGTTACAAGCCTCCTCATTACAAGCCTCCTTGTCTACACCATCCGCCTTGCTATCAGCGCTCTCGGTACAAGCAGCTTCGATGTCAGATACAGTGATTCCCAGAGCAGCAGCCCCAGTGGGTTTCAGCAGCAGTCAGCATGGCATTGAGATGGACAGCAGCAGCAGCAGAGGCATCAATATCGGCAGGGATCGTAGTCTCAACCACAACAGCCACAACAACAGCAGCAGCAGCAGTAGCATCAGAAACAGCCTCCATCCATTCCAAGACGGAATGGATATGAACCCCTTGTGTCCCGGCACTGGCCCTTCCTGCCCAATCACCATTCCACTCCCTACCACACACAGGCCTGGGCCGTCATCTCCCACAGGTGTTGACACGTTTCAAAGCCCAACACACAGGGCGGGGCCGTTTTCCCCCACTAGAGGCGGGGCAGAGGGAGCAGGTGGAGCAGGCAGGGTGGGAGCAGCAAGGAGGGTGTTAGTAGGAGCAGGAGCAGGAGCAGGGGCAGGGGCAGGGGCAGGGGTGGGGACAGGAGAAGGGGCAGGAATGGGAGCAGTAGGGTGGGGTATTGCAGCTGCATGTCAAGCAGGTGGGCCAGGAGCGGCTGGAAGAGGGGTAGGAGTGGGAGGAGTAGTAGGAGTGGGAGGAGTAGTAGGAGTGGGAGTGGCAAGAGGGGGGAGTGAGAGGGTGAAGCGGTGTTGGAGGGATGTGAGGGAGGAGACGGAGCAGCGGGAGAGGATTGAGTCAATATCGCTCAAGATGGCTGGGCTGAGTCCGCCCAATGGGGACTGCAAGAGACAACGGGTGACTCAATGGTGACTTAGTGGTGATCCAGTGTTGACCCTGTGGTGTCTCAGTGGCGACTCAATGGTGTCTCAATGGTGTCTCAGTGGTGTCTCAGTGGTGACTCAATGGTGACCCAGTGGTGACTCTGGTGACTTAGTGGTGACCCAATGGTGACCCAGTGGTGACCCAGTGTTGACCCAGTGGTGTCTCAGTGGCGCAGCGAATCTCTTCATCCCTTAGCATTCAAGATGGCTGGGTTCAGCTCGCGCAATGGGAAGTGCAAGAGATAACGGCTGACGCAGCGGTGACCCAGTAGGGAAAGGTGGGGGTGAAGTGAGTGGGTGGAGCAGAGGGATAGGATCAATATCATTCAAGATGTGAATTCCGAAACTAGTACAATACCGGTATGTTAGCGGGAGGTGAGGTGATAATGATGCTTCCCGCGCTGCAAATAGAACACAGATTTTATATATATATATATATATAATTCTGAGAATCCTTGCCAAGCTTCAGTTTCCGTTTATTCCTTACGTGCATCAGGCAAACATGCCCAATGATTGGTTCCTAACTTCAGAGGTGTGCTGGGTATTGGTAGGATACTTCAGCTGACTGTTTCATCTGTTTCTGTCATCTGCGACGAGCATCTGCATCACGTTGTGCTGCGCACCATGGTACAAAGGAAGTATGAGAAGAGAAGGTTCAACGCGTGACGTTGCCTCTAAATGCATCATACGCTGGAGGACAAATAGACATACTGTACAAGCACGGCAGCTTAGCAAATGTTAATCTGAGACGTCTATAACTCCAATCAAACTCGGATGGATGCTCTGTGTTACGAGCTGCAGTATTCTCAGTGGTGTTAGAATTGAATAAAGATGTCATTTTGTGTTGGCAGCTGGGGCATCCTCAGATGGTGGGTCTGGAGGCTGGATTTCAATATCTGGGTAAACCTGTTGCACAAAGAAAGAGGTTGAGATGTGAAATATGAGGCGGTCTGGTGGTTTTAAACATGTCGGGGACATCAACTAAGCCAAACAAAAAAACACAATTTATAAAAGACAAGGAAGAACAAATAAAGAAACGAATAAAATCAAACAAACAAACAGACAGACAGGGAGGGTGAAGGGAAGCCGGAATGGACCAGACAAGCAATAGAGGAGTGAAGAGGACAAGTCAAGAGCATACCACAGTGGCTTAAGAAGCATACCACAGTGGCTTAAGAAGCATACCACAGTGGCTTAAGAAGCATACCACAGTGGCTTAAGAAGCATACCACAGTGGCTTAAGAAGCATACCACAGTGGCTTAAGAAGCATACCACAGTGGCTTAAGAAGCATACCACAGTGGCTTAAGAAGCATACCACAGTGGCTTAAGAAGCATACCACAGTGGCTTAAGAAGCATACCACAGTGGCTTAAGAAGCATACCACAGTGGCTTAAGAAGCATACCACAGTGGCTTAAGAAGCATACCACAGTGGCTTAAGAAGCATACCACAGTGGCTTAAGAAGCATACCACAGTGGCTTAAGAAGCATACCACAGTGGCTTAAGAAGCATACCACAGTGGCTTAAGAAGCATACCACAGTGGCTTAAGAAGCATACCACAGTGGCTTAAGAAGCATACCACAGTGGCTTAAGAAGCATACCACAGTGGCTTAAGAAGCATACCACAGTGGCTTAAGAAGGGCCATAAAATAAACGAAAGCATACTACAAACGTATCATAGAAGTACCTCTCCTCGATCTCCTCATATCAAACGTGTCGTTAGCTATCCACCTCTCCTGTCCCTACCTTTCTGGCTCTTCTATCCCTCCCCTACCCCATACCTCCTTGAACCTCTTGCGCAAGTCAGCATCCACAAGGCGTGTGCCGTCCAGCTGATTCCCCAGTGAGATCCAGCTGGGGTGAGAGTGGTGCAGGAAGATGCAGAGAGGTGAAGGGGGAGTGCAGAGAGGTGAAGGGGTAGGAGGGAGAGGAAAGGAACACATTAGCAAGTCCGATGAGTGATCGCCCTAGGGGGAGATCCAGCTGGGGTGAGGGGAGGAGGGGAGGAGGGGAGGAGGGGAGGAGGGGAGGAGGGGAGGAGGGGCGGAGGGGAGGAGGGGAGGAGGGGAGGAGGGGAGGAGGGGAGGAGGGGAGGAGGGGAGGAGGGGCGGAGGGGCAGAGGGGACGAGGGGACGAGGGGACGAGGGGACGAGGGGACGAGGGGACGAGGGGACGAGGGGAGGAGGGGAGGAGGGGAGGAGGGGAGGAGGGGAGGAGGGGCGGAGGGGCGGAGGGGAGGAGGGGAGGAGGGGAGGAGGGGAGGAGGGGAGGAGGGGAGGAGGGGAGGAGGGGAGGAGGGGAGGAGGGGAGGAGGGGAGGAGGGGAGGAGGGGAGGAGAGGGAGCGGGAGAGGGAGAGAAGGGAGGGGAGGGCGAAAGGAGGGCGCATGGGATAAAGACAGTGATTATTACTCATCACAATAATGCATCTGTTCTTAGTACCGACCATAAGCGTAAGTAACGCAGCTACTCTTAGTACTAACAATAAGAGTAAGTAGCGCAGTTAGTCTTAGTACCAACCATAAGGGTAAGTAACGCACTTACTCTTAATACCAACCATAAAAATATGTAGCACACAATCTCGATGTGTGTACGCCTGATGTATGCATGTCCGATGTAGCTTTGTAACCCTCCTCTTCCTCACCTCAACGGCCTCGTACCATCTGCTCCCTCCCTCACCTCGTCGGGCTTTCTGCTGGTCTCTCGGACTTCAGCAACGATCACATCGGTGTCGATGTTGCGGTTCACCAGAGGAGCGCCCTTGATGCCCACCAGGCAGTGCTCCTTGCTGTGGTTCAGCCAGTGCCCCGTGCGCCCCGTGCGAATGATGCGCTGCAGCTGATTCGTCTTCACCCAAATCAGCTCCTCGACTCGCCGGTATCCCCACAGTTCCAAACTGGAGGAACAACAGGAAGCAGGGTGTTGAAAAAAATGAGGCAAAGTTGGTTGGTTCCAAGGGCTTTGACCCACTGCCACTGCCCCGTGCGCCTCGTGCGCCCTTGATGCCCACCAAGCAGTGCTCCTTGCTGTGGTTCAGCCAGTGCCCCGTGCGCCCCGTGCGAATGATGCGCTGCAGCTGATTCGTCTTCACCCAAATCAGCTCCTCAACTCGCCGGTACCCCCACAGCTCCAGGCTGCTGTGGACGGAGAGCCAAGGCAAGCAAGCACCAGTAAATACTGTTAATATGTATATAGATGTGCGTATAAATATTTAAAATATGCTTAGTGTACACATAGCGTATACAATATGCATAATATAAGAATACATAGAAATATACATTTTTTCTGAGCATTTTACACATTTTGTATTCATATTTCATACACTTAAGTGTGTATGTATGTGTAAAATACACATATAGATATCAACTTCAACTCATGTACACATTCATACATTAATATACATGTATATATCAAGGACCACGTTCCACTAGAGCTACATGGAAACCCAGCTTCACCCATGTTTCAGAACGCAGTCGCCTCGTCAGCAGTCTCACCACCCGTTATTGTCACACTCACTACCTCCTGTTCTCACACTCGCCAATCGCTATAAGCACACACCCACACTCACTACCTCCTGTTCTCACACTCGCCAATCGCTATAAGCACACACCCACACTCACCACTCTCGCCCCAGCTCCATAGCACGCCCTGTCACCCACAGGAAGATCAGCCCATCCGTTTGCAAGCCCTGGCGGATGCAGGGGAGGATGGAGAGACAGGAAGGGGGAAGAAGGATGGGGGGAGAGATGGCTTTGATCCAATGCAAGAGTCACCCACAAGGAAGATGAGCCCATCCGTTTGCAAGCCCTGGCGGATGCAGGGCCAGGGTAGGGAGGAGGGAGGGGGGGAGACGGGGAAGATGAGCCTTCTCATCTCATCATCCGCCATGAGGCATGATGCCATGAGGCAGCTTTTGAGTCGATTCAAAAGTCTTCTCATTTCATCATCCGACATGGTGTGCATGATGCCATGGTGCATGATGCTATGAGGCAGCTCCATGTGAATGTCCCACGGGGGGGTCCGCCACGAGGGGGTTGGAGGGGCTTTAAGGTGTATAAGAAGAAACACACCTTTTAGGTTTCTGCTGAGTGAGAAGGTTCACCGTTCACATACACATGACTTTTGAGGCGCCTCAGAAGTCTTTTCTGATGAGTGAGAAGGTTCACCGTTCACACACCATACACATACACACTCACCACCACATGTCCACATCTCATCATCCGCCATGGTGCCATAGGGTAGCTCCATGTGAATGTCCCACGGGGGGTGATGGGTGGCGAGTCAAAACAGGGCGTAGAGGTGCCTAAGAAGGGCAGAGAAAGGGCTGAATCAACACATACACACCCAATCTCTTTTTGAGTCGACTCAAAAATGGGCTGAATCAACACATACAGACACAATCGGTCACCGGCACATTCAAGGTCCTCATCTCATCATCCGCCATGGTCCCATATGGCAGCTGCATGTGAATGTCCCACGGAGGGTCCGCCATGAGGGGGAGAGCGGTAGAGAGGGTTCAAGACCGGTACAAGGGTGCATGCTGAGAGAGAGCACTCACCGGCACGTTGAGAGTTCGCATCTCATCGTCCGCCATGGTCCCATATGGCAGCTCCATGTGAATGTCCCATGGGGGTTGATGGTGGTGATGGGTAATCATAAGGCACATGCTGACTGTTTTTTAGGCGCCTCAAAAATCGTCCCATGGGGGTTGATGGTGGTGATGGTTGATCATAAGGCACATGCTGACACGCTGAGGGTCTCACACAGGCACTCACCGGCACGTTGAGAGTTCGCATCTCATCGTCCGCCATGGTGCCATAAGGCAGCTCCATGTGAATGTCCCACGGAGGATCCGCCATGATGACCCCAAACTGCCCCAGAATGTCCGTGCGGAAGTTGCGGATGTCACAGTTCACCCACTGTGCTTCCCCCAACTCCACCTGCTTGGGATGTGGGCATACATGGGCAGAGAGAGAGTGGTCAGAACATGTATAGAGACAGACAACCATTCCCATGCCCATGCCCATGCCCATGCCCATGCCCATGCCCATGCCCATGCCCATGCCCATTCCCATGCCCCATGCCCATGCCCATGCCCATGCCCATGCCCATGCCCATTCGCATGATTCCCACACCAGCTTACCTGAGAGCAGTACTCGGGCCGTGGCGGTCTGTCAAACGGCCGAGGGATGGTGGAGGGAATGTACTGCCCAAACGAGTTGATCTGCACCACAGGGGGCATGGCCGCCCCATGCACGCCATTCAGCCATACTGTACACACCCATCCCCATGCCATGCCCACGCCGACTTTTGAGTCGACTCAAAAGTCATGAGTCGACTCAAAAGTCCATTCAGCCATACTGTACACACCCATCCCCATGCCATGCCCACGCCCATGCCTACCTGAGAGCAGTATTCCGGCCGTGGAGGGCGGTCAAAGGGGCGGGGAACAGTGGAGGGAATGTACTGCCCGAACGAATTGATCTGCACCACAGGGGGCATGGCCGCCCCATGCATACCGTGCGGCCCCATCGGCCCCCCATGGGGACTGAATATGCCCATGGCCACACGAACACCCTCGTCCATGTACTAGATAAAAATCCACACACCTGAGAGCAGTATTCCGGTGAGGAGGCCTGTCAAGCGGCCGAGGCCTGTCACACGAACACCCTCGTCCATGTACTAGATAAAAATCCACACACCTGAGAGCAGTATTCCGGTCGAGGAGGCCTGTCAAACGGCCGAGGCCTGTCACACGAACACCCTCGTCCATGTACTGGATAAATTGAAATCACTTTTGAGACGTCTCAAAACACGTCTCAAATCACTTTTGAGAATTCCCAAAAGTGATTTCCATGGCCACACGAACACCCACGTCCATGTACTAGATAAAAATCCACACACCTGAGAGCAGTATTCCGGTCGAGGAGGGCGGTCGAACGGCCGTGGAATGGTCGACGGGATGTACTGCCCGAATGAGTTGATCTGCACCACAGGGGGCATGGCCGCCCCATGCATGCCGTGCGGCCCCATCGGCCCCCCATGGGGGCCGAATATGCCCATGGCCACACGAACACCCGCGTCCATGTACTTTGAGAATTCTCAAAAGTGATTTCAATGTACTAGATAAGAATCCCCACACCTGAGAGCAGTATTCCGGTCGGGGAGGGCGGTCGAACGGCCGTGGAATGGTCGACGGGATGTACTGCCCAAACGAGTTGATCTGCACCACAGGGGGCATGCCCGCCCCATGCATACCGTGCGGCCCCATTGGCCCCCCATGCGGGCCAAATATGCCCATAGCGGCTGCAGCAGCGGCGGCGGGGGGAAGGGCGGCCCCTGGGGGGATCATGGCCCCGTAGGGCGCTCCGTCTGGCACTGGGTCCAACTCATAATGCACGTACTTGCACGTCTGAGGGGAGGGGGTGTGCGAGAAAGGGGGGTTGAAGAAAAAAGGGGATGGAACAGTGAGGGTGTTTTTGTGGCAGCAACACAGGCAGGGCGGCCCCTGGTGGGATCATGGCTCTGTAGGGAGCTCCGTCTGGCACGGGGTCCAACTCGTAATGCGCGTACTTGCACGTCTGGGGGGAGGGGTGAGAGGGATGGGTGGTTGAGAGAAGGAGGGGATTGGAGTAGTGAGGGTTTGCGGCAGTGCAGGTGGGGTGCTCCCTCCGTCTGGCACGGGGTCCAACCCATAATGCACGTACTTGCACGTCTGGGGGGAGAGAGGGAGATGGGGGTGTATTTGCAGGGGGAAGAAGAGGGGAAGTTGCAATGGGGTTTGGGAAAGCGAGGGCAGCAGAGGTGGGCTGCCTCGTCTGGCACGGGGACGAGCCCTGCTGCCCTCGTCACTATGAGCTCATAGTGCATCATGTTCTTGCACTTCTTGGGGGAGCTTTTGAGAATTCTCAAAAGCGACTCAGATCTGCCCTCGTCACTATGAGCTCATAGTGCATCATGTTCTTGCACGTCTTGGGGGAGGGGATGGAATCGGAGAAGGGAAGGAGCAGCAGAGAGAGACGGGGTTTGTGCTATGTTTAAAGCGCAGCGCAGCAAAGAAAAGCATGAGCGTGCAGGAGCTGCAGGAGCTGCAGGAGCTGCAAGCTTGGTTGGTTACCTTCATGTGGCGGCAGGTGTCGAGAAAGGAGCAATCCCCCAGGTTCATGTCGGTGTGGGGGGATATGATGCGGCGGAAATGCACCTGGTGAGAGATGGAGGGGGGCAGCGAAAGAAGGGAAGGGAGGGGGAAAATGCATGGCAGTTCATGTCGGTGTGTGGGGATATGATGTGACGGAAATGCACCTGGTGGGGGATGGGGGAGGAGAAAGCGAAGAGAAGGCGAGGGGGAAACTACAGGCTGAGTACGTTTTTCTAGAATTCTCAAAACACAAAATTACTGTGAATCCAGCAGGTTCATGTCGCTGCCCAGCAGGTGCACGATGCACTGGAAATATGTCATTGGTGCAGGACATATGTCCGTCTACAGGCAGGACATATGTCCGTCTACAGGCAGGACATATGTCCGTCTACAGGCAGGACATATGTCCGTCTACAGGCAGGACATATGTCCGTCTACAGGCAGGACATATGTCCGTCTACAGGCAGGACATATGTCCGTCTACAGGCAGGACATATGTCCGTCTACAGGCAGGACATATGCCTAATGGTGCTGTGCGCAATATGGTGGTAATTTTTGCCATACACAATTGCCGCATCCAATGCCGCCCACCTTGTCACACGCAGTGTACGAGTTGCGCGGTGGCGGCGGCAGTCGTCTTTAGTGAGCCGGTTGCAATATTCTCGCACCATGGACCCGCCCTTTGTCTTGAACTGGAGGGGGGGAAAGCGAGGGTCATGGTTTATGACACAGAGGTGGGGTAAGGGTTTACGGAAAAGGTGAAGCTTCAGGTTTTAACAAAGAGTTTAAGGTTAAGGGTTTATCAAACACCCCCCTCCCTCTCCCTCCCCAAACCTCAGAACGGCCCCTAGCCCCAAAAGCATACGGCTTTTGAGACGTCTCAAAAGCCCTCCCCAAACCTCAGAACTACCCCCAGCCCCAAAAGCATACGACTTTTGAGACGTCGCAGCCCACTTGTTCGACTTCAACAGTTCCAGAACTACCCCTAGCCCCAAAAGCACCCCCCCATACTCACACGTGCAGCGACGGCTGTCTCCTTGGCAGTGGGTTTCTGCAGCAGCTCTAACAGCTCCTCGCCCCGCTTGGACTGCTGCATTTCCTTGAACGATTTCTTTGATAATATCTCCTCCACCCTCATCTCCTCCTCCCCCCCTCCTCCTCGTTCTCCTCCCCCTCTACCTCTCCGCCTCTGTTTCTCCCCTCCCCTTTTCTCTCCCCCTTCTTCTCCCCTTCTTTTCCCCTTCCTTCTCCCCTTCCCCTCCCGTTTCCCCCCCACCGCCTCGACCCTCCCCCGCCTCTGCTGCCATCCCCCTCCCCCATCTCCCCCCTGCATCCTGCCCCCCTCCGCCTGGCCCTCCCCCTCCGCCTCTTCCCCCTCCGCCCATTCCCAAAGAGTGTGGAGGGGGGAGACTCGGGTGGGGGCGGAAGGGAGGGGGAAGGCCCTGCATTCGCGGATCCATACCCATACCCATGCCCATGCCCATGCCCATGCCCATGCCCATGCCCATGCCCATGCCCATGCCCATGCCCATGCCCATGCCCATGCCCATCCCCATCCCCATCCCCATACCCATGTTTTCGTTATAAGGCATCATCCCCCCCCTTCCCCCTCCTGGCCCGAACCCTCCGCCCATTCCCCCTTGCCCATAGGGGGGCCTTCCCCCCATTCCCCCCATCCCCGGCCCTCCCCCCCCATGCATGCCCATTGGCCCCGGTCCACCCCCAGGGGGGAAATTCCCCCCCATACCCCCTCCTGGCCCACCCCCGCCAGGAAAATACCCCCTGCCTCCCCCAGGGTAATTTACCCCACCCATTGCCCCTGTGGGTTCAAACCCATGCGGACCCATTCCAGGGGGGAATTGCGCGGGTTCTTTCCTTTTCCCCCATGTCCCTACCCTCCCTGCCCCCTTCTCCCCCCATTCTTCCCCCATCCCCCCCCATCTCCCCTCTTCCAATCCCAAACCTCCGATTTTCCCGCCCAAACCCACCCCTTCCCCTCCTACCTAGCAACAACCCCACCTCCTCCTCCTCCTCCCGCTCCTGCTGCTTCCGCGAAGCTTCTGCAGAGGGAATCGTCGCCCCAGGAAACATCCGCGAAAGCGCCAGCCTGTCAAACCCTAAAACCATCAGCCTAGCAACTCCAGCCACTGCAAATTCCTCTATCTCCACTAAAGGCGCTCCGCTTACGCTCCCCCCTGCTCCGCCCTTCCAGCTCCGCTTTCCCCCCGCCTTCCCCGCTCCGCCTCCCCCTTCCGCACCCCCCCCCAACAGTCATCCCCGCAAGAACCCTAAGTGCCGTTTCTAGCGCTCCTATTGGCCCGTCTTCCCCGCCGACCTCTAGAATCGCGGCTTGGTCTACACTTTCGGGGTTTAACTCCTTCTTTAATCTCCTATTTATCGCGCTAGAGTCCAAAGGCACCGCCGTGCCGGCCGCCAGCAGGACGGCAGCCACAAGTCGCTCCACACGCTCGAGTGACGTCAGCGGCCGGCGCGACTCGTCCACTATGTCCTCCTCTCGCGGAAACGCGTCCGCGATTGGCGGAGGCGTGGGGGTTTGCTGACCCGCGAAAAGGTTCGGACTTTCGGTGCGAGAGGGTATTGCGAATCCTCCTCCCGCTGCTGCTACTCCTCCTCCTCTTGCTACTAAGCCACTGGGCTTTCCCGCGCCGCCGCGGCCCGCTTTCTCGTCTTCTAAACCTTCTAGAATGTTCTGAAGGGAGCCTTTTTTCCGCGGCCGTTTCGTTAACGGTCCGCTACCGCCGCCGCTAACGCCAGCTGTTGCCTCGGTGGCTCCCGCAGCGCCCGAGCTGACGTTCGAGTCGCCTCCGTCGTCGCGACCTTCGCTGCCTGATACGTCAGATCTTCCTCCGCCTCCGCCGCCGCCGCCGGCATTCGCGCTGGTGGTTAAACCCGTTGCCATCAACGGCGTGTTCGTCGCCACGACAGGCGGAAGCTCGTCAATTGAAGGCGAGCGACGCGCAGCGGATATTCCGCCACTTGCGCCGGTGTTAGGAGCTGACGTCAGCAGGTCGTTTACGAGAGACGCGGTGGCTTTCTTGCGACTTTCTAGCCGCTCCTTAAGGCGTGACCGCTGCTGTCGCAGCTGAGCTATTTCCGCTGCCTCTTCGTCGTCCATGGCTGCGAATTTCTGGGAACCCGAAACCAGTACTGGGAAACGGAAACTGTTCTGGGAAACGGAAACTGTATTGGGAAATAGCTACCTGTTAGCGACTACGAAATGTCGAAAGGACGAGATTACGCGACCTCTGGTCGGCAATGCGGAAACATCTTGATTTTAGGTTTGCTTGCTTCTGTCCCAGACTGCAAACCCGAGGGAGGGAGCGTCACTGACACGGTTGCAGGATTACATTGCTGCTGGTTGGCATTGGGTTAGTAGTTGCACAGAAGGTTTAGAGATGGGCAGATTCATAGGCCTATACCATATGCTCTATGGAGATGGGCAATACTGCGTTGATTCTATATGAGCTAACTCACCTTGTGGTATCCTAAACATTCCTAGCTTCAGCACATGCATTACATAACTTTCATGCAAGCCTTATTCTGGTGACTCTTCTCTGGCTACCGGAAGCATGGATAGGAACATTGAGGGCAAACCAACATCATCTTCTAATCGGCCCCCTTCTTGATCATCCTCCTCTGCGTTCTCTCCTGCCTTCTCCTGCCCCTCACCACTAACAGTCCCAGGCATTTCATCCATCCCCGTCTTTTCATTCCCTGTGTCATCCTTAGTGCCGGGTTTTTCTGCATCACCATCATCACCACCACTCGCCTTGTCACCACCAGCACCATCATCAATTTCTTTGTCATTTTCCTCATCATCACCATCATTGCCCAAGATCTCTTGAAGATGCTGAATGCGGTTTCCCAGGCAGTCCAGTTTCTCAGCACTCAGCTCTGCCAGCAAGCGCTCCATATAGTCACTGTTCTCATAGGAACGGTATTCACACATAATGCGGATCTCGTTGCGCATAATCACCTGAACATCCTGCATTATCACCAAAAGAGACACAAATAAGCTTGCAAGGAACTGCAGAGACCCAAGTGCCACGTGCTAGTTGGAACATCACCTGGAACAACAGCTCCTTCACACATGAGAAGCGAAATCGTCTTTCTTCACAGCCAAAGTTCTTCACCCCCTCTCTGTCTTTCCTCTATAGTCCCTTCTTGATCAATACAGAGTTTTTTTCACAGCAAAAAGAATCATGCTAACATAACTCTCCCTCATGCCAGCATACCTCACAGTCATGCTACCATTACTCACCCGCATTGCCAGCATGAACTCTTGGCACATCCCAGCCACCATTTCCGGTTTCCTGTTTGCCCCTCCCGGCCCTCCCCCTCCAGTGATGCTTCCGTGAACGTTCCCTGGAAGGTGGGGATGTGAAGGCCCACCTCCCCCTCCACCTCCGCCTCCTACTGGTGTGGACGGTCCTGATTGGCCGAGCAGCTGCATGACGTTGCCTGCGCATTTGACAGCGTCGATTATTCGCTGCCATAAGTCCGAAATGGGTGAATTTTTTATTACAGTGTAAGTGTGAACTTTACAGACAGGGATCAGGGTGACAGCATGGATTGTGTTGGTTGTACATTCATGGTGTTGATGAGTTTGAGAAACGGTAGGTGAGATATGGGTTACGTGGAAGAAGTGGGGGGACATGACGCGACATGGGGAGACATGGGGAGTCGTGAAGAGACACGGGGGGGAGACATGGGCGGACATGGAGGTGTGGGGGGGTATGGAGACATGGGGGACATGGAGAGACATGGAGAGACGTCAAAGCATGGGCAAGGTGCACGCTCAGAGTCAACGTGGTAACCTTTTTCAGACCACGCTGAAACCGCGTGAAACGGTCAGACGTCCATCAAACCGCGTGATTCACGCGCGGTAGATTTTCTTGATGATCTCACGTCCTGTTCTACGCGCAACGAAGTTCCCTGATTCTTCCTCATTCTCTCGTCATAGTACCTGTTCCACTCGTTGTAGATTCTCCATGGACGATAGGCCCGGCGCGGCTTCAGGCTCCGAGGGGCGCTTCGAAGACATGACACAGCTGTCGTTGACGGACAGACACGTGCAGCCGGAATCTGGCAGAAGGCGAACGTCGACCGGAACTGGTCAACAAAACTGGCAGATGTCGTCAGCAATGCCGCGAAAAGTTGTTACCAGTGTTCATGACAATCGTCAGCAGTGTCCCGAAAAACCGTTACCAGTGTTCACGACAATCGTCAGGAATGTCACGAAACGTCGTCGGGATGGACGTAACAAACGACTGGTGTTCAAGTAAATGATAGTCACAGGCGGACTAATTTTGGGCGAGGAACTAGGGTGAGTTTAGGGTGCGGCGTCCTCAGATTCTCACAGCTGTTGCAGATTATATAAAACGGACCTGCAAGCGGCGCATTGAGAGACACGGGAACAAAGCACATGTGCGGCTTGGCTTGAGCGCGACCGTTGAAGATGATTGCAAGCAGCACCAGCAGCCATTCAGAATGCGACCTATAACCTGTGTGATGAGCGAAGCTGGGCATTTGTGACAGATCGGGAAGAGTAGTTTTGTTGCCGTTGTCGAGTACTCGATTATTACTCCTCGAAAAGAATTTGTAGTTTACAGTTGTAATTGGAACGGTTGAGATTACTTACAAAACGTGTATACATGGAAATTGCGCACATTTTCAATTGCAGTTTCAGACCACAAGGTGAGAACATGTATATTTATTCAGCATTATTCACGAATTTCCATACAGATAAACGAGTATAGAATCTATCATGGGGCAAAACCCAGCTCACATAAATGAGCTGCTTCCACTCAAGCCATGCTAGAAGCCATTTCTCATGTGCAATGGAGGGACTCCGCTAATGCTAGCCCTAGAATTGTTGCCATAGGATCCCACCAGCAATAGCCGCGTAGCCATTATATCCTCTGCGCAGGTTGAGAGGCGGCCTCCCTTGGCAATAGCCGTCGTGTCATCCCTTATTTTCCACTTGAGTATACGTCCCTGAACCCCGCTTTGGCAAACTGGCGCTGCAGACGTTACAGCGGAATCGCCAACGTTAGCAGCCTCCCGAGATGGGTGGTTGCTGGAGTAGGTATATGAGCGGAGAGTGGTTTCTGAATGTACTCTGGGCAGGTCTCCGTTGCTGCTTGAAGCGGTACTTGACGACCACGCTGCGAAATCCTGGTAACGCGGACTCTGCTCGCTAGTCGTTCCATGTGGCGAAAGTTGTCGAGGGGATGGCGAGATGGACGAAGAGGGCGACAGCGATGGGGTGGTAGCACCGATAAGACGGGGTGACCTGGGAGCTCCTGGGGATTTAGGGCTGCGCGCGTCGTAAGGGAGGTTTTGCTGCTCCTGCTTGCACCGCTGCCTCGGCAGTCGCCTACGCTGATGATCTCGCGTCACTGACGCGTCTGAAACCCCTCGAGTGGATGTATCAATCGCTAGCGACGCGCGGCGAGACATGGTTGACGACCTAACGAAGTTCAACGAGCCAGCGAAGTCACGAAAGTTGTCCCTTGGAGTGTGCGATTGCGACGCCTGGTGAGAATCCAGCGAAGGGTGTTCGGGGCTGGGGGTATCACCGCGAATCGACGGCGCACTGGCGTAAGATCTCGTGCGCGGGAAGCCGCTGTCCGACCCATCGTCGGCGTTCCCATTGTCGGAGCTTCCGTTTGAGTTGGTAACCCGATGGAGGTAGTAACTGCTGCCGGATCGCAGGAGCTTCTCGGCCGGGAGGACTTCGCGGTTCGAGGTGAACGAGCCAACAGCGAAGCCTGGGTGCTCCTTCATTATGTCAGAAACGCGGGCTCTTTCGGTGATTAACTTCACTCCGCCGTCGGGGAGGAGGAGGAGCGCCGCTTGCGTCATCGTGTCTCAGACTGAGCACACCAGACACTCGAACACTCAACAGTTCTTTTTTTTAGCGGCAATCGGATCGAGTAAGTGGAAACTTCTGCAAGACAGCTACTAGCTTCGTAATCAGCTCCTCTGGGACAACTGGATAGCTAAGGTAATCACGAGAATACTGATCTCTTCTGATGAAAGTCCGAGTGTCACAGCTGACTTCTACGGTCGGAGAAGGGACGATATATATACAAATCTACGGACAGCTGTGAAAGGGAGCTGCGAGAAATTCAACTGGCGGGATAGCACCTTACTATTTTCTGTCTGCCCTGCATGGTCCAGCCAATCATAGGGGAAAAACCACCGACCGCGGTTGCTAATCTTGGATCTTCGAGTCCGGAATTCCATAATTCCTGTCGATAACGCATCACCGCCAGACACGCTTCGATGCAAAGTGCAAGAACGAGCCACGTCGTTTCGATGCTCTCGTCACTAAGAATGCACTTTTCGAGATGTATGCGACGTTTCATTCCATGCGGAGACGAAAAGCCCGCGTGTTTCGAAGAGTCAGAGGTGGCGGTGGCGAAGCGTGCCGCGTCTGCGTGACTCCCAAGACTGGTATTTTCGAGGCAGATGGTGGTTTCTAGGGCCATCCAATCCAGCACCAGCCAGCATGCTCAGCAGCGCGCCGCCTTGCAACGAGTCTGACGTGCCATCAGGGCAGCGAATGCGTGTGTAGTGATCTAAGTGTGCATCTGGCGTTTGCGAAAAAAGCCATGGGCGGATGCGAATCTCCTCCTGGTTGAAAAGCAGCGACGTTACCAGCAAAAAAGGCAGTCAGGACTTGACGTGGGAGCCGAGCAGCCACACAAAGCAGTAGTGGAATTGAAATTGAATACATCATCATATTTGCTGCTGCGATACCAAACAACACGGTTACCCATAATGGAATTGTATATAATCATAAATCAATCAATTAAATTGCAATACCCTATTTGCTGTTACCCAAGCCAACCAACTAGTTGACTAGCTCCACGTGGGTAAGAGTCTCCTCGTCTCTGACTTCCATAACAGTTTGGTGAATGATCTGTTTAAAGGAGAGCAAACAAGTATCACAAAATCTCCTAACGACACGAGTTATGTCATTTGAAAAACAGTTAAAACGAGAGTCAAGATTTAACAAGCAGAAGTTCAGAAGTTTTTGTTCTGAACCAGGCTTGCCAGCGCGAAAGTGTTGGCTGAAGAAAACGAGGATTTCGTGCGGACACTTCTCATCCACAGTAACAATTCGCCAGGGTTTCAGGTTTCCGGTGGCAAATGTGCACTCTCGCTTTAACCAGTAGGAATCGAATACATGACACTACAAATGTTTTGAAGCGGTTATACTTGCCTGTATACATGGACGCACCTGATCCACCATGTAACACCACACACATATGTGCAATCACCCTCCTCATTCCCACTCATGTACCTCCCCCTCTCCTCTCTCCCTCCCCCCTCCCCCCCAACCCTTCCCTTCCCTCTTCCACCACCCCCCCTTTCTTCCCTCCGCCTCTTAGAAGGTGCACACACTTACATTCACAGTCCCCCCTCCCCCGCCCCCTTCCCATGCACGCACCTCTGCCAGTCGTCGGTAAGACACCTCTGTAACACCCACAACGTGCAGCATGACTAGTCTATAACGCCACGGTACGTGCTTGTGCAACCCCCCTGCCCCTCCTCCCTGCATGCATGCACCTCTGCCATTCGTCGATAAGACACCTCTGTAACGCCAGCAGCGTGCAGCATGACTACAATGCCAGGGTGCTTCAAAAGGTGTACACACTTGTACTCACGCTCACCCCTTGCCCACCCCTTCCCATGCACGCACCTCTGCCATTCGTCGATAAGACATCTCTGTAACGCCCGCAATGTGCGGCGTGACTATAACGCCAGGGTGCTTCAAAAGGGGCTCTGAGGGATCGATGGGTTCTTGCCATGCCACGTCAATCCCAAGGCCCGCCAGGGAAGCAGATTCGAGCGCTTGGTTAATGGCAGGGTAGTGCAGGAGCCCCCCTCGTGCAACATTGATGAGACTAGCGGACTGTTGAAGAGAAAACGGGAAGGGATAGGGAGGTAGACAGCCCAAGAATAAACTAACGCAGTTGGGAGAGAGAAGGGAAAGGGGGTGGGTTATGGGAATGGAGGCAGTGAGGATGTTGGGGCAAGGGGAGAGGGTTGACGGGTTCTTGCCATGCCACGTCAATCCCAAGGCTTGCTAGCGAATCAAACACCAGGCGACGCTGGTGGTAGTGACGGGATTTTTGATACATCTCAATAATCAAATACCAGGCGACGCTGGTGGTAGTGACGGGATTTTTGAGACGTCTCAAGAATCAAATACCAGGCGACGCTGGTGGTAGTGACGGGATTTTTGAGACGTCTCAAGAATCAAATACCAGGCGACGCTGGTGGTAGTGACGGGATTTTTTAGACGTCTCAAGAATCAAATACCAGGTGACGCTGGTGGTAGTGACGGGATTTTTGAGACGTCTCAAGAATCAAATACCAGGCGACGCTGGTGGTAGTGACGGGATTTTTTAGACGTCTCAAGAATCAAATACCAGGCGACGCTGGTTGGTAAGGGATAACATAAGACAATGGAGGGGAAGTTTAGGAAAGCCCTCCTGCCATGTCAAACGAGGGGGAACATTGGCTGACTGCGGACAAATGAACCATGGGGGAAAACGTCGAGACGATTTTTGAGGCGCCTCAAAAATAGCAGAAAAAGGTTTTGGAAAGCTTTAGTGAAAGACATGGGATGGAATGGGGAAAATCGTGAAAATTGTTGGTGTGGGGAATTGTGCCGTGAGAATGTCTGCTTGCCCGTGATTGACTCTTCCTAGTCTTCTCCCATCACTCACCTTCTCCCATCACTCACCTTCTCCCATCACTCACCTTCTCCCATCACTCACCTTCTCCCATCACCCACCTTCTTTCATTGCCTTCATAGATTCTCAAAAGCGACACAAGGTAACCTGCTTGCCTGTGATTGGCGTATCTCTTCCTAGTCCTCCACGACTTGCCTTTTTCATTGCTGCAAGAAAGCTGGTGTCGACCATGCCAATCTGCAAAGAGCCACGCAGAGAGGCAAGCAGAGAGGCAAGCAGAGAGGCAAGCAGAGAGGCAAGCAGAGAGGCAAGCAGAGAGGCAAGCAGAGAGGCAAGCAGAGAGGCAAGCAGAGAGGTAAGCAGAGAGGCAAGCAGAGAGGTAAGCAGAGAGGCAAGCAGAGAGGAAAGCAGAGAGGCAAACAGAGAGGTAAGCAGAGAGGCAACCAGAGAGGTAAGAAGAGAGGCAAGCAGAGAGGCAAGCAGAGAGGCAAGCAGAGAGGCAAGCAGAGAGGCAAGCAGAGAGGCAAGCAGAGAGGCAAGCAGAGAGGCAAGCAGAGAGGCAAGCAGAGAGGCAAGCAGAGAGGCAAGCAGAGAGGCAAGCAGAGAGGCAAGCAGAGAGGCAAGCAGAGAGGTAAGCAGAGAGGCAAGCAGAGAGGTAAGCAGAGAGGCAAGCAGAGTCAGATAGAGTCAGAAACAAGCTCAAGAAGAGTCAGTAATAGGGCCAAAACAGAGTTAATGCAGGAGCTTTCTTTTGAGGCGCCTCAAAAGGTCAAGAAGAGTCAAGAAGAGTAAAGGAGAGCAAAGAAGAGCAAAGAAGAGCAAAGAAGAGCAAAGAAGAGCAAAGAAGAGCAAAGAAGAGCAAAGAAGAGCAAAGAAGAGCAAAGAAGAGCAAAGAAGAGCAAAGAAGAGCAAAGAAGAGCAAAGAAGAGCAAAGAAGAGCAAAGAAGAGCAAAGAAGAGCAAAGAAGAGCAAAGAAGAGCAAAGAAGAGCAAAGAAGAGCAAAGAAGAGCAAAGAAGAGCAAAGAAGAGCAAAGAAGAGCAAAGAAGAGCAAAGAAGAGCAAAGAAGAGCAAAGAAGAGCAAAGAAGCACAAAGAAGCGCAAAGAAGCGCAAAGAAGCGCAAAGAAGCGCAAAGAAGCGCAAAGAAGCGCAAAGAAGCGCAAAGAAGCGCAAAGAAGCGCAAAGAAGCGCAAAGAAGCGTAAAGAAGCGTAAAGAAGCGTAAAGAAGCGTAAAGAAGCGTAAAGAAGCGTAAAGAAGAGCAAAGAAGAGTAATAGGGCCAAAACGGAGTCAATGCAGGAGCAGAGCGAAGACAAAACACTTGTCAGAATTCTCAAAAGCCTTCTTCCTCCCATCTTGCGCTCTCCCCTGACAACTTACGCTTATCACTCCCGTACGCTCTCACTCTCCTCCCGAATTACCCCTATTACTCTCTTGCACTCCTTTTGAGGCGTCTCAAAAGTCTATTACTCTCTTGCGCTCCCCCCCTCCTCCCGTCTTACCGTCTCGGTGGTTTGCTGGCAGCACAAGAAGACAAGATCTGCCACTGGCAGCATCTCCTTTATGCTCTCGGGACCTCCCCACTCATCCAGTAGCCCATCTGCAGTGACGAGAGCGCGCAGTGTAGAGTGCGATTTTTTTAAATTCTTAAAGAGCGAGCAGTGTAGCGTGCGATTTTTTATTTTATTTTTTATTCTCAACAAACGAGCAGTGTGGTGTGAGTAGGGCATCGTGAACATACAGTGGATTGTGAATAGTGTTTAGTGAGTTTTGAGACGTCTCAAAAGTATGTGAATAGTGTTTAGCGAAGAGCAAAAAGTGTTTGGGAAAAAAAAAAGTAAATATTGTACAACACACCCCACCACACTCACCCGCCACACCCACCCGCCCAGCTACACACCCACAGTCACGCACCCACCCACCCACCCACCCACCCACCCACCCACCCACCCACCTGTGTCATCTTCCTCGTGGCCTCTCTTCCCATGCACGCCTGCCCATCCCCTCCGCACTCCGCCCACCTACGCCTGCATCCACACCATGCCACACCGTGCCACACCACTCTCAACCTGCTCAATGACACCCTTCACCCACCCATCCACCTACACACCTGGCTCGTCTTCGCCTTCACCTCTCCTCCCCACCCATCCCGCCCCCCACTCACCAGCCATGCCGCACCATATCACACCACGCCACACCACTCTCAACCTGCTGCGTGACGTCACCCACCCATCCGCACACCTGGCTCGTCTTCGCCTTCACCTCTCCTCCCATGCACACCCGCCCATCCCTTCCGCACTCCACCCATCCACACCACTCCAAACGCCCTCAGCCTAGCAGCGAGCGCCTTCCCTATCCCTCCATACCCCACTATCAGAGCCTGAAAGGGGAGGGGGGAAAGAGGGGTTGAAAGGAGGGTGTGAAAACTCAACATAACACTAGCCAACATCTGTATATGAGATCGGCACCAAACCCAAAACCTCGGCACCAAACCCAAAACCCCGAACCCACCGACCTCGGCACCAAACCCAAAACCCCGAACCCACCGACCTCGGCACGAAACGAAACCCAAATCCCCGAACCCACCGACTTGCCAAAGATGGTTTGCCCAATGGGCTGCCCCAGGCGGCGCTGCTGAATGGACTCCTGCATGCGCTTCTGCGGTGGTGAGAAAGGGGAAGGGGGACAGACAAAGGAAGGGAGGGAGGAGGGGGGAAGGGAGGGTAATGACGAAGAGACGATCCAAGATGGGTTGCCCGAGCCGCTGCTGCTGGATGCACTTCTGCTGCGCTGTCATCACTGCTGTCATACCCACCCCCTCCAACCAGCCTGTCCCACCCTGCACCACTTCAAACCGCACTACCAGCCCAAATCAGCCCATTGCAACACCGAAACCACACCTGCTTTCTGAGGAGAGCCAGGGCAAGGTAGATGGCATGTTCAGCACAGGACACAGCATTCCCCGTATCGGCACTCGGCACGGGTTTTTTATACAAAACAAGACTCCAACGCCCACCTGCTTCCGTAGCAGTGCCAGGGCGAGGTAGATAGCATGTTGGCACAGGACACAGCATTCCCCGTGTCGGCACTCGGGATTCGCCCCACCCTACAGCTAACCAGCAGATTCCAATCAGCTCTCCTGCTGTCTTAGCAGCGCCAGATCAGCCTATCAGCCCAGATCAGCCTATCAGCCCAGATCAGCCTATCAGCCCAGATCAGCCTATCAGCCCAGATCAGCCTATCAGCCCAGATCAGCCTATCAGCCCAGATCAGCCTATCAGCCCAGATCAGCCTATCAGCCCAGATCAGCCTATCAGCCCAGATCAGCCTATCAGCCCAGATCAGCCTATCAGCCCAGATCAGCCTATCAGCCCAGATCAGCCTATCAGCCCAGATCAGCCTATCAGCCCAGATCAGCCTATCAGCCCAGATCAGCCTATCAGCCCAGATCAGCCTATTCCAGCACCACAACCCACCTGCTTTCTCAGGAGAGCCAGGGCGAGGTAAATGGCATGTTCAGCACAGGACACAGCATTCCCTGTATCAGCACTGGGAATTCGCCCCACTCTGATCCCCCTCGCCGTCGCTGCTGCCACGTCAACCCCCTCCAATCCCACCCCGAATTGCACAATCAGCCGCAGCTTGGAAGCTTCCGCGATGGTTCCTGCGTCCAGACGGGTCATCCGCGGCACAACGACATGGCAGTCCCTGATTCGCTGAGGGATTTCGGCCCGCGGGTGCCAGGAAACTTCCATGTTGGGCTCTTTGTGTAGAAGTTCTGCGGAGTAGGTGTAGGCTTCGGGAAACTCGTCTCCACAGAAGAGCACCTTATAACGGGGACAAGACGTTCACATAGATAAACACGTGCATTCAGCATTCATGGGGGACAGAAGCTGAGAAATAGCATACATCTTTCGATAAAAAACAGGTCAGAAGTGTGCTTGAAGGGAGTGTAGCGCAAGGGAGTGCGGTTCAAGGGAGTGTGGTGCAAGGGAGTGCGATTCCAGGGAGTGTAGCTCCAACAGAGCACTACATACCTTGCGAGGCTCCCGTTTCCCATGAAATCCGAACGCTGCATTGTACCCCTCCCCACCGCATTCCGCTCATCCCAAAACCCTCGACCCTCATTTTGGATCCATTCTTTCTGGATCTTCCTGCTATCGAGCTTCCCCGCGAGCTCCCTGCACAGACTTTTCCCCACTTCGCGACTCCCCTTCCCCTCTCCCTTTTGAGATGCCTCACAAGCCCTCATTCTAGATCCATTCTTCCCTCTTCACTCTTCCATTCCTGCTATTGTGCTTCCCCATGGGACACCTCCCAGCAGCAGCAGCTCCCCTTCCCCTCTCCTCACTCCTCCCTCCCTTCTCTTCTTCTTCCCCGCCTCCTTTCCTCCCATCCCCCTTCTCCCTCTTCCCCTTCTCTCCCGGCCGTCTCATACCTTGAAGTTTTCCCCTTCCGCCAAAGGCGCGGAGGCTACGCGCGCGGACGCTTCAGGCGCTGCTGTCGTAGGCGCTGCGCCTCCCGCCGCTCCCCCTTCACCCAGAACACTCCCCGGACCCATCACAATGGCGCTGGCGATGCCACGCAATGCTGACGTGGCATCCAGCGGCCGAGCGACCACGGGACGCGCGGCCTGTCGCAGAAGGCTAGTCGCTGGCGACATTGGGGGATGTGGTGACGGGGTATAGCGTCTTTTGAGAAAATATATAATATTGCGGTTTGGGACGTGTCTCACTGGTGATCGGACTTGTAAAATACTCCCTAAAGAGGAGTTTCCAGATGTCTCAACAACAGTGATCGGAGCTTGAGAGAATCTCGCCGCGCTCTTGCGAACTTCGCTGAAACCCAAATGCAGCGAGGCCCAAGGACCACAGGAACCAGATCGGCAACTAGCACGTGACGTGATCAAATCCCAAGAACACGCTGCCGAAGCGCAGGCACGTTCAGTACGGAGGAGACTTGCTGTTCTGACTGGATAAAAAAGACCCGCTTATCCCGAGGATTCAGTGTGACATGTTTTCTTTTTTGCCTGGGAATATGATATATATATATATGTTTTTAGCATATTACCGTCATACCAAGGATTCTGTGTAAGATGTTTGTTGGCAGTGCCATATTAAGTAATTAATTTTATGTAAATCTTTTTAAAAGTGTTTTTTCCCTGTCATTTACTAAGTTATAAATATACCTATATATTAGATTGGTACAAATAATAGTAAGTGATAGTGAGATCCCATTGCAGGGGTTCACAATTTCAGAGTTTGAATGTTTCCCGCCTTTTACCCCGTCTCCGTCTCTCTTCTTCGCTCGATTCTTTTGTGGTGTGCTTGTTTTGTTCATTCCTCTTCATTCCGCCTCTGCTTTCATCTCTGCTTCTCTGCTCATTTGGAGTTAAGCCCCAATTTAGTAGCTCGGTCTTGATTCTTGATTACTGAGTCTCACGGTGTTCTAACGTCCCTCGTTCGGCTGCTTCGCGTGGCTTGTGCGCACCAGCCTTGATTCTCGGTCACCAAGTCCCACGGTGTCATACGCACAACATCACGCCGTCTGGTGGTAGCCTTTTCGCGCAGCAATAGTCTTTACGCGCAGTGGTATCTTTTTCGTACGATAACGAGCACTCCAATATGGCGGACATGGATGGCGGGGAGGCGAAGTTGCCAGAGCTCAAACTCGGTGCGTCATAGACCGGCCCGTCCGCAACAACAGACACTTGTAGAACGATAACCTCCCTGGTAGTGTGTTGTCTCTTGATTAATTTTGCGTCACTCAGTTGTCACTCAAGGAAGTAGCATTCCTGATATATGTTTGTTGATCCACTTTATGGATTCCCCCCTCCCCTATGCCCTCCCACATTCCCTTGTCGTTCCGTAGACGCGCGGCAAGCTCAAGGGTTCCTCTCCTTCTTTCGCTCGCTTCCACCCGTACGTGAACTTCGGTGTCTGAGAATTCTGTCACAAAATCGCTGAACACGCGCGGCAATCCCAGGGGTTCCTGTCCTTCTTCCCTCCCCTTACACTAATGATACATGAACGCTGGTGCTAATTTTTTCCTCAAATTTTCCGCGACGGCTACTACATCGAGCCCCTCAGCCCGCACCTCTTGCATTTACTCGTCTACATCTCGACCATTCTCTTCTCATTCCTCTCCGCGTCCCCCGTCCCCCAGGCGCCACACACGATCCGCTTCTTCGACCGTCGCGACTACTACACCGTGCACGGCCCCGCCGCGCTCTTCGTCGCGCGCGCCTTCTACAAGACGCTCTCCGCCGTGCGCTACCTCTCCGCGGGCGGAGCAAGCGCGGCGGGAAGCTCCGCGGGCGCCAGCGATTCCGCCGCGCTCCCCAGCGTGAGCGTCAACCGCAGCATGTTCGAGTCAATCCTCCGCCAACTGCTGCTGGAGGAAGGCGGAACAGGCGGAGGCGGAGCGGGGGGAGCAGGCGGGGAGGGTAGTGGAGGAGACGGCGGGGGTAACAGCGCCGGTTCCGCGGGCGGCGGCGGTGGTGGGTATTCGACTGTGGAGCTTTACGAGGGCGGCGGCGCTAGCTGGCGGCTCGCGCGGGCCGCCACGCCGGGTCGGCTGACGGCCTTCGAGGACGTGCTGTTCGCGACGCGCGACATGGGCGACTCGCCGACGGTGTGCGCCGTGATCGTCGCCGCGAGCGGCGGCGGAGGGGTCGGCGCGAAGGACGGAGAGCGGCGCGTTGGGCTGGCGTTCGTGGATCTAACGAAGCGCGCCTTGGGAATGACGGATTTTCTGGACGACGAGCAGTACACGTGTCTGGAATCCGCGCTTGTGGCGCTGAGCTGTCGGGAGTGCGTGGTTCCGCAGGAGGGGGGCGGGGGGAGCGGAGGGGGAGGCGGAGGCGGCGGAGCGGATAAGAAGGGGGCCAAGTCGCTCGAGGCGCGGAGATTAAGAGACGTCATGTCGCGGTGCAACGTGCTTATAGTTGAACGGAAACGGGCGGAGTTTAAACCGCGTGACGTGGAGCAAGACCTGGGGAGGCTTCTAAGGGGGACGAGCGGCGCAGGGGGAAGGGGCGCAGGCGGAGGCGGAAGCGGAGGCGGAGGGGGAGGGGGAGGCGGAGGCGTGGGGAGGATGATGGGAGCAGCGGGAGGAGGGGGACGAGGGGGAGGAAGCCAGAAGGTTACAGTAGATTCAGAAATCGCAGGGGCTGCGATGGCTGCTGTACTCGCTTATGCTGATCTGTTAGCAGACGATAGTAACTACGGTCGCTACACTCTCCTCCCGTACAGCCTCCACACGCACATGCGCCTCGACGCGACCGCCCTCCGCGCCCTCAACGTCACCGAATCCAAAACGGACGGAAATAGAAACTTTTGCTTAATGGGACTGATGAACCGCACGTGCACGGCAGGCATGGGGAAAAGGTTACTAAACCGGTGGCTGAAGCAGCCGTTAGTGGATGAGGAGGAGATTAAGTTTCGGTTGGATGTGGTGCAGTCGTTTGTAGAGAGTGGCGGGATGAGGCAGGAGGTGCGGGGGCATTTGAGACGCATGCCGGATATAGAGAGGCTGACGAGAAGGTTGGAGATGAGACGAGCTGGGCTGCAGGACGTGGTTAAGCTTTACCAGGTGAGACCAGTGTGACTGTAACGAGTGTTGCAGTAGCGAGCAGGCCGTTGTACATGTGAGACAGTCTTAGCATTTATTACCCCCCCCCCCCCCCCCCCCTTGCTCTCGATTTTCCATCAAAGCATATGTGCCACTTGTTGAAACAAACTTTCACCTTCCCACTTCCCCTCACCCTTCCCTTCCGCGATTTCCTTCCCTTCCATCCTTCCTTACAGGCCAGCATTCGCCTTCCATTCATTCGAGAGGTGCTTGAAACCCACGGAGGCTCGTTTCGGCCGATGCTGCATGAGAGGTTCGGCGCGAGCCTGCTCGAGTGGTGCAGGGCGGAGCACTTAGCTAAGTACGAGGGGCTGGTGGAAGCAGCAGTGGACTTAGACGCTCTGCAGTCAAACGGAGAATACTTAATAGCACCTGGTTATGACCCAAGCTTAGGAGAGATTAAAGAGGAGAGGGAGGGGGTTGAAGCAGAAGTGCAGAAAGCGTTGCAGCAAGCAGCAAACGATTTAGGACTTGTAGTGGATAAGACGATTAAATTAGATAAGACGGCGCAGGCAGGGTATTGCTACAGGATAACGAAGAAGGAAGAGACGAACGTTAGGAAGAAGCTGAATTCGTCGTATGTGACTCTCGAGACGAGGAAGGACGGCGTTAAGTTCACTAATGTGAAGCTTAGGAGGCTGAGCGAGCGCCACGTGGCGCTCACGGATTCGTACATGGCGGCTCAGCGGGAGCTAGTGAACAAGGTGGTGGAAGTGGCTCAGACCTTCCTGGAGGTGAGAGAAGGGTTTGGGGTTTCAGGATTCAGGGATTAGGGGTTTTGTTTGGGAGTGAGGCATCGGGGATTCATCTTTCAGGCCTAGGGTTTTGAGGGCTCACGGTTTTGTGCGTGATGGGTCAGAGGGAGCTGGTGAACAAGGTGGTGGAAGTGGCCCAGACGTTCCTGGAGGTGAGAAACGGGTTTCGGTTTGTATGGTTCAGGGCTCACGGCTTTGTGTGTGATGAGTCAGAGGGAGCTGGTGAACAATGTGGTGGAAGTGGCCCAGACGTTCTTGCGAATGAATCTCCTTTACGCACGTCAAGTGGCTTGCAAGTGACTTCTTGCAAGTGGTCTCCTTGGCACTCCGTGGTCTCCTTGGCACTCAGTGACTTGGCACGGCAACAGGTGTTGAGGGCGTGGCAGGCAGGCAGCACCCATCGTGGCAGGCAGCACCCATCGTGTGCATTTCTCGCACATCGCCCAGCGCACACCATGCACATTCTCCCTCATTCCCTCTCATTCCCCCTCATTCCCTCTCATTCCCCCTCATTCCCTCTCATTCCCCCTCATTTCCTCTCATTCCCCCTCATTCCCTCTCAATCCCCCTCATTTCCTCTCATTCCCCCTCATTTCCTCTCAATCCCCCTCATTTCCTCTCATTCCCCCTCATTTCCTCTCATTCCCCCTCATTTTCTCTCAATCCCCCTCATTTCCACGCAATCCCCCTCATTTCCGCTCATTCCCCCTCATTTCCTCTCATTCCCCCTCATTTCCACGCAATCCCCCTCATTTCCTCTCATTCCCCCTCATTTCCTCTCAATCCCCCTCATTCCCTCTCAATCCCCTGCATGGCAACAGGTGTTTGAAGGCGTGGCAGCACTCATTGCTGAGATGGATGTGCTACAGGGCTTTGCCGAGCTTGCAGCTTCGGCACCCACTCCCTACGTCCGACCCTCCATCTCAGGCCCGGTATGATCCTGAGTTTCATGCTTGGTGCAAACCTGCATCTGACTTCCTGTGTAGTTGGTAACTTATGTCTCAGACCTTGTAGCACAGAATTTGTTCTGGCATTCCCCATGCCGAATATAACTGCAGCCAGCGACCTGATGCTTCTGTGCCTCCCTGCTGTCCATCTTATCCCTGGTCTAATTCGGTTTTTCCTCCTCGTCTTCCCTCCTTCCCCCTCCTCCCCCTCCTCCCCCCTCCTCCCTATCCTCCCCCCTCGTCCCCCTCCTGCTCCTCCCCCCATCTCCCGCTCTCTCTTCCCGACTCGGGTTACATGCACATCACATGTCACATGGCTTGGCTCATGGCACTTGGCTCATGGCACTTGGCGCATGGCACTTGGCTCATGGCACTTGGCGCATGGCTGGGATGGGATGGCGTGGCATGGCATGGCATACATGGCATCGCATACGTGGCATTGCTTACGTGGCGTGGGATGACATGACATGACATATATGGCATGGGATGTCATGGCATGGCTCACACACATGGCATGGCATGGCTCACACACATGGCATGGCATGGCTCTCACACATGGCATGGCATGGCTCTCACACATGGCATGGCATGCAGGAGGAGGGCGATATAGTGTTGGAGGACTGGCGGCATCCATGTGTGTCCATGTGTTTCCACGTCCTACTCCGCTCTGATTCTCGATTCTCCCCCATCCTCCATCACATCACATGACATGACATGGCATGGCATACATGGCCGGGCATGGCATAGCATACATGGCATGGCATGCAACAGGAGGCCGAGATAGTGTTGGAGACAGTCGCCTTTCATGTGTGTCCATGTGTTTCTATGTTCAACTCCGCTCTCGTTCTCCGTCCTCCCCAATCCCCCCTCTCATGGCGTGGCATGGCATCAGGAGGAGGGCGACCTAGTGTTGGGGGACAGCCGCCATCCATGTGTTTCTATGTTCTACCCCGCTCTCATTTCCCATTCTCCCCCATCCCCCATCACATGGCATGGCATGGCACGGCATGGCATGGCATGGCATGGCATGGCGTGCAGGAGGAGGGCGGCATAGTCCTGGAGGACAGTCGCCACCCATGTGTTTCCATGTCCTACTCCGTTCTCATTTCCCCTTCTCCCCCTTCCTCCCCCGTCCCCCCTCTCATGGCATGGCATGGCATGACATGGCATGGCATGGCATGGCATGGCATGGCATGGCATGGCATGGCATGACATGGCATGGCATGGCATGGCATGGCATGGCATGGCATGGCATGGCATCAGGAGGAGGGCGACATAGTGTTGGAGGACAGCCGCCACCCATGTGTGGAGGTGCAGGATGACGTCAGCTTCATCCCCAACCACTGCCGCCTGGTGCGTTCCCATTACCCTTTGCATGTCTTTTCTCAGTACCCAACGGCACTTTATGTCTCCCCACTTATGCACCCATTTACACACCACCCACTCACTCATGCACCCATGTTACACACCACCCACTCACTCATGCACCCATGTTACACACCACCCACTCACTCATGCACCCATGTTACCCACCACCCACTCAACCACACATCGATTTACCCTCCACCCCACCCCACCAGGAGAGGGGTCGCAGCTGGTTTCAAATCATCACAGGGCCCAACATGGGCGGCAAGTCAACCTTCATTCGCCAGGTGCGTTGTGTTGAGAAGGGCTGCGTGCTAGTGAATCCTTTTCTTAGGGGCCTCAAGAATGGAACCAGCCGCATAAGCCCCTATCTCAAGCTTATGTGCGTGGTAGTGGTACTGCCGACTTTCGATTGCGTCCGAGCCTCTTCTTAACCCTCTTCCACTACAGGTACGAGTGGTGTTTTCGTTTTGTTTTGTTCTTTTCTGTTTTGTTTTTTTAGTGTCCCAAACTATGTCCCTCTGAGTCCTCTCCTCGTCCTCGCTACGACGTGTCAGAACTGGCCGCAGATGGGATGGGAGCGGTAGTTTGAGGCGCCTCAATACACGTCGTCCTCGTCCTCAATACATGTCCTCCTCGTCCTCAATACATGTCGTCCTCGTCCTCAATACATGTCCTCCTCGTCCTCAATACATGTCGTCCTCGTCCTCAATACATGTCGTCCTCGTCCTCACGACATGTCCCATTCCCCCGGAGTGTCTTCAGGAAGACCCCATTCACGTGCGCAGGTGGGGGTGGTATAGCTCAGGTGGGGTCCTTCATGCCTTGCTCGTGAATGAGGTGCCTTGCTCCTCAAAACACATCCCCTCGTCCTTGCTTCTCAAAACACATCCCCTCGTCCTTGCTTCTCAAAACACATCCCCTCGTCCTTGCTTCTCAAAACACATCCCCTCGTCCTTGCTTCTCAAAACACATCCCCTCGTCCTTGCTTCTCAAAACACATCCCCTCGTCCTTGCTTCTCAAAACACATCCCCTCGTCCTTGCTTCTCAAAACACATCCCCTCGTCCTTGCTTCTCAAAACACGTGCGCACGTGAGCAAAGCACGTTTCCCAACTCCTTAAAACACATCCCATCGTCCTTGCCTCACCCACATCACATGCATTCACCGCAGGTGGGAGTGGTGGTGCTGATGGCACAGGTGGGCTCCTTCGTGCCCTGCTCCCACGCACACGTGAGCAAAGCATGCCTCAACTCCCCAAAATACATTCCCTCGTCTATGCCTCACCCCTTGAATCGTTTCGCAGGTGGGAGTGGTGGTGCTGATGGCACAGGTGGGCTCCTTCGTGCCTTGCTCCCACTCACCACACGAGTGGACCACATCCCCGACTCCTCATAACACATCCCCCTCCGTGCCTCAACCCCTTCATATGTGTGTTGCAGGTGGGAGTGGTGGTGCTGATGGCTCAGGTGGGCTCCTTCGTGCCTTGCTCCCGCGCACACGTGAGCATCCGCGACGCCATCTTCGCCCGCGTGGGCGCTGGCGATTGCCAGGTGAGAGGGGAGGGAGGGGGAAGGGAGATGGTTGATTGGTAGTTGATTGCCGGAGGAGGGAAGTGGGGGAGGGGTCGAGTGGGAGGCACACATGTGAGCATGTGGAAGGGTAGGGGGAGGTGGGAGGGGTCGAGTGGGAGAGGGGGGCACATGTGAGCATCCGAGACGCCATTCTCGCCCGTGTGGGCGCTGGTGACTGCCAGATGAGGGTGGGGAGGGGGGAGGGGATGACTGGCAGGGGACAGAGAGGACGAGTGGGAGAGGGGGGCACATGTGAGCATCCGAGACGCCATTCTCGCCCGTGTGGGCGCTGGTGACTGCCAGATGAGGGTGGGGAGGGGGGAGGGGATGACTGGCAGGGGACAGAGAGGACGAGTGGGAGAGGGGGGCACATGTGAGCATCCGAGACGCCATTCTCGCCCGTGTGGGCGCTGGTGACTGCCAGGTGAGGGAGGGAGACCATATGTGGGTAGGCGAGAGGGGTGGAATGACTTTTGAGACGTCTCAAAAGTCAGATGTGGGTAGGCGAGAGGGGTGGAATGGGGGCAGTTGGAATTTGGGAGGTGGAAGGGAGGACGATGGCGCTTCATTGCAATCCCCCTCAGAGGAAGGGATCTTTGTGCGCTGGACGATGGCGCTTCATTGATTAAGGCCTTAGCTGGCCGAAACGCGTTCGCACGCGACATCCGGGCCTATTGTGTCTGGCATTCTGACGAGTGAAAAGACCTTGCTTACGACTTCCCTTGCCTTTTCAGACGAGTAGAATTAGTACTGAAGACCATTCGGGAACTCTTAGTAGGCTTGCTGCGGATCGAAACCAACTGATTCCAAAGGAGGACGATGGCGCTTCATTGCAATCCCCCTAATTGTTGGTTTCCTCCTCTTTGGATTCCACACCCCCCACGTCTTCCTTGTTCGGCTCTTTCAGAGTTAACGCCCTCTTTCTTGGCAGTCCCATCCCCGCTTGCACCTCCCCCACGCATTGCGCCCTCTTTCTTGGCAGCCCCATCCCCGCTTGCCCCTCCCCCACGCATTGCGCCCTCTTTCTTGGCAGCCCCACCCCCGCTTGCCCCTCCCCCACGCATTGCGCCCTCTTTCTTGGCAGCCCCATCCCCGCTTGCCCCTCCCCCACGCATTGCGCCCTCTTTCTTGGCAGCCTCCCTGCTGGTTCCAATGCGCTCCACCAGTTGTCATTCCACACCCCTCACTTCCACTGCGTCTTCCTCCCTACTGCTGCTCCTCCCTGCCCTGTCTATTTCGGCAGCTGAGGGGAGTGAGCACGTTCATGGCAGAGATGCTTGAAACAGCTGCCATCTCGAATCACGTGCCTTGTTGATTTACTTCCCTTAACTTTCCTCTCTTGGTCTTTCTCCCCTCCCTGCCTTGTCTCTTGCCAGCTGAGGGGAGTGAGCACGTTCATGGCGGAGATGCTTGAAACAGCTGCCATTCTGCACGCCGCCACGCCCCACTCGCTGGTGATTATCGATGAGCTGGGGAGGGGGACGTCCACTTATGACGGATTCGGTGAGTGCCGGCCTTGGATTCTCTAAAAAATAGTTGAAACTGTGGCGGCTAGTGACAGCAGCCATTCTGCACGCCGCCATGCCACACTCTCTGGTGATCATCGATGTGAAATGAGTCGAGTTTTGAGTCAACTCAAAACTCGACTCATTACACGCGGATAGTTGAAACTGTGGCGGCTAGTGAAAACTCGACTCATTCTGCACGCCGCCATGCCACACTCGCTGGTGATCATCGATGTCGACGAGCTGGGGAGAGGAACGTCCACTAATGACGGATTCTTTGAGTGGCAGCTTCGCCCGGAGCTCGTGTGAGACAGCCGCCACTCTGCACTCGCTGGTTATTACTGATGAGCTAGGGCATAGAACTTCCAACAGTGACGGCCGCAGCACGAGCTGGTCTGCTCTGGCTGCTTTTGCTCTCGCTGGGCCATCTGTGAAGGTCTACTGGTCATCACAAGAGGCCCCACCCTCTTCGCCACGAACTTTCACGAGCTCATGGCTCTCGAGACCACCCTGCTTGTTCCCGTCCCATCCCCTTGCAGGCCTCGCCTGGGCCATCTGTGAGCATCTAGTGGGCGTGATAAGAGCGCCCACGCTCTTTGCCACGCACTTTCACGAGCCCATGGCTCTGTGCCTTACCTCCACCCACCACTCCCCTCCTCCACCAGGCCTCGCCTGGGCCATCTGTGAACATCTAGTGGATGTGACTAAAGCGCCCACGCTCTTTGCCACGCACTTTCACGAGCTCACGGCTCTCGAGACCCGCGATGCTTCCAGTGGCGTCGCCAACTTCCATGTCAGCGCACACATCGACGAAGCTTCCAGGAAGCTCACCATGCTTTACAAGGTAATGAACTGACTTCTACCACTGCTGATCCTTTCTCGTTGTCATTTTTTCTGCGTTTCCTTTCTCATTTCATTCACGCAAAGCAGTGTTGTCTTTCCCCTTCTGCAGTATTTTGTACTATTATCACCACAAATCTCTGAGTTTGCAGAAGTATAAATTGTCTCTGTCCCCTCCCTCAGGTGCAACCGGGTCCGCGCGACTGGAAATTTGGCATCCATGTGACGTATCTTGCGCTCATTTCATCACAGTAAAATGTATCTAGATTTTTTGTTCTTTATTGTTTTAATTTCTTTTCCTTTTTGTCCCCTCCCCCAGGTGCAACCGGGCCCGTGTGACCAGAGCTTTGGCATCCATGTGGCGGAGTTTGCGCATTTCCCTGCAGAGGTGGTGGCCATGGCACGCGCCAAGGCACAGGAGCTCGAAGACTTTGCCCCTCCTGCTGCTCATGCCGCTGCCGCTGGTGCCGCTGGTGCTAGTGCTGATGCTGCGAATGATGAGGGTGCTGCTGCTGCTGCTGCTGTTGCTGGGGAGAAGCGTAAGCGTGATGGAGGGGAGGAGCAGAGGGAGGGAGTGGGGCGAGCACGGCAGTTCCTTCGGGAGTTTGCTTTGCTGCCTCTCGACAAAATGACTGCAGAGGATGCACTGAGGGCTGTAGCATCTCAGATGAAGGCTTTGGAGGGGGATGCAGAGGGAAATGAGTGGCTCAGAAGTCAGCTTCTATCATCCAAAGCTGCTTGAGGGCCTGTGACCTATTGCCCCTCTCGACAGCTGGAACAAGGAATTGGCTGCTGTGGTGTGGCGAGTGAAGGGTCTAGGTTGGCTGCATGAGTGCGCAAGCTGTTTCATATTCATACTCATGTTTCTCTCCCAAATGTAATTTGTGTTTTTAGCTGTTGCTTGTAAGAAACTTCGGTAAATGCACTCACTTTACCATATCTTATATTATGATAACCGGAGATCCCAAGCATTTCGAATCGCACGTACGGAGCGCGCCACCCTGCGTGCTTTACAACACCATTATTGGACCAATTTTCGAAAATCTTAGTTCATCAGCATGGGTCATAAGACTTCAGTGCGATAACATGAGTTTCTTTCTTATTCAGAACGGTTCCAGAAACTGACAGAGCGGTGACGCAGGGTTTTAGGGGGACACAAAAATTTTGTGACATGCCCATAGCTCTCGTATCTGCCAGGCGGCACCGTCACGATTATTGCCCGTCACGGATTAGAGACATTTGACAGCACTGGTTTCCCCAACCCGAACCAGCTTCCCAAATTCCCCACGCCAGCAGCCCAGACCAGACCTATCCCTCAATCTTTACCACAGTTCGCGCCAGGCCCCGCATTCCAATTACTGGTCTTCAGCATCCTTAGCCCGAGCGGAGCTGAGACTCATGCATGAAAAAGCGACGCAATTATATGAGGACCATCAGGGTCAGAGTGAGATGGCGCCGCGTGAGATGCAGACTCGGACCAGACCGCTACGGCGACTCGAATTCACTCAGGAGCTATCTTGACGTTGCCTCGGCGCGCACGTCTGGTCCCTCCGTCCAAGGCACAAATCAACTATATAATTCTGTGTGGTTTCAGTCAACAAGCAATTCATTTCGTGGCCATCCCACTTCCATTAATCTGCCTCTGATACTAGCTTCAAGCATTCATCTCTTCTGCCGTCTGATATAATAGATGCGACGAGTCTCTGTCTTCGGCATCATGGCCTTTACTCCTGCTCGCGTCTTACTCTTAGGTGAGTGTCAAAGACAGCGCGACTCCTTGCTTTCCAACTGCTCGCAAGCCAACTCGCCATTCGCTTATAATCATATCATGATTATCCAACTTGCGATTTCCGCGATCATGTCATGATTTTTGGAACGCCTGGAAAATTGCTGAGACGGTACGGTTTCGATTCCTGGACTCAAATCAGCGTATCACACGTGTGTGTATGTGCAGCTTTCCTCGCGGCGATGGTCGCAATCGCGTACTGCGATCACGATCACGACGAGGATGTCGGTCAGTTCCCTTACTCCCTTCCTCTTCATCCCCGCATTTCGTCCTCGGTCGCCAGGAAACCCAGAGTTTCATTCACCTCGTTTCTCCGTCAAATCTCTATCCTCGTCCCTTCAGCATCTGGGAATTTCTTCCCTAAAATTCACCTCGTTCACGCACTTCAAGCCTCCTCATCTCCTCACTCTCACCATCTTATTCTCGCTCGCCTTGTTCGCTCTTACCTAGCCAGACACCTTCAAGGCAAAGCTGCTGGGAGCGTTTCTATTTTATTCGGCCAAAATTCGCTTCGCACCTCCTCATCTCCTCACTCTCACCCTCCAATCATCGCTCGCCTTGCTCGCTCTTACCTCGCCAGACACCTTCAAGTCAAAGCTGCTGGGAGCGAACGAGGTCCCCAAGAACGACTCCCAAGCTGCCAGAAACGCCGTCGGCGACCAACGCGGCGTGGTCTACATGAAACTGAGCATCTACAAGTGAGTCACGCGCGTATTTACTACTAGAGGAGGTGATTCTTGAGTGGACCGGAGAAAAAACAAAGAAAGGTGAAACAAACCACATCCCTCTTCTGTTCTAAAGCATTCGAAGCTCAATTCTCACAAATCCTGTCGCGCGGCGTTCCTTACATCCCATAACGTCCGTTCGTTTACTTGTCGTTGCCATTGCTATTCAGGGATGACGACAAGCCCAAGTGGGTCAAGTACACGGTGAAAACCTCCCGGCTGAAAGGCGAGATGCCGCCAACCAAGACGCACGTGCACAAGGGGGAGAAGGGGAAGAACGGCGACGTGATCCTTGACCTGCCGTGCAAGTACGAGAAGAAGGGCGGCGAGGAGTGGCGCTGCGAGGGCTCTCTAGGCAAGAACGAGGAAGATCGGTCGGATTCGCTGCTGTCGGCTCTGAAGGCTATTGTTAAGAAGCCCAGTGGATATTATGGTAATATTCACACTAAGAGGTTCCCTGATGGCGCCGTGCGTGGTCAGTTCGCGAAGGACTAAGGATTGGGCGTGCGAATGAGCGTGCGAATTTTCTACTGGTAGCAAGGTAGTGCTACTGCTTGTGGTTGTGTGAGTGCGAGAATAAGAGGGCAGGTGGCGTATAGGACCCTGTAACGGGTACAGGAAGCCAACTGCCTGTTGGTTATGTTAATTGCTGTTATCACTAAAAGTTGCTGTTCCACCAATTCGATTATGGATCCATTGTCTCACTGATAGCAAAGAGACAACCTTCTGGATGATCCCAGTAATCCTCAGGCTAGTAATCCCCAAGACTCCCATCTCAGGTCAATGCCATCCATTGTTTATTTCATCTCAAGCTGTTGGTTTTGTTTTTTTGCTATTCAGTACCAATTGACAAAACTGCTCCATTCGTCCTCCCCATAAATCCCTCACTTCAATGGCTTCGGCGGCTCAACAAATGAAGCAGCAGGATCCTCCCGGCTCGGAATATCATCAACCTCCTTCACGGAAGCTTCAATAAGACGATCTGTCTCTAGCGAGTCAGAGCCAAGGTCTTGATCCCGAGTGGTGGGGAGAACGGGAGAGGAGGGTACCTTTGCTTGTTTCTGCCGGTACTTGGCTATAGAGTACCACACTCCTCCAGCTGAGTTAATAACCAGACCTGTTACGTTGAGTAACTGGAATTTCACCCCCCCAAGGAAGAAAAACCCGAAGATCTGAAGGGGAAAGGGGACCGAGTGGGAAAAAAGAATTGGAGATATGAACACGTCAACTTAAGTACTAAAGGAGAAATGTGGACAAGGGGAAACCGCTGGATAGCATGGGATGGGTGGGAAAATGTACAGTGGTGCCACCTAGGCCGTGACAGCCTAGTCGAATGGCAAGGTTTAGAACAATGTGCACAGCAGAAATGGTTGTAAACAACAACGGTGGTAATGAGTGCTGCAGAATATACAACGGTGCAGAGAAAAATGGTGTAGTTGATGAAAGTGTGCAAGAATTCTGATGAATCCAAGGCCGCAGGACAGGACAGTCCACATCATGTGATAATAAACTGTTTATGACATATCTCAAAAGCAGGACAGGACAGGCCACATCATGGAGAAAAGGCCCTCACACCCACGGAGGAGATAGGAGGAGAGGTGAAAAACAATGAATGTGGAGGAACATGGTGCAGTTAGAATGAAATGCAGTGATGACAGTGATGCTGCATGCAGAGGAGAGGACATACTGTAGTGAAAGCACCCTTGAGCACACCAATGATGGTGTAGTTGAGAATGAAGTAGGAAAATTTGTGAAGCTGAAGCAAGAACATACCGTTGTGAACACGCCCTTGAGCACGCCCACGATGGTGGTGGTGAGAGCAGAGTCGACGATGGTACATGCAGAGGAACATGGTGCAGTTGAGGACAGTTGAAGGTACGTGCGATTATTGACATACAGTTGTGAACACGCCCTTGAGCACACCAACGATGGTGGTGGTGAGAGCAGAGTTGACAATGGTGCAGAGGAACATGGTGTAGTTTAGGACCAGCGCCATCACCAGCGATGCAGTTACCGCCACTGTGAACGTCCATGATTCAGCGCACTGGTGGGTGGGAGAAGGGAACAGGGGGAGTTGACGACGGTGCAGAGGAACATGGTGTAGTTTAGGACCAGCGCCATCACCAGCGATGCAGTTACCGCCACTGTAAATGACCAAGATTCGGAACACTGGTAGGGGGGAAGAGGAGGAAGAAGGGGGTCAGGGAGGAAGAAGGGGGTCAGGGAGGAAGAAGGGGGTCAGGGAGGAAGAAGGGGGTCAGGGAGGAAGAAGGGGGTCAGGGAGGGGGAAGGGGGTCGTAAGGGGAAAGGGGGTCGGAAGGGGGAAGGGGGTAGGAAGGGGGAAGGGTGGAACGGGATGGGAAGAGTTGACGTCGGTACAGAGAACATGGCACAGTTTAGGACCAGCTCCATCACCAGCAATGCTGTCCCTGCCACTGTGAACGTCCAGGATTTGGCACACTGATAGGTGGAGAGAGGAGGAAGAAGGGAACGGGGGATAGGCAGGAGAATAGGTGCGAGTGAGGGCCAATGAGAGGAGGGAAGCGGATGGGAGAGAATGAAAGGGGAAGGAAGGGGAGGGAGTTGAGAACGGTGCAGAGGAGCATGGTGCGGTTTAGGACCAAAAGCATCGCCAGCGATGAGGTGATTGCCAGAAAGACATGAGGTGACTCGATACGATGACAGAAAAAACAAACCACCTTGGTGCAAGAGACAAGGGGGTTGTTGTTGTACCGTGGTGAAGAGCAGTGGCACGAAGATAGGCAGCTCGTTGGTGCAGAGCAGGATGGCTCCGAGGAACGGCAGGGAGAGCAGGGCGTTGTGGAACATGAGCTCAAAGGAGGAGAGACAAGAGGAGAAAACCGGTGACTCGATTCCGTGGCAGGAAACCAGCTCGGTGCAAGAGGAGAGAGAAGGGGGTTGTTGTACCGTACCATGGTGAAGAGCAGTGGCACGGAGGTGGGCAATTCGTTGGTGCAGAGCAGAATGGCTCCCAGGAACGGCAGGGAGAGCAGGGCGTTGTAGAACATGAGCTCAAAGGACGAGATGCCCTGCTCTGCCCCCGAGCGCTCCACGAGCAGCAGGTAGAAGGTCTGGCAGAGCACTGAGGTGAGGGCCAGCGCGTACGCGTAGGGGTCCAGAGAAAAATCGCCCAGCGCTGCTATGAGGCAGCCGAATGTGGTGAGGGAGACTGAGAGGGTGACCTGGGGGAGGGTGGGGGGAGCATGAGTGGTGGGAGGAGGGACGGTGTGTGGAGAAGGTACGGAGGAGAGGAAACGCTCAGACTGTGTGGTTCATATAGGTCAAAGGGGGTTACTCCCTGCTCTGTGCAAAAGGGCTGGAGAAGCAGCAGGTAGAAGGTCTGGCAGAGGATGGAGGTGAGGGCGAGCGAGGGCCAGCGAGGTCTCGAGGAGATGCCCTGCTCTTCCCCGTTATTAGCCCAGTCACAGGCGTGAGGCGTTTTAGCGCAATGTATGTGGGGATGTTGACACCCTGTAGACTCGCCAGGGCAAAGGCGAGCGCAGGATATAGACTGGCTAGACTAGCTACAAGACAAAAGAGTCTCACCTGCAGGGGCGGCTTGGATTTTCCTGTGAAAAACCCTGTAATTAGTTCAGTCATGGGCATGAGGCGTTTTAGCGCAATGTACATGGGGATGTTGACTCCCTGTAGACTCGCCAGCGAAGGCTGACCAAGGCAACCACAGGCTACGTCCGAGGCAGGCTAGGGTCGAGAGGAGAGAACTACAGAAGGGTCTCACCTGCAGGGGCGGCTTGGATTTTCCTGTAAAAAACCCCGTTATCAGCACAGCCATGGGCGTGAGGCGCTTTAGCGCAATGTACATGGGAATGTTGACGCCCTGCAGACTCGCCAGGGCGAAGGCGACGTTGGCGTTATAGAAGAAGGAGAGCGGCAGCAGGCGACGAGCGGTGGAGAGGGAGAACGGGCGCATGGCGATCCACTCGAGCTTTCCGCCGACATAAATAAGAGCTGTTGTGGCGACCATCTGATGTGGGGAAAGGAGGGGCATCGGGAGCAAAAAAGAAAAGGAGAGTGATGGGCTTATTAAAAATGGAATCTCTTACAGGAGCCTGATGCCTTGTTAGGAGGAGAGGGCGAAGGCGACGTTGGTGTTGTAGAAGGAGAGTGGCAGCAGGCGGCGGGCTGTGGAGAGGGAGAATGGGCGCATGGTGAAGCCAGACGAGAAGTGTAATACTGAACTTCTAGCAGTTGAGAACACCCTTGTTGAGAAAAACCACTCCAGAAGGTGGTGCAACCTTTTTCAAAGAACCAAACCAACCAACTAGGATCCCACCCACCTGCCGTGCTAGCAGCGTCATGCTGAACTTGTAGTGAGTGAGCACTCCCTTATTAAAACCGGAGTCTCAAATACCGCAAAACTGCCTCAACCTTCCTACCTTTGGTTGGGTTGGGTGTGACCGAATAGAGAAATACTCACATCGCAAGTCCTGGGGGTGGTTTTCGCCAAACGAAATACTAGCGATGACGATTGTAGTGAAGATCTCGCACACGATTTTCCTGTGATGCCGAAATTGTCTGCAAATGACTTGACGAGTTGCATTCCAGATTTGGTAACTCCAGCGATATTTCCGCATTCCGCGAGATGCGTCTACAATTTTCAACACCACTTTGGGTCGCCAACTAGCTATGTCTTTTGCCCCAACCAACCTTCCTACCTTTGAAAGATATGGACCTCGGGTTTAGAGAAACACGGTGAGATCGTGTGGCAGCAGCAGCAGCAGCAGCAGCAGCAGCAGCAGCAGCAGCAGCAGCAGCAGCAGCAGCAGCAGCAGCAGCAGCAGCAGCAGCAGCAGCAGCAGCAGCAGCAGCAGCAGCAGCAGAAGCGGCAGCAGCAGCAGCAGAGCCCCTGAATCAGCCAATAAGTAAGCCCTCACGACCAAACCACCCACTCCGCTCACCTGCAGTGCTAGCAGCGTCATGCTGAACTTGTAGTGAGTGAGAACTCCCAAATTAAGAATCACGGTGAGCTCGTGTGTTAGTAAGCCCCTGAACCAGCCAATAAGTAATCCACCCGCTCCGCTCACCTGCAGCGCCAGCAGCGTCATGCTGAACTTGTAGTAAGTGAGCACGCCCTTATTTAGAAACACCATGGCCATTGACGCCAGGCCGTATGACAGTGCTGCCAGGCCGCTGTGGGATGGGAAGAGGCGAGGAGAGGCGGAATCAAAGGGGGAAAGAAGGGAAAGGGGCAGGCTGTGAGCGCGCCCTTGTTGACGACCACCATGGCCATTGACGCCAGGCCGTAGGACACTGCTGCCAGGCAGCGGTGGGATGGAGAGGAGAGAGAAGGTGAGTGGGGAACGAAAGAGTGAAGGGTCGCAGGGAAGTAAGGAAGCTGTGAGCACGCCCTTGTTGAAGAACACCATGGCCATCGACGCCAGGCCGTAGGACACTGCTGCCAGGCCGCTGTAGAATGCAGGCGAGAGGGGAGGTGAATGAGGAGAGCCAAGGGATGAATTAAATGGATACAATTACAGGCAGTCGAGATTCTCAAAGGAAGTTAATTGATTATCGTAACTTGACTAAATTACATGTTGAACCTGATTTTCACGACCGTTGAGCGGCTGCGATTGTGAAGCATGCACGGGGAACGAGTACTGAAATGTTGATTTGAAGAGAAGATTTGAAAGGCCTCCTTACAATTGAAGAGCAACCAACGGGAATTGAGGTACAATTGAAGAGCGACCGACGGGAATTGAGGTACAATTGAAGAGCGACCAACGGGAATTGAGGTACAATTGAAGAGCGACCGACGGGAATTGAGGTACAATTGAAGAGCGACCAACGGGAATTGAGGTACAATTGAAGAGCAAAACTGAAAGGCTTCCTCTAAATTACATCTCGGCCATGCATTACATGTATCCACTATAATCACACCTGAGCCAGGGGCCAGACAGTCGCCAGGGCATCGACGGTTTGCCATACTCGCGACCCATTTCGTGACTGCTATCGACTCCGCCGCCTGATTTCACGCTATCGGCCTCGTTCTCGCTGCTTCTCATGACCCTCACGCTCACAGCAGCCTTTCAGCGGAACTCCCGCCAAAGTTAAGCCTGCGTACACCCTTCACGCGTGTACGTTGTAGAATTAGCGTGAATGCATTCTTAGCTAATTGCCTGAAAGGTCTACGACGGCTTCGAATCTCTCAGCTGCCTGGCAATGGCAACGAGAACTTCAAACACTAGCCGAAGCAACGAGAGGGTAGGAAAACAAACAAGCTAATGGGTGACAGGCCTCTGGTTGAGTTCACTTTCTGGTCGAAAACTCGGTGTCATACGATTTTGTGCAATTTGAAGCGGTTCTTGAGCCATTATAATCTAGCGTTAGATTACAGTGATCCCGTACGATGCACGGCAACTTCAAGAGGTGCGAAAAGTGCGGTGGAGAGTGGGCATGAGGGTGGTGGTTGGCGAACAAAGTCACCCTTGAGAAGCATGACAGCTTTGAACTTACGGAATGATTTTTTCTGTATAACACAGATTATAAATTTTCTTCATTGAATCAATTAACAAGAAATCGCCATAAATGTACGATGGGTATAATCAACGTACTTAAAAATCTACCATTAAATAGTTTTTTATGCTCTCATGTCTCAGTTATATACATTTTTCTCTCATAGCCAATAGAAGTACTTAATAATGTTCGAGCACATTATGGATGGCTAAGCAAATCCAATAAACATGACCTTGCATGTCGAGCACATCTTTATTCAATGGCTGTAAACCCAAATGGGTTTGTTTTCAGTGAATGTGGATGTCGGATGACGAGCAAGACGACCGGTTGTGCGACGTCTCATGGTCGTCCATCACCACCAGTCGCACACAATTATTGAGGGTCACCACCAGGGACGACTTGTCAAAGAACGTCGTCGGGGACACTTCATCTAACGGTTCAGATCAAAACAATCAGCGAATCCAACGGATGTCACCACCTCAAACAACATGACCTTGCATGTCAACAATACGGGCAAGCAAATCAGGCGCAATATCGCGGACAGCTGGAAATCAAGCTCCCGACGAATTAGCAGCACGGAGAGCCCCAGTGCGCGCGATTCCGCGTGGATTTATTGGTGCGAACGCCAGCCGCATTTTGTGCAACCAACCGAACTGAATTCGGTGCCTCTCCCTACCAAGTGCTCATCGAAGTGCCAAGCAAACCAGAGCTCCGCGGCTATTCCCAAGAACTCGTTCCTCTCCCATTCGCAAGCACGTAGGGGCGTGGAGCAGCTGGCAAGACGATAAGCTCGAGGCGGGGCTTGTGCATGCGGTGTATTATTGGAATCCCGCCTTTCGGTCTTCTCGTTCTAAAACTTGAGCTAACCTCGGCCACCACGCTGCCTCTTTGTTCGCGTTCCTCGTCGATTCTCTCGATTGGTCCCAATCTTCCCTCTTCTCCCTCTCCTCTGCATTTCCAAGTGCACGCCGCTTGTATTTAGCAGGACAAGCAGTGTTCGTTCAATTGTGAATGGTCGACTCGTTTAGTCAGGACGATCTCAGACTTCTTTCTGCTCAAGCTCCCGCAGACACGCAAGCTACCAGCTTCATCCTACGATTAACATTCTTGTGAAGACCCATAAAACCAGCTCATCCTTCATCCACGCTCATGGCTCGCTACTCGTCTCTATCAGTGCTGGCTATCGCTCTCATTCTCGCCGTGTCAGTTGCTGAAGCCGTTCGCGTTCCCGATGCGTTCTCCGTTCTCCGATCGCCAGCGGACGACGTGGAATCTTTGGATAAGAATGCCATTCTGGACGGCGGCGAAGGCGAGATCCTGGAGCTGAACCTGCAAAGCCTCTTCAATCTGCCACGTGCCTTTCCTGAAGAATCTGCTGAAATGGTACTTGACGGCGGGTTGGAGGAAGAGGTGGCGGCGTCGGCACGTGCTGCCTTGCTCCGTTCACGAAGCGGCTGGGAGGATTTAATCCGTGCTGTCGAGGAGAGCGATAACCAGCACGACTCCGCCGACGTGCATGTTGCGATCAGCGAGTGGCTAGCGAAACACCCGAAGTTCGAAGTAACATCGCTCTTTGACGATGATAGCGGCGAAGTGTTTGTTGAAGTAGAAGAGGAAGAAGCGTAGAAATCGAGATTCTAAAGTTTCGTCGGGAAATGGCGAAATGGCGCCAAGGATAAGAGGGGAGAAACAAAGCTGGATGAAAGTGCTGCTCTCCTCTCACTCTCCTCGCGACAGTGAGAGTGAATAAGGAGGAAGAAGCCCAAGATGGCCAAAACTGGCCCCACTAGTAGCAGGTCACTGTGTTTACCTGCAAGTAAACACAGTGTTTAGATTTGCCTCATCTCGAGGCCTGAAACCAACTTAGTGTGATTTCGTGTAATGAAAGGCATAATTTGTATTCCACTTGTTCCTTCAATGTAAATGTTCAGAATGCATGCTGCTGGGATTTCAGATGTTCAGCATGCCATGTTTGCTTCCCTGTTTGCCTGTGCAATCTTTAGTATATTACGCCAACTGACTTTTTATTTTCCCTAGAAAAATCCTCTTGAGTGCAATTACACTAATAATTTGCTTACTTACTGACACCAGGTCTTCATTCTGTCATAACGAGATCCCTTTGCACACATTGTAGTGCCAAGCGTAACCGAACGCCCTTCAAAACACCCATGCGACACGCAACGAAGGGTCTTCGCTTGCCCGACCTTGTCTTGGGAGTGTCGCAGCAGCTGCCGAGCCGAACAATCCTTGCCTTGAGTTTGGGGAGGCAAGGACGAAAACAGAGAAAGCCAAAGCAAATGGACCCTTGACTGCAGCACCACCACCACCGACAGATCTCGTCTAGACTGCACTAGTTCGTAAATCCTCCGCCACCCATTCACGCCGTTCATGGTTTCGTCACGCTAGCGTGGCCATTCTGTAGCTGATCCCCTGATCTGCTCAGGCTCTTTCGCTAGGCGGCCAGGCATCGCTTTTCAGTTGCGATTCCGATAGATGATCCGCGATTGGAACTTGTTGACGTGTAATCTCGGTACTACAATTAGGGTGTTAGACTCTCTCGCATGTTGCTCTCTCCTGGAGACTAATCTCCCGAAATTTACATTCTAGAGATCTGGGCTCACATAGTCAGATCGCTTTGTCTGTCACTCTCGCGCATTCAATTGCAAAATCGCACACTAGGCAATTCATTCGCGATTCGTTTGAGTCCAGATGTCATCCGGTGCGCCTGGAGGTCCCCCTTATCCGCGGGGCCCTCCGCCCTTCGCCGGCCCTCCGCCAGCCGGCGCGCGGCCCCCATTCGGCGGCCCTCCGCCGTTCGCGGGGCCGCCAGCCTTCGCCGGTCCTCCGGCGGGCCCTCAGGGCTCCGCGCCTCCCCCATTCAGGGGGCCCACTCCGCCTTCCGCCACCAGTCACCCTCCGCCAGCGTTCGCGCAGCCCCCCGGTCCTCCGACTGGCCCTCCGCCCGGCGCGCAACCACCAGCCGCGCCTGGGGGGTTCGTTCCGCCGAATAGACCAGGCGCGCGCCCGCCAGGTCCGCCATTTGCTGGTGCGCCGCCGGTAGGTCCCCCACCAGGGGTAGCCAACGGGCCTTTGGCGGGTGCGCCTCCCCCTGGTCCTCCCCCTTATGGTCAACCTCCGCTCGCAGCGGCTGCGCCTTCCGCCTTCCAGCAGCGTCCCGGTCCGCCGCCTTTCGGAAGACCAGCTGGCGCTCCCCCCGGACCTCCGCCAGTGGCCGGTTCCGCGCAACCGCCTCCGCCGTTTGCCGCTCGGCCACCTGGTTCCGCGCCGTTTCTTCCCCCAGGGCCGCCTCCGATAGGCGCAGGCGCGCAGGGACCCGCATTTCCGCCACCCCTAGGTGCTCCGCCAGGTGCTCCGCCAACCGGCCCTCCCCCGGGATATGGATCTGCGCCCACTGCCCCCCCTCCGCCGTTTTCTTCCGCTCCTGCGCCCCCGCCTTATGGATCCCAACCTCCGCCTCCCCCCGGATACCCCCCGACCGCGCAACATTCCGCACAATTTGGCGCGCCTGCATCACAGCCTCCCGCCGCGCCCTCCTTTGGCGCGCCTCCCCCCTTCGGCGCTCCTCCCCCGCAGCCCCCCGCTCCGCTTGGTCCCCCGCCCACAGGAGCAGCGGCAACCCCCCCCGCCATAGCGCAAGCAGCAGCCGCGCAAGCATTGGCGGAAGACCTCCAGTCGCTCGCGATCGGCGGAGGGCCCGGCGCAGGGGGAGCGGACGCGGTGGATTACTCCGCGCTTCCGCGGCCAGCAGGGGTAGCAATCGGCGGAGAAGACTCCGCGGGGGGAGCAGATGGTGGGGAGGAGGCGCTCGAGGGGTGGGGGGAAGGCTTGGTGGGGGGGGGATTGGCGGAGATTGAGGGGAACGCGCATCCGCGGTACTTCAGAATGACCTGCG